CCCCCCCCCCCCCCCCTTCAAAAATAGTCCTCAGCCTGTCTCCTCCTCTTCCTCTTATTTCTCACCTCCGCCTCAATCGCCACACCTTTCTTCCGTGATTACGCGACTCATATCGCGATAACCAGGGCGCGACTTTTGTTCGCGTTGTCGTCGTCTTGTTCTCATCTACACACCTGCACGTCTGCACATACTTCAAGTATACTTACGATCCAAACGATATACCTGCCCACTTTATCCACAAGGTGGTCGGCTTCGCGCGGCCACTCAAGACACAGACCAACGCAAGGTACCCGAATCCGACCTGGCAACCTACATACCGCTACGACCACCCACCGCCTTCATCAACGATACACGCCGGCCAAACCCCCCACCTCTCGAAGCCCAAGATCGCATCTTGATAACGACAAAAAATATTCTGCGACGCTCTTGTCACCTTTCGACTATTTATATCGCGGCTTTTATTGGGGAGGTCAATGGTGACCGTCCATCCTGACGCGCGCAAAGTCTGAGCCTTGTTGCGCCCGAGATACGTCCTGTCGCATCACCTCGAGCCAGCCCTGGTACTTCGGTTTCATCTTATCTCTGCGCCGCCTTGCAAGGCATGAACGTCGGCAGCCTCAGCTCGGGCAGGTCCAGCCCGCGAATGTCGTCGGCCCAGAACCAGCCGCTCTCTTCGAGCCATACGAGTCCCTTCCTGAATAACGCGACGGTGAAGCATGCGATGGATGCCCCGGTCTTTGTCCCGCAAGGGCAGCAATATCGCGCCGCGCCGAACGGATCCCAAGCAGCGTACCAACAACTACAAATGTCCTCCATGACCGCGTTCGATCGCGACGGCGCGTCAAACCCTGGCCAGCAGGGCGCATCTACGCTGTTGTCGTCGACCTCGGCCATTCTCATCCGCAAGCTACCGCTCAAAACAACCGAAGATTCGCTGCGCTCCATGGTCGTATGGTCAAAGGAGTTCACCGAGGCAGAGGTTCTCCCAATAGAAAAATCAGAGGATGCGGGATTCAGATCTGCGATCCTACATTTCAAATCTCCTGCAGGTGCGCATGAGGCGCAGCGACTCCTCAACGGCAAGCCGAATATTTCCAACGACGCGCAGATGGTCGTCGAGATATTCCCAAGCAGTCCACCCATGCCGAGGAAATACACCGTGGATGGCGCATCAAACTCGACGTTTAACGGAGGTCCTGCAAGCAATACATCTTCAGCTTCATCAGCAGGGCCAACACCGCGCCAGTCATCCAGGTTCAACGATACGTTTCAGACTATGGAAAGAATATCGCCGACAAACACTACCCTTTATGGGAGCAACGAACTACCAAATCCCGATTCAGGTACGCATTATCAGAGTCTCTTCTCACCGCAGTCTCCTATCGGCAATCATTTGAGCGAGCGAACGCATATCAGTGGCAAGACACTGATAAACAACGACACCATGGACGATGATGAGACGGGTGAGCTTCTGAAAGACCCAGTCGCTTACGCAGAGAACGGAGCTGCATCAGCTCAACCGCGGCGTGCAACAATCCCACAGTTACCAATTTCGAGAATGAACAGCTTGTCGTTAAACACGAATCACATTACCCCGGCACCTTCAGCACCCAACTACACGGCATCGACGCACATGCCATCCATGCAACCCCAGACGGCTACCATGTCACCTACTATGATGAGTAACGGCGCGCCACCGATTCCGTACCAGCTTGGAAATCAGCACTATCCAAGGCATAGCTTCCCACCTGTGAATCCAGCAGATCAAAACCCTCCATGCAATACCCTCTATGTCGGCAATCTCCCAATAGACACTTCGGAGGACGAACTCAAGGCTATGTTCTCAAAGCAGCGCGGCTACAAGCGGTTGTGCTTTAGGACAAAGCAAAATGGGCCCATGTGTTTCGTCGAGTTCGAAGACGTATCATTTGCCACCAAGGCTCTACATGAGCTCTATGGACACCCGTTGCACAACAGCGTCAAAGGAGGCATTCGATTGAGCTTTTCCAAGAACCCTCTCGGCGTCAGATCTGGCCAAGGTTCGGGCCCACCAGGCCCTCCTGCACCTCCCGGCATCATGCAAAACATGAATGGCATGAATGGCATGATGAACAACAACATCTCTGGGCCTGGTTTCAGCACGGCAAACGGACCCCCACCAGGCCTTGCGGCACCTCCGGGTCTTGGGCCGAGTAGGGTTCAATACGGTTCTATCATGAATCCCATGGCTGTGACAAACGGCCACTACGGAGTAGCATACGGTGGCGGTGCAGGGAATGGGTGGAATGGCCCTCCTTACAATGGCCCCATGGCTGCTGCCATGAGCCAGGCGGCGACAACAAACGGCGCAAATAATGGCTTCCCTCCAGCCTACATGATGGGAAGATAGATGGCAAGAAGCAGCGTGGTCCTGCTGACACGGCGTTTGGGTTCGTTTTTAATGTGGATTTGGCGGCACAATTAATAAAGCAATCTGGTGTTTATGGGCTCGGGAAGTGCAGGACCTCATCCCCTACCATCCTCCTACACTGGCATGCAATAATGCGGATTTATCTGGTCGCATTTACACTTGGTGCATCTTTCATAGCGTGGCGCTTTTCGAATCATGATGTCACATACGCATCTACAACAACGGAGCGCACAATATCGGCAGACACACATTAGCACAAGGTTCTGTGGGACGATACAATTTTTATGGGGGCATGGGATTGCATGGCTAGCAAAGGAGTTCAATTTTCTTTTCTCCGATTTTGGTGTTCTGTCCTTTTCGAAACAAATTCTTCGTTTCTTGCTCTCATTTTTAGGGATGGCGCAGCAGGTGAGGGACGGTGTCAACATAATTACCTTTTGTTTCTGCTTTTTATTTTTGCAAACTTTTGAAATCGTCTGTACGATCTGGGCGCATCATGTGGGATTTGCATGTTGGGCGCATGGACAGGCAGGCATACCTTTTTATTCCCCTCCTCCCTGGGGAGACACGGCTAGCTTCTTGCGCTGGGAGCATATGTATGTTAAACGGAAGTGGCTGTGTGTTGAAAGCTACTCAGTCCCTTTTTATTTGCTGCAGTCTTGTCTTGTTTTGGGTTTGGCCGGAGAATCCGAGGGGTGCTCGGATTCACGGCGTCTACTTTGATTTTTTGTTTTCGATCATTTTAGAGTCCGGATGCCCACATAGCTAGGGAGTGTGCTCAGTTGATTCGGAATACCTACATATAGATTTTTGTTGTTGCTCCATGGCATACTTCTGTTCGGTTTCGATTGCAGGTTCACATCATCACATCATTTGTTGGTACGCTTTTTCCGCGACTATTAAGTCTACCTGGTGATACCTCTTGAGAAAGTCGCACATGGTCGGGCACGCGCACTGGTAGCATAACACATGCAATATCATATCTGGCACCAGGCAGAGTGCCGCAAATACAAGCAGTGACGCATTAGCCGAGGCATATAGATAACACTGTGCTTTATTCGCCAGGAGACAAGACTGTAGAGATCATATCCCTGTACATATAATTATGATCTAGATCCATCAAATCGCGCTCCTGAGATTTTGTCTATTCCAGACTCCTTCAGGCTCGCACCAACTATCTAAGGGCCGCGCGGATCATCCCCCTTCCCCTGCCCCTCGCCCCCCTCCTCGAGCCATACCCGCTCCACGCTCACAAAATCGTGCACCGAGGACCGTCCTTCCGGCGCAGCAGGTGCCGGCGCGTCTTCTCCTTCTTTGGCACCTCGGGTTCGTATTCCGGCTCCTGCGTCACGTCGTTGCCCTTGCGGATGATCTGCCGGCAGAGATCGATGAAGACCTCATCGACATTCGCTGTATGCATGAGATTCCGCACGTGGTGACTGCCTTCACGGATGGCATGGACGGGGTAGGGACGCAAACTCACCTCGTCGCCTCGCCGAGGTCTCGTAATACGGCGCATCGCCCCAGCTCTGGCTCAGCGCGAACGCCTTGGACCGACTCACCATGCGGTCGCCCTCGAGGTCGGATTTATTCCCCACAATGACGATGGGCACGTGCTCGTCGTCCTTGATGCGGATGATCTGCTCGCGCAGCTCGGAGAGCTCCTCGAGACTGCTGCGGCTGGTGATGGAGAAGACGAGGAGGAAGCCCTGGCCCGTCTTCATGTACAGTTCCCTAGGAGCGGAATTAGGTTTCTGGAATCACGGGGGGGGTGGCGGCGGAGAGACTGGTCCTACCTCATTGCGGCTAGGTGGGAGGGTCAGCAAGAGAGGATCGCGTGATCGAGGTCTCTAAGTGGACTTACTGAACTGTTCAGTTCCTGCGGTGTCGAGACTGTGAGGCGTGAGTTGGGGGCTCTTGGGGGCCTGGTCAGGGGGTTGGGGGATCCGTACATCTCTAGCATGCATTGCCTCCCCTGTGGACAGCGATGTTAGTTGGGAAACGAAGACATTGATAGGGAGGGCTTACATCGACTTGGATCTGCTTCCTGTACGAATCCTCGATGGTGGGATCATAGCTCTCTATCCACACATTTTGGACAAACTGTGCTATATTGGGTGTCAGATACTCGTTTACGCTGCTGGGATTCAGTGTCATGTAGACAAAGTACCAGTAAGGCAACTCTTGCCCACGCCACCTTGTGCCTCGTTAGCTTCAGCTGCTCTTCAGGTCCGTGTTGGGGGGGGTCATACCTGCGCCCAGAACGACGATATGATAGTCCCTCCTGTTGCTATAATATGCGGTCAGAAACAGCACGTCCCCGGCGGTGTCAAGGCGTCAAACCTCTGGTACCTGTTGGACATGATCAAGGAGTAGTCCGATTGAGCCAATTGGCTCTGTACCTCTGCGTTTTGCCTCCCGTGATAGCCTTCTCTAAGGGTCTAGTTGTGGCTCCACAGCCCTATCTCTCAGCCCCTCTCTACTTATGTGAGTATGGAATAGGGAGTGGATGGCCCCAGCAGCGGTCTCCCCTCTTGGCAGAGAATCTAGGTCACGTCACGTGAAAATGGCTCGGGCGAATTTTCTTGTGCGTGGGAAATTTCCCGACGGACGGAAGTTTTGGGGCCCTGCAAAATTGCGAAAAGGAAGGTAGATTGGGGCGCGAAATTCTAGCAGATAACGGGCGCTGTGTCTGTCGTGTAGCTTCGTACCTGCGTCGGAAGGAGCTCGGTGAGGGAGCGCGTAACCTTTTGCAGTGTCAGCACAGTGGCTATCAATGGCTAGTAATAGCTGACAACAGAACTGGAGATTGCGGGGCGGTCGTGTTTTGCTGCGAGCCTTTCACATATTAATATTGGGGGGAAAGGTTTGAATAGGGTTTGTGGAGACCAAACCCATATATGATGGTTCTCTCCACCAGACTACGGCTGTACGGGAAGATCCCATGCATATGTATTGCATGACAGACTCTGTCGCTTTGGACTGGCCCTCCTTGGCACGTAGACAAGTTGAGGGGTTCCTTTTTCTTTCCCACACTAAAACTACAAGAAGCGGTTGTTGGCATATGACACGATCGACATCTTTATTTCGATAATCCGGGCATGTATTGTCATAACTGCTATGTATAGGGGTCCTAGGGAGCTACCGCGGTGTAGTCGGGATGGCGGGGCACAGAGGTATCTTATTCTTATTATTTCAGTCTGCAACGTCACTTTATTTTCCTAAAATATACAAATTGATACCCATAACACCGATTACTGCGAGTTGAAACGTCAATAATCCTCGTCTACCTGTAAAGGGCTCGTCCCGGTGAGCCCGACTGTTATGGTGGGTGTGCATCGGGCGCTCTGCATGGTCGTTAATTCGCCCTTGCAGGTGCTGTCGTGCTGCATCTCTCAAAGCTCAAAATAGACATCTCTGGGCGGCTGCTCTATACGGGTCCTCTATGCCATCTCTATGGGATAATCATATGTCTGGCTTAGATAGAAATGGTAAATTCACTAGTTGATGAGAGAGTGGATGAATTTCACCGGTGGTCAATAACCGGCAATTTAAATATATTATAATTCGCATAATTTTCCCTCATAGCTTTCCGTTGGGATTGTCAAGCTCCACAACCTGATCAATCCCAGGATACTCTGGAATTGACAGGTCATATTTCTTCGCAATACCTGGGCTGACGAATCTTCTGACTGTCAGCTACGATTCTCGAAGTCCCAGAAATGTGCTCAACCACTCACCTGCCTCCCAAGAAATGCCTTCCCTTGAACCACTTCGTCAGCGGCTTTGGAGCCGTTAAACTGACAAGTGAGGTAGGATTAAAATCCTTTCCTGGTCCCGAACTTGGAGGACCTGATTCAATGTTCCATGAGGATGGGGCATCAACAGAAGTTACTTCTACCCTGGACTTTGCCAAAGCCTCTATAACAGGACCGAATGGGTCTCTCACTTCGCCAGTAAAACTGAACCCTATTTTTGCGGCCAATGAGATGTCAAGCCTTGATAACTTCATGGTATTACATACCAAAGATCGCATCGACCACATGATCTGTCTCTTCAATAGCAGAGTGGAAGTCATCTACAAAGGGAATGTTTAGGGCTTTCAACTGAGTAGATAGACGCTGTCGAGGAGCATGTTAGCATTTGTCCAAATCACCAGAAGGCAACGCAGATTGAGCACGGAGAGACGTGGCGAAACATTAAACTAAGCAATATGGGTAAACCGGCCCATGGAAGCTCTTTCTTTCCGTGGAATGGGAATGAGTAGCTTGGGACTGGGGGCATTCTGAGATAGAGAGATACTCAAACCTACCTGATACAGGTCGTTCTTGCTTTGCTTGGGATAATATATTGTCGGTTTATAGCCATAGTGCCAAAGATGCCGGGCTGCGACCAAGCCATCTCCGCCTTCGTATTCATATCAGTATCTTCTACTCTCTGGGTGACTTAATTGGAGGAGGCCTATCACCATTGTTACCAGGGCCGCATGCAACCAAGATGCGGCGACCTCTGCTCGGAGGATGAAGACGGTAGACTGGTACAAGTTAGAAGACTGAGCAGCCTTGTGGGACCAACGGCCCAAGATTCCCGTCGCACATACCAGCTTGTGATACTGACAAGCCTGCCAGTTCCATCAGCTGATCGATGGAAAAGGCACCGACAGTCATCAGGTCTTGATCGAGAGCAGCGGCGCTCTTGGCGCTTAGAGTCTTCATCCTGTAAGCCTCAATCTTGAAGATTGGTATATACCAGAAAAATGACAGTATCTCACCTTCAAAGCCATTTCTGAGGGTGGAATATAATGGATATATTGCGCGGAACCCACTAAGTACGGGAAGGTGAGAATTAAAATGTAGCTTAAACAAAGCCACTTGTAAAGTGCCTCGAAAGAACAATATCTTCGGTCAAAAACAATAAACAGGTCAGTAACCATGCGTCAACCTAGCTCTTATAATTATTCAATCGCACCAGATACCGTCAAATCTGATGTCATGATACCGCCCAGAAACCCAACCCATGCTTACATAATCCATCAGTTGCAAAGTGCCAAAACGAGGGTCGGCGATATAATTTCCCGATGAACCGCCAACCGCCAAAAGTTGTCGCATCGCGTTTCCGAGATTTCGAACGACCACCTCACAGCCCCGACCATTGTCAATCCGCACATCATGGTTGTCAAGATACGCCTAGCACGATTTGGGAAGCGGAAGGCCCCATTCTACAACATTGTGGTGGCGCAAGCGAGGTTTGTCGGTCTGGAGCGTACCTGAGGGGGAACGAAGACTAATTGATCGTGCTCTAGAACCGCTAGAAACAGCAAGCCGCTCGAGGTGCTCGGTATGTGAAGGATTGATGGCTGGGGAGGAGCAGGTCACTAACAATTAGCAGGCACATATGACCCGATACCAAAGAAGCCAGAGGATGGCGAGGGAAGGCCGTTTAAGGACATTCGGTTGGACTCCGTGAGGGCGAGATACTGGCTCGGAGTTGGCGCACAGCCGTCGGATCCAGCTTGGAGACTGCTTTCTATGGTGAGAGCTCATTTTGGATAACGACTGAATCACACAGAGGCTGACTTATATCTAGGTTGGGCTTATGGAGCCGAAATTCCGGGGAAACCAGAGCGCCAAACCGGCTACGGGCGAACCAGGGAAGGCAGTGTAGTGATGTTCACTCGGGCAGTGCATAGCGTGGCGTTTTGTCAGATTAGGGGGCTCGAGGCATCTGTATTTGCAGTCCAAGATGACTGTTGTGTTATCGACCTCTATGTAATTTTATGTACAATCTTATGATTCCCATCCATATATCATGCCTCGTGAAACCCCAATGACAAACTCTATCTAACCGATCTGTTTAGAACCCCAAACAAACGCCAACCCCAACACAATGCTGTCGCTAGACTATCCCCCAACTTAGCATAAACCCAAGCTCAATTCAACGCGCTATCAAGAAATAAGTATTAGTAATTAGGCAAGTCGCCATGACAATGAAACCGTAAATGACCAAACCCAATGCCAAATAGCGAATAATGGCTTCCTTGTGAGAAGCCTTCCTGACTGCGCCACTCTCCTCAAAGAGTCCGTTCGTGGCCGAAGCACTATCCTCGTCATCCTTTGCAAGTCTCTGGTGGTGAATGGAATCAGGCGAAGAAATTTTGTAGTAAAAGATGCCGGGGAGGATAAAGCTGATGCTGGTACTGCCAGTCGCACCCACGTAAGCAAGGACGGTGTCTAATGACGACACAGACATAGCTACAATATAGCTGAGGACAACAATCACGGTCGTGATGGCAGCAAACTTGACGTCGCCAATGACCTCAGCACGGCCAGAGTGGCCAGTAGACCCTGGAAGTAGCGGTGCAGCCCTCGAAGGTGATACGCTTGTTTCTCTCGACTTTGTCCATCTGGCTGGACGCCATTTAAGCACGGCAACAACAGATGCCCTGCAGGGATGGACTTGAAGTGGGAATGAAAATATGACGAGGACGACTATCGCAGCCTTTGCAATCGTAGAGGCAACATTAGGGACGTCTGGGAAATGTCAGCAAAGCACAAAGTTAAAGAAAGCATATATCATACACATCCCGACAATATTGCCGCCCACACCACTGCCAAACGACAGATACCCGGTGATTGCGACTAGGATGTAAGTAGAACAAGCAGACCCGATACTCGCGCCGATGACGGTCTTGATACTGCAAACGTTTATTAGCATTTGCAGATGAGCAAATTGGCATCTATAAAAAAAACTCACGTGCGAGGGGAGTTGTCCTTAATCTCGTTGACAATGGAGAACATCTGTTTATTGTTAGGCCGCATGTCAGAAGCGCTCAATCGGGAAGACTCACATTTTGGTGGCACGTATAGGCGAAGACAATCACAGGCAGACTGCTGAGCGCGGCGATCGCACTTTCCCACTGCACAACGCGGATTGGTCCTCGATCTGCCATAGTGTCTCCCTTTGCAAAGTGATACACGACCAGGATGACCAGATATCCAATGGAGATGAGAGCAACAACGCTCGTATACTTCAGTGAATCCAGGCGTCGGAGGAAAGATAGAGGTATCACGACCAGCCTGATATCAGTTAGTAGCGATTGCAAGATTTGAGTCTTCAGGGATAGGCAGGTGGGGGTATTTACATAAAGACTGTTATCCAAAAATGGCGATCAACCAAAAATGGTACGTTTGCCGCAGATGGATTGAATCCTTCAACGACTCCGGGCATCAAGTCTCCAATGATGATGAGGTAGCTGACTCCAACACCAAAGCACTTTATGGCTATTGCGCCGTCGAAAATAACTGCCGCACTTGGATATGTCATCTGAGAGAGGGCGAAGAATGATGCATGGCCTCGTTCAAGGTAGCGTGCACATCGAGATTGTAGGTAAAGGCCGAATGAAGCAGTAATTGCCGACCATATGATGACGATTGTTCCAAGGAGGATACCCATATGGGCCATCGCGAGGGGCATTGCCAAAGTTCCAGCGCCGATAACTTGTAAAAATCAGTAAGGGCCTTTGGGCGACGGACATGATGGCAACATACTCGTATTTACCAAGTTGATATTGCTGCTCATCCACGACGCCTGGCCTGAAAAAGCCGCATCTTTGTATGTCCTTTTAGGCCGCTGCCTGAATAGTTGGTGATATCAGCAGCTGTTGCTCACAAGACCACCACCCATAGTGTGCATGCTTACCGTCTCCCCCCTCCAACCTCAGGGCCGTCCATGGGGTTCAGGGCGTCGGACGTATTGATGGTGGAATAGGCGGCCATTGCATCAATCACGATATCCCTTGACGAGCGTGGAGGAATATCTTGTCGCCGGAGTCGAAAGTCTGACGATTTATGTGGTCGCTGTTATCGTGGGTGGCGTGACAATCTGGGATGTCGACGAGGTTTGGTACAAATACTGGTTTAGTGTCGGTGTTTGAAGGGTAGGAACAGACGCATTACATGCGCCGTGACAACCAAATGCCTTGGTTGCTGAAGAGAGCGATAACTGTATAATTATGAAGAATGGTTTGCGTTCTGTCTGGGGAGAGGTTATTCTTCGCTCGAGATTGGGCCAAGTATGTAGGCTCAGTGCTAGCGCCGACCCCAAGACTCCAAGGTCATGATTCCCAATGTGGTCCGTTTGACAATATGCTCAGCCTTGTCATTTCCTTGGCGCGTTGGTTATCGGGGAAATGGTCAGTGCATATCTAACAATTGTCCTCCAGCAACTGCTCGGAGTATAATAAACCGATAGAACCCAAATGCAATACCAATGGATCACGATGCGGATGATACAGCTAGGCTGACTCTTGATCTCCTGGAGGCCCGGCTACGCCAGGCTGAGTATACAATCTACGGACATCTCGATGGCAATGCCAACAGCCGCAAGCGGAAGTCAGTGGCAGAGCGGCTTCACGAGCTAGAGAAGGGTCTGGACGTGATCACTGCGAAGTCCAAGGTTGCTCAGGACCTATTGAAGCTTCGTGAGTTTATGCCCCGAAGGTGGTAGTTGGCGACCAATGAGCTCACATTTTGCGGTTAGGTGCGCGACATCCCGATCTCTTCTACAGCCCCGATAGCGAGGTCCCGCCATCTCTGCTTGACCTACCCTCCAAATCAGCCATCGTCCTCTCCTCGGCAGCCTCATTCCCGCTGACCGCCTCGAGCCTGACGTCGATACGCGATACCCCTATACCTGAGGCCGAGCGGTCCGCCAAGATCATCGCGACAAGACCTCAAGTCTCGGAGCTCGAGGCACTCCAGGCCGCGCAGACGAAGACTATTGCGTCGCTGAAGGAGCGCACAGCCGCCGTCCTCCAGCGGTGGTACTCTGTGGACATCTTACAATCCGGCGAGCACTGGGCAGAGATAGAGGGCAGGATTGACACCATGGAGCAAGGCGTACGCCGAGCAGAAATCGCGCGGCAGGAGGAGGAAGCTACTGGATGAGACAGACAACGGCGGCTGAGGTGTGAGTGAGAGGAATAGGGAGATACAAGATGCAGCTTCGAGTCAGAGACTCCGAGGGCGAGCAGCAGATTTATGATGAGTTACGATTATAATAGTACAATATGATGTACGGATCAGGGTATTCAGTGAAGAAGGCAGAAGACCGTTTTGACCGTTGACCGACCCTTTGAACCTTCACCTGACTGGGCTGTGGCTAATCTAATATGATATGGCAATTAGCGGAGGCCAGGAGGAGAGGAGAGGAGAGGAGAGGAGAGTGCTGGAGTGGCTGGAGTATGTAAGTAAGGATTCTGAAACGAAGGAGGAGTAACGGATGGAGCGTGTCCCATGCAAGCGAACCAAAGAAGTGAAAGAAAGGGCGACGCGATGGACGGAGGAGGCAGGCGGGGCGATAATATACAATTTCTCAAACACTCCTGGCGCATCCACCAGCCATCCACCAGCCACGACGACCGCGTATACGTACGTGTGTACTGTACCTGTACCATGCCATGCACACCAACCCACTTCCCATCCACTCCCGTCGACTTCCATCCAGTCCCATCCAGTCCCATTCACCCTTCTTCTTCCAGTCCCATTCATCCTCCGCCAAACTCCCCCACTGCCCCATCCCATCCCACCGCATCCATCCACCTATAGTACCACCCAACGGCTATCCATCTCCCATCCCACTCCCACCCATCCCATCCCACACATATTTTTCGTATACTGCCCAGTACCAAATACTCCTTTCACGCGCCACAGTAATAAAATGCTACCTCCTATACGCCTACTATACACATACACTTACAGTAGTACTTCAGGCACACTCCTTGTATTTAATCTCAGCCCTGCTTGTACCTGACACCCTCCGAGCACCCCCCTGTGAATACTCCTCTCATCCTCTCCCATCCTCTCCCATCCTCTCCCATCCTCTCCCATCCTCTCCCATCCTTAAAACACATCCTCCTGTCCCGGCCCTGAACTAACGCGACTGCCCGCTGCACTATCCGCTGCACTGCCGCACTGCACTCTCCATCATCCCGAGTGGTGTAGGGTACTGACTTTTGTATGGTCCAGTGCTGCACACGCAAAGTATTTATTCCCGTATTACTCTCTAGAATACTACTACAATTTGCTGCTGTACCCAGCCCTGTGCTGCTTGCTTGTGCTTCCTCGTCCCTCCTCGTGCTCTTTCTCACTCTATCCCTCTCATCCTCCTGTTCTTTCTCTCCGACTCCCCAATATTCACCCATTCACCCACCACCCGGCTTCTCTTTTCATCCTTTCTTCTCCGACACACCAAAATACCCCTTTTTCTGTAGAACCATTGATTGGCTTTTGGCTTCATCCTACTGGACCGTCTTGGTCGTACTGCTAAAAACTCAATATTCCTCTGTTTCCCAAAGGTCCACTGGAGTACAGCAGCCCACAGTCCACAGCCCACAGCCCAAAGTCCTCCTCCACACCCACCCACAGCCCAGTCCACAGCCCAGTCCACAGCCCAGTCAACACGTCCAACCAGCCTATTTCGAAACGCTCCCCTTACCCAATTTCATTTTCTCCCACGTCTCACATCACCCATCGCGTCGCATACTATACACCCCATACACCATACAATTCCCCCCATCACACTCTCTTGGCCCGTCTAACAACTCGTCACAATTCAATTTGCTTCTCTTTGTCCTCTGCCTCTGCCTTTGCCTCTGCCGCTCACTACCGCCTATCGCCCATTTACCTTGGCTTATACCCACTTGCTTTGCTTTGTACTCATTGTACTTACATACATACTGGCCCTGAAAATCGCAAGTCACCAATCCTCAAATACGGATTCAAATTCTCGTACACGGACTCCTCCGTGGTGTGTGTGGTCTGTGCTGCTATCCCGAGATTGTCTCTCCCCCGTCTCGCCAACTGTCAACCCCAAACCCACCGCCAGCCACCACGACGTCGTCCTCAGCCAGCAACGTCGCCAGCTGATTCCATTCGCATTCGCATTCGCGCCTGAGAGATACCGCTAGTCGAGCTCTCCATCGCCTTCCTTTCCACGCGGTCCTTTCCTTGTCGCTCATCACCAGCCTCGTATCACGCGCGACACTCTTCCTTCAGCCTTTGACCCGTACCTATCGACGGACCCGACGACTGAATTGCGACCCGACTTCCCCACGGCATAATCTGGGAAGGGGATTCGGGATACCATCAGTGATCCGGCTTTCCTTATGCCATCTTACGGAGAGCTGCACTCCCCATCACTACGCAAAATGAACGGCAATATGGGCTCGTCGATGAGAGGGCGCTCTGGGGGAATGGGCGGGATGAGCATGGATAATGTCTTCGGCGACCCTTTCGCTCTGGCCACACTCTCCATAGCGCTGGTAAGTCTTGCCGAAACAACAGAATGCCATCTCACCAACTAACTCCCCATTAGCTGGCCTGGTTAATCGCCCTTATTGGGTCGATTGTCACCGATGTGAACGGCGACGTGCAGAGCTACGCCTGGTTCGCCGTCTTCTACATGCTTGCCTGCATTATCGGCGTCTTTGTGGTTATCGCTTCCAACACTTCTGCGACTTATAGCGTAGCAGTCGTTGGCTTCCTGGCTATTGGATTCACCTTGACAAGCTCAGCTGTCAACGGCGTTATTTTCAAATCCGTTGGGTCGATGAATGCCATGGCTGCGGGAAACATACTTCTCTGCATGGTTATCGTAAGATCTCCTTCGACGTGCACCGTTTTGCACATAATACTGACTCGCTATAGGTTGTTTGGATATTTTACTTCGGATCTACTCCATCTGCGGTATCCCGCGCCTACCTCGACTCGTTCGCTCTCCACAAAGAGCAGCCTTCTGCGAGCAGCAACCGCGGCATGTCTCACGCCTACGGAACCGGCCGACCTGATACCTCTATTTCGCGCCAGGCTCCACAGATGTACACCTCCGCGCAACTCAATGGATTCGAAACCTCGTCACCTGTCCAGTCCGGCTTCACCAACGCAGGGATGGGAACCGATAAGGGATCTATCCAGCAGCGCTTCGGCAACAGCCCCGCCCCCGTCAACTCTGGGGCCGGCGCACCGAGCCAGATTCCCGAGCAGACCGTCCCTGAGGTTGTTGCACCGACAGAATACCCCTACAGGGCGAAGGCCATCTACTCATACGAGGCGAACCCCGACGACGCCAACGAGATCAGCTTCTCGAAACACGAGATCCTGGAGGTTTCCGACGTGAGCGGAAGGTGGTGGCAAGCGAAGAAGGCCAACGGCGACACGGGCATTGCCCCTTCGAATTATCTCATTCTATTATAGTGCGATGGCGAATTTGTCAGGTTTAAGTAATGACGACTGATTATGTACTCACACCCTATCGTACGGGTATCAATTTCCTTTGTTAATGTATTCTTGCCCTCTGGCCCCGCGGCTCTGGCACGAAAGGCACGAGAGCGGGACATGTTCCTTTTAAAGTGCCAGCCTCGCCTCGTCCGTGTGCGGTCGAGGCTGCTGGGAAGTTCTGTATTAGCGGTTTATTCTAGGGAAGACATCTTGTTGGACTTGCAACTGGCGTTGGATTGATGATGGGGGAATATGGCACATACATCTGGGCTACTCGCCGTCAGGCATTCCCATCTCGTGGTGGACTCAGGAAAATGTTACATAAATACACTCACTGGTTGAAATTGAAAAGTGTAAATGACAATTATAGATATTGTTGATATGGCCCCTGATATGTCTGTGGTTGGCTTGGAGGCTGCTGGAGAGTGTGTTGTAATATTGATGTCAAGAGTGCTACGGCAGAGGTCCATTTGCAGATCGTGCCTGTATATTTAGAGGTCTGCTCGCTCTATGGGCCTACTCTATGGAGACACCCTTCAAACGCCCTTGCCATGCCCAAATCTTCCCAGCAGTTCCTTCCCATCAATACGCCCAGGGAGCGTTATGATGCTAGTGCTACTAACATGTGAACTTTTGATATGGCCCAGATGAGCGTTTGCCGCTCGTGGGAGTGCATAAGCTCAGCACCCACCAACTGACGACAAAGGCTTGAGTAGGGGAAAGTGGAAAACCTCGGCGATTACTTCACTATATGAACCACATGAAATTATACGTGGTACTGGCATGTATTCTTCAGAGGCCCTAGAATACAGATACGACAACGCGTGCTAAAGTAAAAGTTACGGATACGTTTTGACAACATAAGATAGTTCCCAAAAAACATCTACTGATCCCCAGTAGTCGACGCCAAACCCTGTCCCTGTAATCTTCACTATTAAACGCTATTCACTTCCCCATATCTTGGAGCGGAGAGGGTTACTTGTAACCCAGGATATTGAATCGGTGCCGCCCTTAATTATTCTGCTGGTTGTTGAGGATCCTAAGAATGGCGAGGAACAAGTTGAGAATATCGAGGTATAGGGAAATGCTTGCCTACAATCGTACCGTTAGAATGAGGTGTCATTTCCACAAAGGCTGCTGCACTTACTGCAATCTCCTCCTCCACGTGATAATGACGCATAATCAGCTGCGTATCGACAAGGATATACGCCGAGAAAAGCAGCGCAGCGATTCCCGAGTATGCCAACTCAACTGTGCTGTTATGTGGAAAGAATGCTGCCATGAAGCCAAACAATATCACCGCCCACAGCGTACCGAACAGGTATGGCATCCACGAGGTGAAATCATACTTGGTTTGGCAGGCGAAAAGGGTCAGGCCAATGAAGAGCCCCGCGGTTATCAAAACAGCCTGGAGAACAAGTCGGGATTGGTAGAAGGACACGACCACGGAGATGGCGTATGCCTCGAGACCTGTGAAACCGGCCAGGAAAAGGAGATTGGTCGGATAGGACTTCCGTTTCCAATACGTGAGTAACATGAACCCGATTGCACCAAACATCTGGGACTATGTCAGCACGATGCTCAATATTTGTAAGATAACCCAAAACCGAAAAATCAACAGGATGAAGGGCCGGAAATGCATACAGAAGTCCACATCATCCACTGGTTACTCTGAATCCAGTCCTTGTAGCCACTGTGGAAGAAAGATATCGAGCTCAGGACGGCGGTTGCTAGCAATTGCACAGTGCTTGGTTATGTCAGTAAAGAGCCCTCTGGTGGGCGAGGAAGGGCAACTTACAGGATAGCGTAGACCTTTCGTACGAACTGCATTCGAATATCGATTGTGGCCTCCGCCACAGATCCCCCAAACTAAATCGAGTCAGTCATGATCATGTCTGGACTAGACCAGCGTGGTCAAATACCTTGAAGTCATCTGGAACATTATCCTCGCTGTTCCTTGGGCCACCGAGCAGTGCGTCTTCGTCCCTGCTTGAGCTGGGCTGGTCTTCATACGATGGTGGGGCCTGGGTGTAGTGGGCGTCATCGAGGGAATCGCGCTGGCGCGCCTGAGTATATTTCGTGGTATCGGCCATCGTCACAAGGCGTTATAGAAGCCAGCCGCTGAGCCTCGTAGTATGGTAATTCGTTTGGCGGTCCGTTACGGAGTAGAGCTATACTCTTGATCTGATCTGTGAAGGTTCAAGGCGATGTCAGGTCAGCGGCAGGCTCCAACATCCTCCACGGGAGTCCCACCAAGTGGCGACAGGGGTCGTCACCGTTTCTTAGTCATGATTCGCTTGCTCCAATATCCATGTACGATACTAGAGGTACGTACCCATCATTCATGCAGCCGCGGCTCCACACCTTCTCCAGTCTGTGAATATAGCTTCTTTCTTTCCCCAGCTTACTTGCTTGTGTAGGTGCCGTATAGTCTTTGAATATAGCTTCTTTCTTTCTTTCCCTAGCTTACTTGCATAGTCCAGTATAGTAAGCAGTAAGTAGTAAGGCTGTGGTACGGGCCACGGTAACCGTCTATCCGTTTAGTTGTACAGTGCAGCACTTCAATGTCATAATATAACCTCTTGAGTCTCTCCTGTGATACCTCAATAGGCCGATGCTCCAACAGGCTCAGTAGTATGGCATCCACGTAGCATATCACTTTATTTTTTTTGGGGGCAACAATTCAGGGGGAAGATTTTCATGAATAACACTCTAACATAGTACAACACCATCGTTCAACATTCGTAGCATATTAGTAACAGACTGAGGGCAGCTTAACCGAGTCTCCTTGTTTGCAAAATAGAAACTGAAAGAAAAGCTACATGAGTTTTGAGAGTACAAAAAATACCTCTCCCATGCAAAAACAATCCACAAAGAGGTATCGCTCGGCGGTCGGGAAACGCTATCGTCCCAGAATAAGATTGACAACGCGGCAATGGAATCATTTTAGCACCTCACTCCTCGGCGTGGCCATTCGTGGCCTCGAGATGCGCAGTCTGTTCGCGGTGCATCCTTGCTTCGATCTCCTTCAGCTGGCTCTCGCGGGCCAAAAGTTCTTGTCTCTTCTCGTTGATCTCGCGCTGCACCTTGATCTCGATCTCGCGCAGCTTCTCCTCTTCTCTGCGAAGTTGCTCCTCCTTGAGCCTGACAGATTGTGAGGCAAGATCCTCGGGGTTCATAGAAGAGTCCCTAGTAAAATATCAGTAAACATACGACTGTATCTCCTCACTGGGGAACTTACGCTCCAGCGCCGCCATCAACACTCTTGCTGAGCTTCTCGGTACGGTAGTTTTCGTAGAGGAAGTCATGAGTAATCTCCTTCAGATCCGCCAAGTGACTGTGCAGAAGAGCACTACGGATAGCAAGGAAGTCAGAGTGTCTGGGGTTATCAACCTCTACAACACCCCACGGGTACTGTCTGGCTCTAACTTTGCGACCACCGATCTCAACGACTTCCTCAGAGCCGACAATAGCAAACGGCATGAGACCTCGAAGCTCAGCATTCTCTTCGACAGTATCCTCATCGTCCTCCTCGATGTCGTAAGGGAAGTTGTACACTGGAATGCGATAGTGCTCGATATCCTCCATGACAAGCTTCTTGGATTCGGCCAACTCAGCGGGCGTAAGAGAGTCAGCTTTCCCGATGACAGGGATCACATTGACTCTTGGTGAAAGTCGCTTCATGAGTTCAATATCTAGTTCACGTAGTCTATACCAGTCAGATCGAATATCGCTTTAGATGAGGGGGTGCATACCCGTGTCCTGTAGGAGTAATAAAGTAGAGAAGAGCATGAACACGATTGTCGCGGAATCGTGGGTTACGCTTAATGCGCGACTCCTCTGCGAGAATGTCATCGTACTGTCGCTCGAGATAGCCAACAATCTCGCCGAAGCTATACCGTTGTCAGTAAACTCGTATAAGGAGACTATCTCTGATGAGTTCCTACCTCGCCTCGTTGTCAATTTGATCTCCGAAACCGGGTGTATCGACAACAGTTAGAGAAATACGCGTTCCCTCTTCGTCCAACTCGAGTTCTGTTATCCGAATCAGTGTTGTTTCCGTTGGCAGTATATTCGAGGCTTTGCTCACCGACAGTGATTGGCTTGATTTTGACGCCTTCCTCGATATGCGCATTCGCTGCATCATCATCGTCCTTGCCAGGAAGCACCTTCTTGCCGCAGAGGGTGTTGACGAAAGTTGTTCGGCCTTCTCAAAATGTTAGTTCCCGACACTGATAGACGCGTTTGAGGGAGATCCTCTCACCAGAGCCAGATGCGCCCACGACAGCAATGCTGAATTGGATACCTCTGAAGGAAACAGACAGGTTAGCAGCAGATCTCAAGCGTAAATCAGATCAAGGCCATACTTCTTCACGTTCTTCTTCTTGCGGATCCGGATCTGGGACATCTAAAGGTTAGCACAATGATTTGTTCGGTATGCGATAGGGAGTGCTCACTGCGCCCAATGGAGAAGACATGGCTGTCGGACAATCTAGATATCGGGATGCGCAATTGAATTCGAAGAGTAATAGAGTATGGTGGAAGGAGGTGTAAGTGAGATGTTGATGCTCCCGAGTGTAGAAGAGGTTAATGGGGAGGTCTCCGATATGAAAGTTAGGGGTTGGCACTGGGAAGTAGCGAAATTCAGGGCCCAAGGTAAGGTGATGGGGTCAAATTGGGACTAGCCTATTTGGTCCACCTCCCTTTCAGAATACACTACTAACGTTTACTGTAGTACTACTATGGTAAGGTACTTGCAGAGACGAGGCTGAAGAGGCACTAACAGTGGTAATCCTTACCATCCTTACCAAGTTAGATGTACCATGTCATAGGGAGTACTCCCAGTACTCTCAACCATATTATTATGGTGCTACTACCAATCTTGGTGCTACTACACTACCATACCATCCATACCACCTACCATACCACCACTCTTGTGACCAAAGGCAAAATTGACAAGGCTTCAGTTACCCATTATATTCTCATCAAGGACGTCCAATTCGAGAGAAAAGAAAATACTTATCACGCAAACTTATAAATAGGAACTTCCTAAAACATTCTATCACGTTATTTGCCGCTAGAACGTCGAGGCGCGCGTGCCCAGGGCGGGGACCTTTTGTCAAATCAGTCCGTGTTTGACAGGAACTACCGTAACCTTCTGATCTGGCGGGGTTAAACCTTCTTCGCCACAGCACATACAGAACCGCAATGCGCCTACAGGACCTAGCTTAGCAAGAACGAAAGGCTTCCCTTTCTAGATTTGCCTTTGTTTTAGCCCTCATAGCAGTCGTAGCTGCCAAGATTTACTGAATATGAATACAAGGCCAACCATCGAGCCGTCGGTTAGCCCTGTGGCGTTGTACGCAGCCTTCAACGACGACGCAACGTGCTTTTCAGTTGGGCTGGACTCTGGGTTTTGTAGTATGTTGGGGAGTCATCCGCTGATGTTGAATTATGAACTATTCTAATGGTCTCTTGTAGTTTTCAATTCTGACCCGTGCGAGCTACGGGCATCACGAGGTATGGGTGCCTGTTGGACTGTTGAACGTTCACACTCATTATTAAAAACTAACCTACGGCCATAGATTTCAATGGCGGGGTGGGAGCCGTGGACATGTTGGCCAGAGCGAATTATATAGCACTGGTTGGAGGGGGGAAGCAACCCAAATTCCCACTCAATAAGGTGAGACATTCACAGAGATTCAACACCACATACGCTGAGACGGCCAGGTGATAATATGGGATGATGCGAAACAGAAGGCTGTAATAACTCTTGAATTTGGGACTGCAGTCCGAAGGGTTCGATTAACGAGACAACGGATCGTCGTCGTACTACAGAACAGCGTCCATGTGTATGTTTTCTCTTCCCCTCCAGAAAAGGTTTCTATTTCCGAGACTGCCGACAACCCCCTGGGCCTCTGTTGCTTATCGTCACAATTGCTGGCGTTCCCTGGGCGTACTCCAGGTCAGGTGCATTTGGTTGAACTGGAAACGGGAGGTGTGCGAATCATCCCGGCACATACATCTCCCTTGCGGGCTATTGAAATTAGTCCCGACGGTGAGATCATGGCAACGGCAAGCGAGACGGTGAGTATCTCTCGTCCTATATCCTGCACCGGAGTGTCTGACATTCGTCATAGGGCACATTGATACGCGTATTTGGAACAAGCAATGGTGCTCGTATTGCCGAGTTAAGGCGGGGCGTTGACCATGCGTCTATTTTTTCGATATCTATCTCACCGTCCAGCCAAATGCTGGCAGTTACCTCAGACAAGTCGACGTTGCATGTCTTTGATATGCCCCATCCTTCAAAGGTGGCAAGACCAGATTCAAGCAATCCTAACCGACGCCTCACATCGATGGGTAGTGGCAGTCCTTCGCCGGTGGGAGATGAAGCTCCAACTCAGAAGTGGGGTATCCTCAGCAGAATACCCATGTTACCACGTGTGTTCTCAGATATCTATTCTTTCGCATCGGCACATTTCGAGATGGGCGATGCCGTACCTCAAGAGTCCTCACTTCTTGACAGCACTTCTGGAGCCTCTAGACCGCGGAAGGGAGTTATCGGCTGGACCAGTGACCACAGCCTCATTGTCATTAGTGCTGGACGTGACGGGCGGTGGGAAAAATTTATCCTTGCAGAAGGCGAGGATGGAAAGCGATATTGCGTCCGTGATGGCTGGAAGAGGTATCTTGGCCCATCATGATGAGGCTCTCGATCAGGGAATAATACTTGGTATTACGATTGGGCCGCGCATGCTCAATCAACGTGACCAAAATTGGGCGATGGATGTTCGATTCCAAGAGCATTCCACTCAAACCAAGCCAATAAGCAGCCGGGAATCTACGGCATCTCTTCAGCAAACATACGAGTATTTGGAAGTAGACATAATATTTGCGGCGGTTGATCAAGATCCTTATCGTCCGGCTTGGTATCTGGAAATGCGAATTTTGGTTGTAGTTGGCCTAGTTGTTACCACATATCAATTCCAGCCATGAAATAACTTAGAACTTTTCCTTCGACCCACGTGCATATTTCACCTCTTCATCTTCACGTACGGTCCTGTGGCTGTCGTAACGTGACCTTTTCCTAGAATTATCCCGACGAGAGTGGTGAGCCCTTTCTCTAGGACTACGTGACCTGGAAGAGCGACGACTCCGGTGGTGGTGCCTCTCTCTGTGGTCCCGGGATCTGGGTTTCTCATCTTGACCTCGCCGCAACCTCGCCGCAACCTCTTCCCTTTTCTCGCGAATAAGGAATTCTTTCATGGGGTCTTCATCATCATGTTCGTCCTCGAGAGCCTTAAGCTCACGTTCCTCCTTCGACATCAGTCGTTCTCTCTCCTTCCCGTGGTTATTGGGCCCCGCAGAGTCGTTTATATTCGAGCGAATGCCTTTATCGTCCAGGACAAGTCCTTTATCTGGCTCCTCATCCTGCTTCTTGTATCTTGTATGATCAACTCTAAGGACTCTGTTCATGATTTTTGTGCCACCGAGGTTATCAACGGCAAGGTCTGTACTCCTTTGGTCTTCGTATTTCAGGAAAGCAAATCCTTTGGATTCCCCTGTTTCTTTGTCGCGCACAAGATTTATAAAAGTCGGTTCGCCATACTGAGAAAAAATAGTTATGATGTCGCCCTCAGACAGCTGGAACGGCAGCCCTCCTATGTAAATATACGCCGTATCTTTGTAGTCGGAATGCCATGACGCCTCTGGGGAACTAATGCTCGTTAGAAGGCGTGAACCACTATAACTCAAGTTCAATGGAGTTTCCTTAACATACACTCCATTTTCTAGCTCTCTCCTGTTCAGCTCTTGGACTTGGCGTATGCTATTCATGGTTACGGGACTGTGTGTGATTGACGTTGTTGTCGTGCCCAGGAGGACCTGTTACTTATTTATTATCTGCAAGGCTGACACACGGGAGGTCCCGTTATCGACGGATAGGTACCTTCAACTCCGTAGTAAAGTCAACCAAAAGGAGGCCTACCACGCCAACTTCCGAAGAGAGCATTTCACATTTCACAGCAATAAATGAGCGCATATGGAGCCTATTGACGCCTCTGTTAGTAGAGAAATGAGCAACTGGTTGTGAGCCACACATACGGCCTGATCCACTCTGGGCAAGCTTTGAGATACTGCAATTGGAAACACGATAAACAATCATGTCAATACACACACCAAACCCCCAATTCACGGAAGATGACGTGCATAAGAGCCAGGACACGTCGAAGAAGGAGATGTGGTCCTCTATGTTGGACAGTGTAGCTAGTGGAAAGCGCCTTCCAGAGAGGAATGTTTTTGTTCTAGGTAGGCCAAAAATACCGAGATGTTCACATGGACGACCTTCTAATAAACCCACAGGAGGCTCGTCTGAGAGCCAAAAAGAGTTCTTGGAGGCCCTATCTTCGGAATCATCAACGAAAAGATCCCAGGGCCGGCATGGAAACAGGAAGCCGCCTGTGGCAAACGATTTTGCACTTGGGTATACCTACCACGACGTTCTGGACGCTGACCATGAGGGTATGAACTTCTGACATCCTGGGCTGCTTCACCTAACTGACACATCAAAGATACCATAGCCCGGCTGTCCTTGTACTTGTTGGCAGATTCATCTCCAACCTTCACTCCGCTCTTGCGGTCGCTCCTCACACCCGAGTCAATACCAAATACCTTGATTGTCGTTTTACTCGACTGGTCTGAGCCATGGCTCTGGTTGCAACAATTGAGGGACTGGGTGAAGTTACTGCGGGTATTACTCGTCTCACTGAGTCCTGAGTGCAAGGCCAAGATGGAAGAAGTCATGATCCGCTGGCGTGACAGAGGAAAGGGAACGGCATTGGATGGTGGAAGTTCTCTTTCATCTGAAGGTGAAGTCAGTCTGCCCCTAGGTCCTGGAGAATGGGAGGATGCATTAGGGCTGCCATTGTGTGTCGTTTGTCAGAATGTGAGTAGTTCTTGATCACAGATACTGTTATAATACTTATTATGAACAGTCCGACGAAATGGAGACACTGGAAAGGGAGAGTGCCTGGAAGGAAGAAGAGTTCGACTTCGTTTTGCAGACGCTGCGAACCATATTACTTAAACGTAATACCTCCTTGTCGCCTGCAGTGTTCCACATGCTAATGTTGAGGCTTAGATGGCGCCTCTCTCATATATACAATACCTTCTGCGCCAAGTCAACTCCGACCTCTGATACACTCGTCACTTGGTATTCAACCACTATTAAAAAAACTGACTTTGAAGCATAACGTCATCGATCGGGATAAGGTTGTTGTTCCGCCAAATTGGGACTCTTGGGGAAAGATCCGAGTTCTCAGAGATGGTTTCGATGTCGAGCGAATGAGCCAAGGGTGGACTTGTGACATTGAGGAAGATCCAGTATACACCAGCAAAAAAAAGATGGAAAGTGATCAGAGCGAGCCCCGAACGGATTCCCAAACATCTGGGGGACGTTTGAGTGCCATATCCACCTACGAAGAGGCTATCCGAGATCCTCGACGCGATGGCGCTTCCAATATGCACGTCAACTCCACCGGCCAGAAATTAGAGATTAAAAGCCAGGAAACGCAAGCATTCCTAACCGCCCAGCTCGAGGCTCTAGATCATATCCGTAACACTGCAGAACCTGAGCGAGAGCGCTCGACTAGGCAGAAATTCTTCCAGGATGAGGCTATCGTTCCAGTTGAAAGCCACATTGGGCCTGTACAATGTAACATGGGGGGTATCGAAGTCGACGTAGATGATATGCTCAAACGATTAACGGTACGTATGATATGAATGCCTCTTGAGAATAATAACGCTAGGGTTCAATCATGCTGATTAAAATAGGACCACAACCGGAACTTGGACACGGAAACTCCCAGCGTGTCAACACCAGATGGAAAGTCCCAAAACGAGGCATTGGCATCGTTCTTTGCAGGTCTAGTGAAAAGAGGCGGGGGTAGCGCAGCGAATAGCCCAAAGCCGGGGGGGGTATAACAAATCGGCGTTCGTTGTCCTACTATTAGTTTTGTTAGATTGCTGGCGGTCGATTCATGATACCCTCGGAAATATGTCTTGTGTGCAGCTAATCAATCAAATGCCGATCATCAAATTTGTATGCACTGTTACCCATAACCATTATTGTCACCTGCCACCACTAAGTTATCTCAACGTTTGGGAAATTAATTCCTACCTCGTCAATTTACCCTCTTTGTTGTTACGCAGTTAATTGCCTACTAAATTATCGTAAATATCAAATCTACCACCTAACTAACTATTTTAAAATAACAGAACAGCCACCTATGTGTTAGAATTTTACTTATCTTTTACAACAACCACCCCATTTGTATACTAAGTTTTTCGTGTTCTAAGTTATCACGTAAGCTTTAACGTAAGTCGTGGCGTACTGCGGGTAATGGCGTACTGCGGGTATGTACCTTTACAGCTAAATTTATATGTGAAGGTACTTAAATCCTAAAACTTCAAAGTTAAATAACTCTGTTAATAAATTTATTATAATTTATTCCTCTTATATAAAGGGTCTATATATACTAATAATTAATATGTGAAAACACTAGAAGCAACTATATTAAGTTACATAAGTTATTAGAAGTATAAGTATTTGCTATACAAAATATTTGTATAGCAAATCTACACTTGTTAATATCTTCTGCATAAGGCTAGCTTACATAATAGCGTAATTAAGCATAGCGTATACGTATATAAACATCTTATTTATAAGATGAATAAGTTCTAATAATTTTATTAATAGAGTTATTAGAGGTTAAAAGTTTTTAGGATTTAAGTACCTTTACATATAAATTTAGCTGTAAAGGTACATACCCGCAGTACGCCATTACCCGCAGTACGCCACGACTTACGTTAATGGTTTTAATTTGTATTAGTAGTTCTAATATTAGTCGTTATAAATATTAAAAGTCAACCTAAAATATATAAAATATTATAATTGCTACCCTAAATACTATAGGTAATATATAATTATATAATCATTAATTAGAGGTAGTAAGTATTAAGTACGGCAATTCCTACTGTCTTTAACTTAAATAACTAACTAACTAACTCATGGTATGCCATTATTAAAATAGTTATGTTGCCTTTTATTATTAAATTTACGGACTTAAATATAATCCCATCCCGCTTAAGCTACCTTGAAAAATAAAGATGAAAACGTAAGATAGTTTAGAGCTGGTGGAGGTATTCCATGCCCATAATCACCGATCGTAGTGACAGGTCTTGCTAAATGACGTAATATACGTCTAACCCTAACATCGTCCTAATTGAACCTTGACAGACACAGGTAGTCGACATAGAATGCCCCTGCATCTCCTAATAGAGGGTACTACGTAGTTTACGGGATGAAGCTTGATTGAAGGTTGTTGCAATCCATCGATTCGCAAGTGGATAGTTCGTTGGAACCTCGCCCGTCGTTTCGTCGCGGACCTGGCAGCACCAACTTAAGCCACTAGGTCCATACATAATGAAAAAGGAAGCTTTCAACAAGTTGAAGTAGTTAAGTTACTTAATAAAACGTATGTACTATTATATACAAACTAAGCTGAGACGCGCTGGTGCCTATGGGTTTATCGCGATGAAGCTGGAACAGTCGTCTGCTTCATTTGCCAAAGTGCCGTCTTTGCTCGGTCACGAACATCTAAATCGCAGTCACGCTCAAGAACTTCCATTTTTGCAAGAAACCCCAACTTTGTCAACTCTCGGACCCGTTGAGTGCGAGTTACAGTGTCTTGGTCGTCTTCAACCCACGTCAGGTTGATGACAAGCCAGCAAAGAGCCAGCCGAACCTCCTTGTCTGGATGGCTGGACTGTTCTAATACAAGCTTTAGCAGTTCTGTCTGGGCCACAACCTGCTGTCGGTGCCGAGGAACACTTGCAGCTACGTTAGCTAGTATGTATTCGACGGATGTGATAATTTCAGGCTGAGGAGGTACAATTCTTGTCTCGCCATTGCCGCTTCCGATATCCGAACCACGTTTGCTGAAAGGATTTATAACTTTGGGCCTCAACTTAGACGCCAAGATTTCAAATATTTGGTCCTGGCCAAACGAATGGAAGAGGAAGTCAATCATATCGGAGTTTTCGGCCGGTCCAGTACTATTGTAGGCGCCAATAAGATTTCGAATCAGGTCAAGACCTTGCTCTTGCACGGCAGTATCGTTTTCCCGAGCTTTTTTGCCCAGGCTAAGCTCTCCTTTTTGAAGAGCAGCAAATCGAGAATTCACAAGTTGACTCGTGGAACCTGAAATTGATTTGGCCCTTTCTGACTCTGGGAACTTTCGGCTAAAGCCTGGGCTTTTGTTTGCGGAACTCACACCAGTTGCATTATCTGCCATTTTTTGCTTATAGTCCTCGTCGTCTGAGTAGTTCATATGGACATCATTGTCCTGGTCCACAACTGTCGATCTCGTGGACGACGTATAAGCGGCATCATCCTCTGTATCTTCACAGATGAGTTGTACGAGCCAACCCTGTCCAAGTTCTTCGACACACGCCATTTTGATATCATTTCCAGCGGACTGCACCAAATGCTTCAACGCCCAAAGCGCATTAAGGCGAAGATTTACGTTGGCGGAGTGCGCGTGCTGGCAAAGGATTTTCAAAACGCCAGCGGCCGAAATTGTCTAGAAGCTTGTCAGCAAAGTCAATGTGTGGCTTTCACGTAATCATACTTCACGCATCGGACTGAACTCAGTCACAATATTACACACCGTCGCAGTTGCCGCTATCTGAACTTCGATATCCGCATGGCTCAGAAGATTAAAAATCGGCATAACGACTCCATTATCCACCAGGGTCGTTCTCAATATGCTAACTGAGCGTGACAGATGGCGAACAGCGCCACAAGCCGCGATGAGGACAGAAGTTGGGTTTATACCAAACCCAGAGTCAAGGCTAGATGCTTCGCCCGCGCTTGTTTTCAGGGTTGTTTCTGACTTCTCATTTACTTTGTGTGACGGTTTCTCGGGGTGTGGTTTTAGTGACTCGACGATAAATGGCATAGTTCCTTGATCCACAATAGATTTTCGGTATTCATCCTTAAAGGGAACAAGAGCCGCAATTGCTCTAAGCACGCTTTCGCGGACCCTGATCTTGTGAACAAGAAGGGCGGAAAGCCCACTGTCTCCAAGTTTTGATGACCTTGACGTATGCACACTATCCTTGTCGACCTCAGACGAAGAGCCGCCTGATGACCACGTACGAGCTTCATGGTTGGTTGGCACCCGGTCATATGAAGATTTCATCATCTTTGCAAGCTTGCTAATAATTCCAGCTTCGTACGCCGATTTTTGTAGGTATTCGCTGTCGATAATCAGCTTCGCAATTACTGCGGGTGTGCGTTCCATGAGCAGCCACAGTTTGGCAGTCTGTCGTGCATCGTTGGTTGTAGAGTGTTCCGCTGCGCGTTCAAGTAAACCGACCAGTATCGGGATGACCAGCAGCCCGATTGATATCTCTCTGGATTTAGCTGTAACCCCTGCCCTGTACAGCCCTGCCAGGAGGTATGCTGCCATTAGCCGACCAATGTCAGTGCTGGACCTCGTAAGCCATATCAAATATGGTACCAATGGGCTTTCAGGCTCTTCGGCGTCACCTACCCCGCTACTACCTGGTGGTAGTTCGGTGCTCGCGAGGTTGCGGTGAGGCCACGCGGCTGTCTTGGAACCGCTGTCTTGCATGATGGAATCAGACGGCCCTTGTGTTCCCAAGGGAGGAAATGCAGAACCAATGCCAGAAACACTGTTTGTGTAGCTCGTAGAAACGTTGGGGATCAGATAATCGACGGCATTCATTTGCAACTCTCTGCCTGATGGGTCAGAGGCATTGTAGGCAGCCCATTCTGCTTTGGTTGATCGGTTTGGAGCAAAATCAGTTGTTGGGAAAAGGGGGAACACAGCAAGTATGGCACTGGAATAAATAAGCTGGCAAGCTCGCAGCTTCGAATCGGCTACAATAACACCGATGCATTCCAGAATGATCGCAAGATCGGCACCCTCAGAACCTTCTGCGTAGGGGAACTTGTTTAAAAGGCCCTCTTTCTCCACCGCCGCATCAGCCCCGGGAATAACCAGTCCCTGAATGGCTATAATTCCAGCCAGTCTAGTGGCAAGAGCATCTAACAGACCAGCATTGGCAAGGATTGACCGATGGCGTTCGTTTTGACAAAGTTTACTTATCAAAGATGCCGCAAGACATACTTGGCTGCGTGTATGAGGTAATGTCGAGGATTGGCTGAAGATTTTGTACATAGAGCCAACATGAGAGGTAGAGAAAATAGAATCGGCAAGCGAGGTAATGCTGAAGGTACTTGATGCCAATGATAAGCACGTTGACTCTGTCAAGTTAGACAGAGCCTGCAGCGCCGCCGCAACCAATTGTGGCGGGTTTGTAGACGGACAAAGGTTCGACAGTATGGCAGGAAGAGCGAATGCACAGTGCAACGGTTCTATGAATGGTGGTCCACCTGATATGCTTTAGTAGTGTAACATAATTTGGTTTGGCTTGAGGGTTGTTTACCATATGCCAAGCTCCCAAGGATGGAAAGAGCTTGTAATCTCAGAGTCTCCTCTTCGCTCAATGATTCGGTATCCCATGCTGGTTCCTGACCCAACTTGCTGTCCTGTCTGCTTTCTGTGGAAGCCGAGGCTTGCACTATCGAATCCAAAATTCCGAGGCCTACCCAAGTCTCCTTCCTCTGTTGGTGGCCAATAATATCATTCTTTAAGGTCCTTAAAGCAGTGATATGCTCTGTAGGTGAGCCAGGGTGGAGGATCTGTGCCAGTATCGGCTGGGATAAGGAGGTTTCCATCGTTTATCGAGTTGTATGTGAAAGACGGTCAGAGATATAGAGGCTTGGTTCATCCCATTAGATCTGTGTTGATCTGAAACCAGAATGTATCAATTTGACAATCGCTATTGCTCTGATCTAAGCTGCGTTTGCAGTCACAATCGGAAACCTTCAAGATGTTCTGGGATCATTTCCAGTTCGAATTCAGTGATGGCGGTTGTGGGCGAACACTTGAGGAGCGACAGAGGTGCCACTATATACTATTGTAGTTTAATCTTCTAAGTATAAATCATGTTGAGTAACAATTAGGGTAGAATAAAGTAATCGAAGCAGCCGGAAACGAAAATGCGATAGAAGCGCGTATTCGAGGGTGTTCCTTATCAAGAGATACCGAGATGAACGTGATGCGATCATGGCCTGTCTGGAGCGGTGTCGCATACCTAACCAGGTTCCCTAAATCCGAAAGATCTAGGCTGTGTCACATGATATTGCCCCACCTAACTCGCCCACGCGTCAGAGCTCGCGACTCAACTCCACATAAACACGGTTCTGGCTGAGACCCAATTGTCTTCGCCACAACTCTCAATCTCCATCGTACAGTCAATTACCTCAAGTACCAACGACGACACCCACGATGTCCGAAATCAACAGTTCAACTACTCAAGCCCAGGGTGGCGATCCTCATGGAACTGAGACCGGTTCAAACGACAAGGGAAAGGGCAAGGCTACCGACCCCACCCAAGATGTGAGCATGGGCGAAGACGATGATGAGGAGGATACCAGTGACGATGAGGTCGATGAGGTCAGTATTTGAGCTTGCGACCCTTATTATGCATGAAAACTAAACTAACATTTATAATAGGCTGCTCCCGTCGGTATGATCTTGAAAACGCTTAAACCGCTGACCGACCACACTGCTAACACATATAGTCGACGAAGCCGATGAGGACAACATGGAGGAGATCGATACCAGCAACATCATCAGCGGTGGCAGACGTACTCGTGGCCGCCAGATCGACTTCGCCAAGGCAGCCCAGGAGCTTCCAGAGGATGAGGAGGACGAGGAGGATGATGGAGATTTCGAAGCCCCAGCGGATGAAGATAAGATGGACGAGTAGATCATGGGCACTTAAACAAGGGCTCCTATGAGGATATCCACCATCAATCTATGAGAAGCGTCTGGCCAGCGATCAATGAGCCTTCTTACATATGAACGTTCCTCTTTCTATTGCAGTATACGTCCTCTCATGTCGTCATGTTTGCCCCCATAACCTGTCCTTTCAGCAGCCCACCCATAAAACTATGGTGTCAATGAGAGCCCTTCAAATACGATGTTATGTTTTGCGCTTTATTTGCAGCCGTTCCGTGTTGATCTTGAAATACATGCAGTGGCAACAATGAGCTCTCCTGAAAGTAGCACGTGCTAAAGTTCTGGCATTGTAATAAGTATTGTAAACGTGACACGGTTTCCCAAATCGCCAGTATATTTAACTTTCAACACGACAAATTGTGGTGATGGTTGAAGATTGATTTCTCGCCACTGGATTATCGATACGTCTCATAAATCGACAATCGCCCATGCCCAGGTTTTCTGAGCCAGTATCGACAATCTAGACGGGGATTAGTGTTGTGAAGCGAGCTACTTCTGTCTGTCTGTCAGGCAAACTACTACAAGCTTCCTGTCCAAGTTTATCTTCTCCGCCGTAACTATGGCCTCGAGGTATGTGTGTGTGTACTTCTTCCGAGAGTTTTGCGTTTGGCGAAACAATGTGTCCAGATCACCCGATAAAGGCCATCGAAGTTGCGAGCTGCACGCTAGCCAGGCTTCAAACATCGAACATACGCATCCTTATGCTATTTCCAAGATGTCGCCGGCCTAGCTGAACGCGTTTACTTCAGCTACATCATGATCGATCTTGTCAGTCTGCGCTGTCGCAGCAAGGAGCACGGCGAACCCAGCCGGTTCGCGCCTGGGCCTCTCTGATCACTCCGCGACGTCATCAGCTAGGAAAGTGCCAAATGGAAGCCCATTAACTCAAACTTGCAGGTTCGGACCGTCCTCTTTACACCAGAGAGATCCTCGCAGCGCTCTCTTCGAAGGATACGATGGCGGCGGGGCTGGCCGGGTGAAAAATGGAAACGCTTCACCACGCAACGATGGTGGTTACGGATACAGCGGCAGTGGAGGAGCAGGAACGCTGGGAGGCGAGAGGCAATCGTATAGGCCAGCAACACCCAATTCAAGGTACGAATTATTATATGCGGCACACGCTTCGATTCCACATCGTGATGTGTCTTTGGCGAAGCCGAAAGGATAGGTGATAACGTAGGAAACTTTAGGGGACAGTACAGCGATGCTACTCTGAACGAGTTAGAAAGCCAAAACGATGGGCAGGTGGAGGGGATTCTGGGAAAGGTGAAACAGTTAAAAGATGTATGTATCCTTGGAGCTCCAACGCCGGAAAGTGACACTGATAATTTGCTTTTAGATGACGATTGCAATCGGCGACGAGATCCGCGAATCCTCAGCGCTAGCCGAAAAGATGAACGATTCATTTGACAATACCAGAGTGAGATTAAGGGGAACTATGAATAGAATGCTTCTCATGGCAGAGAAGACGGGCGTTGGCTGGAGGGTTTGGGTTGGCTTTTTCGCCGCCGTGATGCTCCTCTTTATCTACGTCTGGCTGTTCTAGATTTCGGGATTGGTACATGGCGTTGAAGGTGTATAAATATTCTAGTTGTGGGATGAAGTCAAGTACAATTCAAGCTCTGCATAACATTTGAGCATTTCAGCCAAGAGAGTTGAGAATGCGTGGTGTTCCGAGACCATCTACATATTCTTAATCGGATATCCAGTTATACCACAGTGGGCAATATCAATATTATGCAACCCGGGATTATCACTTTTTAATTGATACTTTGACTTGAGTGGTGAGACCCATCGTCGTCAACCTCTCGAAATGAACTGTTCCTCCTGTCGCTTCCTAGAGTGCGAGGAGCGAGGTTACTCGACCTTGGGCTGCTCTGGAATCCACTGCTCTCACGAAGACCTTCATTCGCCCGCCGCCCAAAAGGCAAGCCCCCCTCGCCCTCACTTTCGTCACTTGAACTTGTTAGTTCCTCTTCGGTGTCCGTGTGTTCGTAACCGCCCATAGCTGACTCTGGAACTCCACTATCCAAATCAGCGTCCATGTCCATGTCCATATCAAGGTCCGCATTGTCGTCGAGACCTTGCTCATGAAGGAGATCGTCCTCTTGAAGCATTTGGGACCCGTCCTCGTCTTCAGATGCCAATCCGCCTTCACTCCCATATCCGTGGCTATGGCCTTCGTTACCGCGTACCAGCGCATCTCGATACATTTCGTCAGGAATTCGTTGTGCCATTGTGGCTCCAGCAGATTCATCAGCGTCCAAATCATCCTCGCTGCCCGACTCACCCTGGCCCAGCCCGGTGATGTCGGCTTCAGGAATATCGTCGTCAAGATCTCGTGCTTCTTCCATCTCCCCATCGCCCCCTTCTCCCTGCAGGAGTTCGTCTGCCGCCTCGGCCTCGGCGAGCTCTTGGGCGAGTTGTTCGCGTCGCAACGCCTCTTGGTGCTCCTCAAGTTCGCGCTTCTCCTCGCGAAGCTGATGGAGGCTTTTGACAACCCCTGGCGGTTTTATCCATGAGCTACCATAATTTTGGACGTTTTGTTTCCGGCGCTCCATATAGAGTTCATCAGCACGCAGTCGCGCCAGTGGTGTTCTACTGGAAAGTCCTTGTTGTCCCCGCCGTAATGGATGTGGCCCTGCATTCTGGCCGGAGCTCGCGTTGGGAGAAAGGTGGTCGACATTGGTGATGGCGTCGTGCTGACCTGGGAAGTCGTTGGTATGGTGGTTTGAGGAGTACCACAGTGTGTGAGACTATAGATGAGAGGTGAGCAAGAGATCGCGTAGATACCAGCTAGCAGGGCAACCTACATCTCGTGGAGCAAGACTGGGGAGTGAGCACATCATCTCGAAGAAGCTGAGGAGGGGCGACCGACAACGGTGCAGCTTGTGTGATCTCGACGTATTGGGAGGATTTCAGATCACCAAGGTCGTTGCTGGTGTTTGTTGTGGTGGTGCGTGATGCGTGATAGGCCTTCCTTTTGTAAATAGAGCAATGCCAATAGAGTAATGCCAAGGCGAGGCTGCGACTATACTTACTTGTGAAACTAGAAACTAGTACGGTAGTTTTAAGGTTGGCACATGCATGTGGAGTAACGAGAACAGAGCACGGACGGAAGTTGACAAGCGCCTAAGATCCAATCTGATAGGCCGGTGCGTCTTCCAAATGCGAGCGCTTCTATTGGCCTTTCCAGGGATGAGACGCGCCTTAAACTCCGACTCCGACGAGCCTCAATGCTACATACAGGAAGTACAGTACTTACTGTTACGTCGGTGGTGTTTCCAACTTTCCAACTTTCGTGGTGTGGTGTGATGTGGAGTGGTGCAGCGCGAGTTGCATGTGATATATGACTTTCTGTACACTCCTTGAGTCTCTCACTACCCCAATTGGCCATAACCTATACTGTTCCTGCTTTTACTATGTGAGTCGGCAAGTCTGGTAGCTTCCCCCAGGTATATATTCGATTCTTCGATTCTTGGGGTATATTCAGAATCAACGTTACAGTTGCAACACACATAGCTCTTGGGTATTACTCAGTATGGTGACTGATGTATTGCCCCCCACCTCCGGTATCTACACCACCAAACCTCATCTTTCCCTATCTCACAAGCGAAGGAGCTTATATTACCTAGCGGGGTACTTCCTGTCCCCCGCCAACCGCCTTATTGTACCCGGGTACCCCGTTATGACAGAGGCCAAGACTAATGATAGAGTACTTCAGACTGGCCTGCAATCCACATATAACTACTTGTACTCCATGCTTATACTCATGCTGTATCTCTGTATCTGCTAAACTTCATGCGGTGCAACTCGCCATACGCCTTCTACAACACGGAGATCTTGGTCCATCGTCTTTTTAACATCTTCCCCATAGTACTCTACATAATACACCACAATAACATTACATACATTACACTATAGTACGTAGACCATAGTAGCGCAGAAGAAAACATCCATACAGCCCACTCGCTTTATTCAGCTAAACCTCAGCTAAACCTCATCCCGCGCACCTCTATCCTCTGCTGCCCTTCTGTTTCCGGGCTGCTCCTATTTCTCCCGTCTACCCTTACCATAGTACCCTTACCATACTCCGTAGTCACCATAGCCTCACTTCCTTCTCTCTGCCCTGCCTATTGGTGCCCCCCCCCCGCCCTCCCTCATCTCTCTTCCCATTCCCTTATCCCCTCTCGTTTTTCCTCTGCTTGTTGTTGCAGAATCACCTCTCTGCTCAACCTCTTGCCTGCTCACCTTCGACAACTGTGAATAGAATTGGACATTATCCATTGATGCGCAGGCAGTGTGGTTTGTCTTGCGCTCAATACAAAGTTCAGGATATCAATATCGCAGGTAAATACATCAGATCCCTTCCCTGGTCTTATCCGACCGTTTGGCGTTCATCTTTCGTGTTGTCATGGCATGGGGAAGCTTGGTGGTCCCGACGAATCACCAATCTCCTCTTTATCGCCAATCGCTCGTGCCAGAAGGACCCCCAAGGTGCTCGCGCACCGGAGATGCAACATCAGTCGCAATCGACCAGGCATCAATTCATCTTCATATCTATTCAGGAGTTTATGCAGCCTGTTTGCTACCTCTTGCGCCTCGGCTTCCGGTAACGGGGGTCCGACTGATTGATTGCATTGGGACTTAGCTGCACCGGATTATCAGCGACCGCTCCAAGCTATCATCCGAGACAAAGCAACCCCTCCATTTTATCAGCCCATAATCTCACTTTTTTTTTAACTCTTTCAATTACATATTTGCGGGTTCCAAATAGCTAATGACCCTCAAATAACAGCAGGGAACACAACAATATTCACGTAGCTGGGAACAAGACTACCTTACCCAACTGTTCCACGCAACATCCCGCAGTTCTCCCGTTTGTTGGGACTCTTGCCTAACATGGGCAGAGTCGACGATTTCGATGATAGACATATTCAAACTGAGGCCGAAAATGAGCCTTACAACCAGTATGAATACCAAACCAAGGACAATGAGTCGTGGGCTGGAGCTCTTCCTGTGAAGCAGTAAGTCTTTCTGTATGATTGATCTTATATTTTACTAATCAATTTACATTTAGAGGCTTGTATGATCCAGCATTAGAGAAGGATGCTTGTGGCGTGGGATTTACCTGGTGAGTATAATCCTTTCAGTCTGGACTCAATGGCTTATAAAACAATAGCCATATCAAGGGCAAAGCCAGCCACAAGATTGTTAGCGATGGTATGTGTGCCCTCCTGCTTGATATCTTGATAACTAATCTTTTTTGTGCAGCTCGGAACTTGCTTTGTAACATGACCCATCGTGGGGCGGTTGGTTCTGATGCGCGAGATGGGGATGGCGCTGGTGTCATGACATCGATTCCTCACAAATTCTTCATTAAGAACTTCGAGCGCGAGACCGATATTAAACTCCCTCCTCTGGGACAATATGCAGTTGGCAACTTGTTCTTCAAGCCAGACGAAGAGGTTTTACAAGATTCCAAGAAGCAGTTAGTAAATATCGCTGAGTCTCTTGGCTTGCGTATTTTGGGTTGGCGCGAGCCCCCCAGGGATTCTACTATTCTCGGCCCTGCGGCTGCTTCGCGTGAACCCGTCATACTGCAACCGTTTGTTGTGCTTACATCTGCGTATGGCCCTGGAAATGCGCCAGAGACTACAGATCCTGACCAATTTGACGAAAAGCACTTCGAACGACAACTATATGTTCTCCGTAAGCGTGCTACCCACACCATTGGATCACACAATTGGTTTTATTTATGCTCGCTATCCAATAAGAACATCGTCTATAAGGGGCAACTTGCTCCTATCCAGGTATACCAGTATTACTATGATTTGGTAAATGCAGACTACGAGGGTCACTTTGCTCTTGTGCACTCGAGATTTTCGACGAATACCTTTCCATCTTGGGATCGGGCTCAGCCACTGAGATGGGCGGCCCATAATGGTTAGTACCCTCTACACCACTATGCTTAACTTTGGTATCTAACTACTCATTCAGGCGAAATCAATACTCTTCGTGGAAATAAGAACTGGATGCGCGCTCGAGAGGGTGTGATGCAATCAGATGTTTTTGGCGATGAGCTGGAACTACTATATCCAATTGTTGAACATGGTGGATCCGACTCGGCCGCATTCGATAACGTCCTCGAGTTGTTGACAATAAATGGAGTCCTGTCTCTCCCAGAAGCCGTCATGATGATGATTCCGGAGGCATGGCAAGATAATCCTGCCATGGATCCTGCGAAAGCTGCTTTTTATGAGTGGGCTGCCTGCCAGATGGAGCCATGGGATGGCCCAGCATTGTTTACATTTGCCGACGGAAGATATTGCGGAGCCAACCTCGATAGAAACGGACTGAGACCCTGCCGGTACTACGTTTTGGACGACGATAGAATTATTTGCGCTTCGGAAGTTGGCACCATCAGCGTGGACCCGGAACGTGTTGTTCAAAAAGGTCGATTGCAGCCTGGAAAGATGCTGTTAGTCGACACGCTTGCTGGCCGCATCATTGATGATGCTGAGTTGAAGGCAACTGTATCGAATCGCCATGACTTCAAAGCATGGCTTCAGGATCAGCTAATAAGCCTGCCTAAAATTCACGATACATTTGCGACGGCTGGTGTTCTTGATCTTGCTCCAAAACCGACCAGCTCTGCTATCCAAGAAGATCCAATGCTTAAGGCATTTGGTTACACCTTCGAGCAAGTCAGTCTACTCCTTGGCCCTATGGCCACTGATGAGAAGGAGGCACTAGGGTCAATGGGAAACGACGCTCCTTTAGCATGTCTAGCGCAAGCTCCGCGTCTACTTTACGAATATTTTAGACAACTATTCGCCCAAGTGACAAATCCGCCAATCGACCCCATTCGGGAAGCCATTGTTATGTCCTTGGAGTGCTACGTTGGGCCGCAGGGTAACCTCCTTGAAATGGATGCCTCGCAGTGTAGTCGTTTACTTCTCCCCACGCCAGTTCTATCGATCCCTGACTTGAATGCCTTGAAGGATATCGCTACGCTACATCCGCAATGGACAGTCAAAGTCATCGATCTCACCTTCAAGAAAGAGGAAGGGGTTCAGGGGTATATCAGACACCTGGATTACATCTGCAGCGAAGCAACGGCAGCGATTGAGAATAAGGACCGCATTATCATCTTGTCCGACAGGGCCACTTCTGCTGATCGTGTTCCCGTTTCCGCTCTTCTCGCCTGTGGAATGGTCCATCATCATCTAGTCAACAATAAATGGAGATCGCTTGCAGCAATTGTTATCGAAACTGCGGAGGCCCGCGAGGTCCATCATATGTGTGTTCTCCTCGGATACGGCGCCGACGCCATCAACCCATATCTTGCTATGGAATGCATCCTGAAGCTTAACCGCGAAGGACTTATAAGAAAGAAGTTGAGTGACGACACGCTTATCCGGAACTACAAGTACTCCGCAGATGGCGGGATTTTGAAGGTCATGAGCAAAATGGGCATTTCCACATTGGCTAGCTACAAAGGAGCTCAAATTTTTGAGGCTCTCGGTGTAGATGACAGCGTCGTAGAGAGATGCTTCAAGGGAACCGCAACTCGGATCCGCGGTATAACCTTCGAGCTGATTGCCGAAGATGCCTTTAGATTCCACGAACAAGGATTTCCTTCGCGCTCGACAACTAGTATTCCTGGGTTACCAGAGTCTGGTGAATACCATTGGCGCGATGGAGGAGAACCTCATATCAATGACCCTACATCGATTGCCAATATACAGGATGCAGTAAGAACAAAAAACGACAAGTCTTATGAAGCATATTCGCTTTCCGAGTATGAGTCGATTAAGTCGTGCACGCTCCGTGGTCTCTTGGACTTCAAATTCGATGAGTGTACTCCAGTTCCGATTGACCAAGTCGAGCCTTGGACCGAAATTGTTCGCCGATTTTGCACAGGCGCCATGTCCTATGGATCCATATCCATGGAGTCCCATTCCACTCTTGCTGTTGCGATGAATCGCCTAGGTGGGAAATCGAATACTGGTGAAGGCGGAGAAGATCCAGAGCGTTCCAAGCAAATGCCGAACGGCGATACGATGAGGTCCGCGATCAAGCAAGTTGCCTCCGGACGCTTCGGTGTGACATCAAATTACCTTGCGGACTCAGACGAGATACAGATCAAGATGGCCCAAGGTGCTAAACCGGGTGAGGGTGGCGAGCTTCCTGGCCACAAGGTATCAAAATCAATTGCCCGGACACGTCATTCTACACCTGGTGTTGGGCTGATCTCCCCGCCACCCCATCATGATATTTATTCTATCGAAGATCTCAAACAACTGATTTACGACTTAAAGTGTTCAAACCCTCGAGCCAGAGTATCGGTGAAGCTGGTATCTGAAACCGGGGTTGGCATTGTTGCTTCAGGGGTTGCAAAAGCCAAAGCAGATCATATTTTGATCTCCGGACATGACGGTGGTACCGGAGCATCTAGGTGGACTGGTATCAAATATGCCGGCTTACCATGGGAGCTTGGGCTGGCAGAGACTCATCAGACTCTAGTGCTCAATGACCTTCGAGGACGTGTCGTTGTACAAACCGATGGGCAGCTGCGAACTGGCAGAGACGTCGCTATTGCCTGTCTTCTCGGCGCCGAAGAATGGGGATTTGCTACAACACCTCTCATTGCAATGGGGTGTATTTTCATGCGCAAATGTCATCTGAATACTTGCCCCGTCGGCATTGCCACTCAAGATCCAGAGCTTCGTAAGAAATTCAAGGGTGCACCAGAAGATGTGATCAATTTCTTCTACTATATCGCCAACGAGCTTCGTGCCATCATGGCCAAGCTTGGATTCCGAACGATCAATGAAATGGTTGGGCATGCAGAGGTCCTCCGTGTCCGCGATGACTTACGGACTCCCAAAACAGCCAACATAGATCTGTCGCTGATTTTAACACCAGCCCACCAGTTACGCCCTGGTGTCGCGACATTCAATGTGCGCAAACAAGATCACCGCCTTTATGTTAGGCTTGATAATAAGCTCATTTCCGAAGCTGAATTGACGCTAGATAAGGGCCTACCATCACGCATCGAGTGCGATGTCATTAACACTGACCGTGCTATGGGGACTTCGCTGTCCTATCAGGTGTCGAAACGGTATGGCGAGGAGGGCCTACCGATGGATACTGTTCACGTGAACATTAAGGGGTCTGCCGGGCAGTCATTTGGTGCTTTCCTTGCCCCTGGTATTACGTTGGAGCTCGAGGGCGATGCCAACGACTATGTCGGGAAAGGCCTCTCTGGCGGTCGCTTGATTATCTATCCTTCCCGGGCAGCTGTCTTCAAAGCCGAGGAAAATGTGATTGTCGGGAATGTTTGCCTCTATGGTGCCACAGGCGGGTCCGTCTTTTTTCGAGGCATGGCTGCAGAGCGCTTCGCAGTGCGTAACTCAGGTGTTACAGCTGTTGTTGAGGGCGTTGGTGACCACGGCTGCGAATACATGACTGGTGGCCGAGTTCTCATTCTCGGAAGTACAGGACGCAACTTTGCTGCTGGAATGTCTGGCGGTATTGCTTACGTTTTGGATATACACCAAGACTTCATGTCCAAACTCAATATGGAGATGGTTGAAGCTTCTGCCATCGACGATCCTGCGGAAATAGCGTTTGTCCGTGGACTGGTAGAAGATCACCATCACTACACTGGGTCCGAACTTGCCGCCCGCATTCTGCTAGACTTCAATCGCGCACTTAAGCGCTTCATAAAAGTACTGCCCGTCGACTATAAGAGAGTTCTTGCTGAAGAAGCCGCGAAAGCAGCTGAGGCAAAACAAGCCGAATTTCAGTTACCTCTCTTGCATAAAGCTGAAGACCGAGGGTCGCGTGAAGGTGCCTCGGGCAATCATGCACATGGAAAGAAACAGGATCTTCAAGATATAGAAGAGACAGTTGGCGATGCTGCCGCAGAGAAAAAACGGTCCTTGGTCCTTGATAAAACAAAGGGATTCATGAAATACCAACGGCGCTCGGAAAAGTACCGTTCGGCGAAAACAAGAACTCGTGATTGGGCTGAACTTTCTAAACGTCTCGATGAGGATGAGCTCAAGTACCAAGCCGCTCGCTGCATGGATTGTGGCGTGCCCTTCTGCCAGTCTGACTCGGGATGTCCTATATCGAACATCATTCCAAAGTGGAATGAGCTCGTTTTCCAGAACCAATGGAAGGATGCTTTGAACAGGCTTATCATGACAAACAACTTCCCTGAGTTTACAGGCCGTGTTTGCCCAGCACCGTGCGAGGGAGCCTGCGTGCTCGGTATCAACGAAGATCCGGTCGGTATCAAATCTATCGAATGTGCTATCATAGATAGAGGGTTTGATATGGGTTGGATGGTGCCTCAACCACCCAAGGTACGCACCGGAAAGAAGGTTGCAATTATAGGATCCGGACCCGCCGGTCTTGCCTGCGCCGACCAGCTCAACAAGGCCGGTCATCTGGTGACTGTTTATGAGCGTGCAGACCGACCCGGTGGCCTGCTGATGTATGGCATCCCAAATATGAAACTCGACAAGATGATTGTGAAGCGCCGCACGGACTTCATGGCATCCGAAGGCATTATTTTCAAAACCGGAGTCGCTGTGGGTGAGGATGTTGAGCTCTTGGACCTCAAGAAAGAGAACGATGCAGTTGTCATTGCTACCGGGGCCACGGTTGCGCGTGATCTTCCAATAAAGAATCGAAACCTGGAAGGTATTCACTTTGCTATGCAATTCTTGCACAAAAATACCAAATCCCTTCTCGATTCTAACCTTGATGACGGCTCATACATTTCTGCCAAGGGAAAGAATGTAGTTGTTATTGGCGGCGGAGATACAGGAAATGACTGCATCGGTACATCACTCCGTCATGGTGCTAAGTCCGTCACAAACTTCGAGCTGCTGCCCCAACCGCCTCCTGAGCGTGCCCGTGACAACCCATGGCCTCAGTGGCCAAGGATCTACCGGGTTGACTATGGCCATACAGAAGTAAAGCAACACATGGGCAAGGACCCACGTGAGTTCTGTGTCATGTCCGAGGATTTTGTTGATGATGGCAATGGAACTGTCAAGGGAATCAATACTATCCGCGTGGAATGGACCAAGTCTGCGACTGGCGGATGGGACATGAAGAAGATCGAAGGGTCGCAGCAATTCTTCCCAGCTGAGTTGGTGCTTCTCTCAATGGGTTTCCTGGGCCCTGAGGATCGTGTTCTTGGAGACGAAATAGAGAAGGACGCACGCAAGAACGTCAAGACGCCCCCTGGTAAATACAGCACGAATGTAGAGGGCATTTTTGCTGCCGGTGATTGTCGTCGTGGGCAGTCGCTAATCGTTTGGGTAAGTGAACCCAATATCTTTTCAATGAAGCCTGGCAACTAACGGTAATATCTAGGGAATAAACGAAGGCAGAAGTTGTGCACGGGAGTGTGATATGTTTTTGGAAAATTCGTCCCTTCTCCCGGTGACGGGCGGGATCGTGAAACGGAGCGCACATGAGATTTTACAGTCATCTTCCGGACTGAGCGTCAGCGCCTAGACCGGTTTAAAATAGGGGTGGCGGCGGTATCTTGAGTTTTCGTAGATAGATATAGCGAATATGAGCAAAATGACACTATAGGCTTTAGACCATGTGTCGTATGTCCTTTTTTGATATGATCTCAAATATATTACACCGAGACATGGCTAACGGCTGTGGTATTATTGGTGGCACTTGCATTACTGTGTTGTATGAGCTATGCCTTTTATTGGACTCGTGTGTTTTTGAGTGTAGTGACGTCAAATAAGTATGCTGAGATAACTTTATATATTCTACCAGTAATTACATAAAAAAATAGCTCACGATATATTCCTTACATCCATATTCTCGAAGAGATAGTACATCTAATCCCTGGCCAGCTCCTTTGACAACAAGCGGTATACCAAATATATGGATAGCGTCTTCATACGATATGTTTTGTACATAGAGCTCTCACATGATCTGTACTTCAGTAGCCTATTGCTCTGGTTATTATTCCCTGGATTATGCGTGGATAAACATGCCAAGCATTTGTCTCAGTCAGTCCCGCACAGTAAAGAGTATTACTCTGTAGCACATGCAGCTGTCAGGATCGCTGAACTTATCCAAATATAGCAAATATAGCAAATATTGGAGTTCTCAGTTAGCAAAAGAAGAAATTACCCACTTTATTGTGGTCCTTATAGGTCGTAGCCAATACATCAGACACGTGCTCCAATGGAGCTTGCCAAGTGACGTTCCGGGCCAATGAACAACGTGGTGGCGGCTAAAACTATGCCCAGACGCAGCTCTTATCGCGATAGCTATAATACTTGGTTACCGTAAATCGACACAAGCCTCAATTGACGACATCCGAACGTGTCCCGCACATAAAACCTGTCACATAGGAATAAGAGCCACAAGAAAGGCTCTCTTTTCAAAGGCTCGACATCAAGATGCGGTTTGGACAGACATTGGCGAACTCTGTTCACGAGCCGTGGAAAGAACAGTACCTTGACTATGCAAAGTTGAAGCGGCTCTTGAGAGAGGATGGCACTGGAGGAGACAACAAGCCGTGGACGGAGGACGATGAGTCTCGCTTTTGCGAGGAAATACTCAATACGCAGCTCGGAAAGGTTGCTGCCTTCCAGGAGTCGACATTCCAAAAGCTCGAGGAGCGTGCCAATGATGTCAGTGAGCGACTGAAAGATTTGGCACCCCAGGGTGCCGATACCGCCGACATTGCCAAGTTCAAGGAGATCAAAAATGAACTAGATAGCATTACCAATGAGGCCAACCAACTCAAAAAGTACAGCGCTTTGAACTACACTGGGTTCTTAAAGATTGTTAAAAAACACGACCGGAAAAGAGGGAACAAATATAAAGTCCGCCCAATGCTGCAAATCAACCTATCAAAGAGGCCTTTCAACTCAGAGCAAGCATACACTCCCATGATCAACAAATTGTCGGTAATGTATTTTATTGTTCGGCAAAACCTTGAGGACAGGGCGGATAAAGGACTGCCTAATATTGGGGACAAAACAACCGCGTCGACTGCAGACATGCCACCGCAACCACATCCCCAGAACCGCGAGAAGTATATGGCATACAAATGTAAGTTTCCCGAAGCCATTTGAATTTGAATCCGAAATACTAACACATTTTCAAAGTTTGGGTCCACCCTGATAATCTTTTGGAGGTCAAAACATACATCCTACGCCGCCTACCTGTGCTTGTATACAGTGAGCAGTCCGCAAACCAGGCCGATGCCTCCCAGGGGGACCCCACTATCACATCTTTATATTTCGACAACTCCCAGTTCGGTTTATATTCACAGAAGGTAGACGGAACCGTTGATGCCTCTTCGCTCAGGGTTCGTTGGTATGGCAAATTGACCGACAAGCCAGAGCTGTTACTTGAACAGAAGACGATCTACAATGATGGGAATAGTGAGGAAAAGCGCTTCCCGATCAAGGAGAAATATGTCCAGCCTTTCATCACTGGCGAATATAAGATGGGGAAGCATGTGGAGAAGCTTGAAAGACAAGGCCAACCAGAAGAGAAGGTAGCCGATTATCAGCGATCCGTGAACGAGATCCAAGAATTTATCAAAGAGCGAAACCTCCATCCGGTAGTGAGAGCCAATTACACTCGTACGGCGTTTCAAAAACCATTGGATGATCGGGTGAGGATTTCCATTGATACCGAATTAGCTTTCATTCGGGAGGATTCTCTAGACCCTGATCGACCGTGCCGAAACCCAGACAGCTGGCATCGAACCGATATTGATAACACACAGATGGAATTCCCGTTTCCAAACGTCAACCAGGGTGAAATATCTAGATTTCCATACGCTGTTCTCGAAATAAAGGTCAAGGAAAATTCCGGGAAAAAATCCCCCCAATGGGTCGAGGACTTGATGGCTTCGCATCTCGTGCACAAGGCACCACGCTTCTCGAAGTTCGTGCATGGCGTTGCATCCTTGTTCGAGGATTATGTGAACAGCCTTCCTTTCTGGCTAAGTGACGTGGAGACGGATATTCGAAAGGATCCGCATGACGCCTTTGCAGAAGAAGAGCTGGCGAAGGCGCAAAAGGCTGAAGGTGAACTACTTGTGGGAAGCTACATGGCCTCGGCCAGCAACCGAAAAGATAGTTATAAGGCGGCCGTAGGATCACCCTTGGGCAAATCATATATGACGGACAGACTCGCTTTAGAGGCAGCTACAAAATCTCGGGCCATGGCCGATGCCGCCAGCAAGGGGAAAGGAAAGGGGAGAGCCCAGGATAATGAGAGTGGAGACCAAGACATTGGGACTATCAGTGGTGGATATGGTACCACATCATCTGTATTCCCTTCTTTCTCGCTCTCAAGATATGCACAATCGCGCAGGCAGCATAAAGCGGCCCTGCCCCCCGGAGTCACCAAACCCGGAGTCCTAATCAAAGATTCAGGCCCATTACAAGTGGAGCCAAAGGTGTGGCTCGCAAACGAACGGACGTTCTTGAAATGGCAGCACATTTGTATATTACTGGGTGCTCTCGCTGTAAGCCTCTATTCAGCTGCGGGCGAAAATAAGCTTGCAGAGTACATGGGTATTGCCTACATCATTATCGCAGCCTTTGCTGGATTTTGGGGTTACTACATCCATTTCGTCCGACGCAACATGATCATCGCGCGGAGTGGAAAGGACTTCGACAATTTTGTAGGCCCGTTGGTTGTCAGCTTTGCCTTGCTGGTTGCTCTGTTGTTGAACTTTGGCTTTAAGGTATGGACTTCTCACGAAAGGAGCGGGAGTACGGTTGAAGCCGTGATCCCTAGTTAGGTTGATACAACATGCTAACAGTTTCTAGTATCACGCCGCACTGGAGAGACTCGGTCAGAATGGGCAAGTAATCAATGGTACTGCCTCGAGTTCTCAAATTGTTGACAATGGCGTCCATTCGGAGCTTGTGAGATAGCACGGTGAGGTGTAAACTAAGTTGTTAAGTAGTGAGCATAGGAGAAGTTCTTACAACGTTCCTAAAGCTGGGCGATGAAGCTGTTATGCTCATGCACCAGAAATTCTAGAATTATTTGTCCCCTGAAGATGCTATTGTGATGTCTAAGAGTAGTCTAATTAGTTGTTAAATACATCAATAACTTCGCGTACTGATTCGAGCATTTCACCCACAGGCAGCAAATGTTGCTCTACTTAAACTCGGGTTATTATTTTCGAGAGCAGGAATCACATTGAATATCGCTTATAAAACTCTCTCAATCCAGCGTCTAATGTGCCTATTTATCTCCCCCGCCGCTCAACACAAGTACCAGGAGGATACCCATCCCGAACATCCAGTATCTGGCAAAAATATTAGCGAAGTGGCTTTACGACAACTGGTCGAACAAACTTACTTTTGAAGGAATGTCTTCTCGGGTTCTTCTTCCTCAACCTTGCCCTCCTTCGATAGTGCAATCGGCCTGTTGAGATTTGGCTTTTTCCCACCAGCCGTCCTCCTAACCGTCACCTTTGGACCAAAATCCCTCGTATGCCCTGCATCTATCTTTTCGCTCTTGCAGCTAACCCCAATAACGTTGCCGTCTGGACCAAGAGAAAGCGTTATGACCGGCGCATATCCCTTTGTGAAGTTTTCCAGAGACAAAATAGAAGTCGAGGACGCCCATGCGTTCGCGGCCTTGTCGTAAATTCCCACTCGAGCCAGACCAGCACCTGGTGCTACATCGGGAGCATCGTATGAGGCAATCACAGCTTCGAGGGTGGTCGGGTCGTATTGTATCTGCGCAAGGGAGTCGATTGAGGATGTGGAGGCTTCGATGGGTTGAATGGACACAACTGTCGAAGATGGATGATCGGTATCGCTTTGACCATGAGCGACAATCGCAGACGTACAAAGCACCAGGAGGGCGGAGAGCCTCATGGTTGATGCCAAAAGGATTGACTGGATTGAGGGAGTGCGTCGGCGATACGTTGGAAGCTACGAGTAGAGCAGGTGTTATGAGAGGGGGTTCTCGAGGGAACCTGATGGACCCATTAGAGGCCTAATCGGATAAGCTACACTTAAGCTTAATTACACTACAGGCTATGAGAGTTGGTCGCCAGAAACCTCAATTGAATTCATTGTGCGCAGCACTATATTTAATACAATATAGAAATCAAACATCTTCAGATGATATCGTAGTTTATAACCCGCCGTCATTTTGAAGTCTAGGAGTGGATCTATAGGCATAAAGGATAGAAGAACCCTGGCTCTCTCCCAGGCTGGAATTTGGTGCCTGGGGCATAACTTATTGAGCGGCGCGACTGTATAAACAAAGTTAACGACGAGAAAAGCTTTAGAGCAAACGAAACGCACTTCCCTCACCTGAACTTCACAAACATCCTGCGCATCTGTCCCGAGGGCTACAGCTCTCAAGAGTAGCCGTAGTGAACATGTCTTTATTCGGTCAAACTGCGAGTTCAGCGAACCAGCCTGCTCCTTCGCAAGGAACCAATTTCTTCAGCGGACTTAATGCGCCCAAACCAGCTCAACCTGCCTCAAGCCCCTTTGGCAACCCCCAGCAAGCGCAACAACCTACATCATCTCTGTTTGGATCTACAACCGCGGGCCAGTCACAGCCACAAGCAACACAGTCTTTGTTTGGTTCCACATTAAATACCGGCGGCCAGCAAAATACCAATGGAGCTTTGAATACCCAGCAGCCAACCGATAGTGGACGGCAATCCCAAGGCCCAAACCAACAAACCGGAGCTTATTTCGACACCCTATTACAGAAGAGTCGCAAGAGAACACATGGCGATAACAGCCTTGAAGAACTCCCAAGCTTACAGCTTGGGCTCGGCGATTTGAGAGATCGCATCAAGAGGCTTGCTCCGCCATCTATGACAAACGGGGCCGATGGGAGGGCTCATTATCTTCTGGCCGCATCGGGTGTGGAGCCTGGCTCAGCCGTTCGAGATCTAAGCCAATTCGACTCTCAGGCAAAGCGTCAGGACTGGGCCTCTCAACCAGCTGACGCTGATACGGACGTGGACAGTTATATTACGAAACTCCAGACCCAAACAACTTTGAGCATGATAGCTGAAGGGCTTTCTAGATCCGCACGCGACTTTGATAGGTTCCTGGAGGAAAATGCGTCAATGGAGTGGGACTCGCAAAGGAATCGCATTTACCAACACTTTGGAATCAAATCAAGAGCAGAGGAACGAGCGACGAAGAACGGAGAATCGACTACAAATGGCAGTGGTGGGTTTGGGCGTTCTCGGCGAAACAAAAGCACACGCTCCGAAGAAAACCGAAACTTTGACAGTTTGAGCGGTAGTGCTTATCAGAGACAGTCTATGCAAAGATCAGTCATTGGTACTGTCGGCCCTGTCGGTTCATTACAGAAGTCACTGGCCACAGATTCGGATGGCAAGGCCCCAGCATATACAACTTCTTCAATGCCGTCGGGTCGTCTGCTGAGAGAGAAAGAAATCAAGTTTGCTGAGAAGATCAACCATCTTAACGAATCAAGGTTGCACAAGAGTGCCTACCCACTACTGCACGAATTCGGAGCAGTAGAAGCTCAAAACCCCGGCGACCATACCGAGCAGGTTCTGAATGCCTATAAAGCAGTCGTCGAGATTGTCGGAGAGCATCCGGATCTACGAAGTTTTTCTGAGCCTAATGTGGTAAAGGAGCGCCAGTTTGCCAGTGCTTGGACCGATGAGGCCCCAAATTCTGTGGCCGCAATTGACCTAAGGAAGAGGATATTGAGAGGAACTGCTCGTCACCTGGAGAAGCAGTGCTTTCAAACAATGGAAGTTTTGCTTGCTAAGAACCCCAGGGAAGCCAATCTTGGCGGTATTCCAAATGTCCTGAGCAAAGTGAAGGCGTACGTCCGACTACGAGCATCACGCAAAGACCTTGCTCCAGATAGCACTGGCCTACAGACTTTGGATGGCGAGGCAGTGTGGGCAATTATCTTCTATTTGTTACGCACTGGTCACGTCCAAGAAGCCGCAGACTATGTACATGCGAATAAAAACGCTTTCCGTGCAATCGACCGCTACTTTCCACATTACATCTCCGAGTACAACGGCAACGCAGACAGACGCCTTCCACCTGATATGCACAACCGAATCAACAATGAATACGGCCAGAGATTTCGGATTGCCCCCGAGAATTCGGTTGATCCGTTCCGCATGTCATGCTACAAGGTCATCGGAAGATGTGGACTCACAGAAATGACATTTGCGGGTCTCCATCAGGATCTAATGGACTGGGCCTGGCTGCACTTCGTGGTTGCAAGGGAGGTCAACCTTGCAGAGGAGCATGCCGGCGATGTATTCACTCTTACGAATGTTCAAAAGTCGGTAAAGGATCTCGGGGACCTTCTTGCTGCCAAGGGCCCAGTTGAACAGAAGGCATCCTCCGGAGTTTACTTTTATCTTCAGATTATCTGTGGCCGTTTCGAGTACGCCATTCAATCCCTGTACGAGATGGATTACGCAGCCGCTCTACACTTCGCAATAGGTCTGGGTTACTATGGCTTGCTTAATGTCTCGGATCCTATCGCATCGGAAGGCCGATTACTTACAACCAGCGTCACTGACCGGCCGCAAATTAACTTCGCTCAAATGATCGGGTGGTACACGAGAGATTTCCGTGCAGCAAATGTTACGGCAGCTGTCGATTACCTCACACTGATCTGCCTAAATGGCGATCTACCAGGTGGCATCGGGAGCCAACAAGTATTAGCGTGCCATGAAAGCCTCCGCGGCCTTGTCTTGGAGAGTCGAGAGTTTGCCAAATTATTAGGAGATATGCGATTGGACGGCCAACGAATTACGGGTGCTATTGAAGAGCGAATGAAGCTTCTTCACTTGGTCGATACTGATGATTTTATGCGTACCGTCATCATGCAAGCCGCTAGCATTGCAGATGATAGTGGAAGAGTTACAGATGCTGTTTTGTTGTATGATCTGGCCGGAGAGTACGACAATGTTATTACCATCACCAACAGAGCCCTAAGTGAGGCTGTGGCTGTCGAAATTGGCGAAGAAAAATCGTCTCTACCATCGTTCCGACCTGGTCCAGATCAGGGCATCCCGGGTCAACGTGGCAGCCTAAGTCTAACATCCGTGGAAGATCCTGTTAAACTTGCGCAGACTATCACAGCCATCTACAATGGCAAGCCGATGTACCATGAGAAGATCACCCCGATCAACAAAGAAACGTGTCGCGTTCTTCTGAGAATGAATGAAGCGAAGAGTAAAGTGGAGGCGCAGAATTGGACAGGCGCTCTCGATGTAAGTTGTCAACCCAGTATTAAATGTACAGATCGATACTGACAATATAGATTATTGCGAGTCTCCAGATACTCCCCCTTGAGGCACATGGAGATTCGAATATCATCCGCCAGTTTGCGGGCAAGTACGCGGCGTTCCCAGAAACCATCACGAGAAACATTCCGAATCTCATTATGTGGACTGGCCGCAGCTGTGAGGAACAGCGGTCCCGACTTGCAAACTCTCAATATAACAGCAATGATGGCACTCGGCGCCACATGATTGAGGACTTGAAGCGGAAAGCAAAGGATTTAACAATGTACGCCGGATTTCTCAAGTACCGCCTTCCGCCGTGGGTGAATGACCTGTTGGCGAGGATTGCAGCGGAATAATGAGACGGAAAATGGACTTCTATAGCGATGTGGCACGGAATATGTTTGCAGGTCCTAGATGTACGGAATAATAGTTAAAAGTCTTTTACGTGGTGATGAAAGAAGGCTGATAAATGTTGCACGTGATATACCTGACCCAGATCTTGTAGTGGGCTGGGTTTGTTGGTCATTGTGATGATACTGTGATAAATATAATTAACAGCAACTACTCCAAGTCCGAACTGTACAGTACGAGGCACTTCAGTGGTAATAGTATAAGCATACCATCTTATAGTTCAGACAAGGCAGAAGAGTGCTCAGTACGTGTGTTATCTTATCAGTCAGGTCAGCTGGACTGGTGATCGTTGGAACTTCAAAGAACTTCAAACGGGAGGATTATACGTAGTTTACACTTGTACAATCCAAGCATCTCCTGTTATGGCGTCTCAAGAAGATCTTCGGGACCTACTACGGCTTATGACCACCGGTCGCAATAAGGTGCCTATGATGGCTGCCATGGGACGCGTCAAGTCCTTGCAAGCCGCCAATATCCGGAGGTACTGAGCCATGTGATGCACATAAACACTGGCTATTTACTAACTTTGTCCTAGCATTGCCGATATTGCGAAATGTGATCTCGCACAGGTGACAGAGGCCATCGGTGACGATAAAGCAGCGAAGCAGTTACATACAGCGGCTAAAAATAGCATCAAAGATCCGTCCAAGAAACGTGCGGCGCCCGAGGGCCTCCTCTCTACCCAAGCAAAGCGCAATAAATCCGCATATGAGCTCGATCATGAGCCGCAAACTCCAGAAGAGCTCGAGGCAAAGCTCGAGCTTCCCGCTCCTTCATCTGATGAAGAGGAGATCAGCAAAACGACCATAGTGACCAACCGTGCGCCACTGGTTCTAGCGTTCGCAGTCGCGCTGTTGAAGTTTACCAAACCAGAGCAACCACTATCAAGCAGACTGAGCCTCGCACAAGCGGTTGTCAGCGCCAACTCGAGGAGTAAGGCAGTCAGCATTGGAATTACGAAAGGTACTAGCGCTGAAGATGATGGATGGGGACAGGGACAGCCCAAAGTGAGGGTTATGGGACGGGAAGTACACGTTTTGAAACGGGATGGGTACTATGTAGGAGATTCCGGTGGAAGTAACAGCAATCAAGAGAGCTCGGCAGCAAACAGTGGGGTAGAGATCCCAGGGTCTGGTGAAGGCCCTGATTCCACAAATGCCGCCCCTGATGAAAGAGATAATGCCACTATGGATGGTTCACGCTGGGCTGTATCCCAAAGCGTTACTCTCAAAAAGTCAACCTTTAGTGCCCGAGCTATTGGGATAAAGTCGCCTTCCGACGCTAGGTCTCTGAAGCAGGAACTCATATCGGGCAACCCCGAGCTGCGAGATGCGAGTCATAACATCACGGCATGGCGCGTACAAGGCGACCATGGCGGTATCATAGAAGAAAGTCATGACGATGGTGAGAGCGGCGGAGGCCGTCACATCCTTGGGATCTTGCAATCTATGGATCTCGTTGGTATTCTAGTGGTAGTTACGCGATGGTATGGTGGGATTATGCTTGGAACTGATCGATGGAAGCTGATGACACAAGTGTGTCATGACGCACTGTCGCAGCGTCTTCGTGTCGCAGGAACCATTGGAAACGAAGCGCTATGGGGCTTAGACCTTGAGGCTATGAGGTCTACAAATTCTTCTGGAGGAAGCATAGGCGCTGGTTTGCCGATTCATCAGCCTGACGGCGCTAGGTCATATATCATGAAAGCCTTTGCACCATCTGGGGATTCAACCACCAAGAAAAAAACCGGAGTTGCCTTGGAGAGAGAGAAAGAGCGAAACCTAGGACTTCTATTTGGGGCGTTGGAACTTCTGTTTGGTTCATGGGTCGAGCATATTGGCGCTGACGAGCTAGATACGAGAGCATGGTCGTGGTATGTTCAAGTCAGGCCAGAGGTAGAGAGTGGCGCTGCGGGATGGGGTGGCAAAGGAGAAGTGAAGCTTTCAGATATACTTGGTTTGCGGCGTAAAGGATAGGGTCTGTAGAATGTATAAAACTGTTCGATAATTTCGCACCTGGCACAGTATGTTTGTCCGCTATTAATTTCATTGGTTATGCTAATTGTACAAAATATTATTGGAATAGTTGGGGTATAATGAATCAACGCCAGCCTCGCCACAATCAACTCTGACATCAATATTCTGGACTAGGTTCCCTTGCGGTTCTGGACCTCCTTCTCTGAGCTGCTGTGGCCGCAGCCCCACCCTTGCTTTCGCTGAAGCTTGTCTCAACCCTAGAAGCTGACCTTCCCTCCTTGAACATGCCACTCGTATAGGTTGGCTCATCAGACTCATCATCAGCCTCCTCTGTTTTAGGATAAACGCGAGCGTCGACTGAAAATAGGGTTTTCTTCTCGTCATCTTCCTTCTTTATCTGTGGTTCGTGTCGCACAGGTGCCCATCTGTCATATTTCGAATACCTTCGTGGCCCATCATATACATCTGAGTCATCCGTATCTAGAATATCATCGTCGAAGGGCTCAGTCTTGACTTTTGAGCTGCCACCCTGCAGTTTTTGTTCCACGACTGAAGTTTGATCCTCGGTGGCATTGAATGTTGATTGCAATAGAATCCAGGCCACTAGAGCAAAAAAGACTTCTGCAGCCCAGAATGCGGTTGTGAATACCACAAAAGAGAAGATCCGATGGTTGTACATAAGCCACCTAAGGCCCGAGAACTTTGCCCGCAGTAGCAGACGCATGCTGTAAACTTGAAGGGCCTGCTGATGGCGACACTGTATATCAAGGTACACCTTCCTCGGTGCATTCTTATGCCCCTTTTCAAAGACGATCCCTTCGGCCATCGGAATCCGCAGCCTTTCGGACTCACGATGCAAGCCCAGGATATATAGTGGAAGGCCAGCGAGTTGTTTACCGAGGCTCACGACATCAGATCGGAACGTGAGAATGGCAGGGCGTCGAGATGAGAATAAGATAGACCCAGCTGGTATCCAGCTATGGAGATCAGATGGCCGGCTTGTCGATGTCCCAGGTCGGCTTGAGTCCTTGTATTCAGACGACAACATTACCATGTCCACCATGAAATTCCCAAGCTCGCTGTTTGCTGGTGATGTTGGGAGATCAATTTCGACCAGTATATCGTACGCCTGTTGTGGCATAACAGAATTATCTAGAGATACAAGCCCATAAGGGCTGGATGCATCGCCCCTAGACCGCTATATCAGTCCTGAAGTGTGTTTGGGGAGCCAGGTGGAGCTGGCACATACCCATATTGAAGATGGACCTCCCGCTCAATTCCAATCTTTGGAATATAATTCGCATAGAATAGGACATAAGCGACGACGGCCAGGCCAAATAGCGTAGCAGAGGTTGCTAGAAACAGTGCCGTGTTAAGATAGGCTTTCCTCGCGGATCTGGACGACGCGAGTCTGATGGGTCTCAATATTAAGTCCTATGAAGTGTTAGATAGATTATTGGGCATTTTCAGCCAAGGCATCAATCTCCCGACTGTTAGATGTCACGCCTTACCATTGAGAGTATATACCATTGCGCGTCGGCAGTTCAATGAGCGTTACATGCGCGTGTGAGGGGAGCTTCGTTGGACTCCAAGCTCAGCTCAGAGCTTCAAAGGGCATTCATTAGTGACGTACAGATGGATCACAGATAAGATAACAGGAACGGGGTGACTAAGCTGATAGGTTGGTTGAGCACATGTCTGCACGTGATATATGGAAAACACGGTGTGCAGGGGTCCCTTGCAAGGTAACCAGGGCCGTGACGTGCGGGAGCGCGTCGAGTGATCAAGCGAGTGATCAAGCGCCCCGTCCGCCTGAGCTGAGCCTGGCGTTGGTCACTCTACCCACCCGTACCACGCCCGTACCACCGCCATTGCCCACAACAACCCCTGTCTTATCCATCCAGGCGCTTCCTGACGATGAAGGAGCTGGGAGCCGCAGCCTTGTGTCCAACCGCCCCCTTCACCCCCCCCCAGCGCCTTCTCTTATATATTTATAATTCATCATGCCAGAACGACCTCACGACTTTAATTTTCATAATTTCTAGCACTGGGAGCGAGACTCCATACAAAAGATATGTCAACTTTCGATTTGTTCGGTGATTACGACGACGCTCGTGTCTACAGGGACGCGCGTGAGTGCGCCGCGAAAGGAGATGCGAAGAATTTTGTTGTAGACTTCGGGTCACGCATGTCTAGGATTGCTTCCAACGTCCCGCCAAGTGGTTTCAAGACACTTATGACAGAGGGTGCTGCGCCCAGGACCAAAGGAGCTCCAACACGGTGGATGTAAGTGTCAACCACGCCGTCACGGTTCGCTGGCAAATCACTGATATCCCCAGAAATATTTGGGCACCGGACTCGCAACCTGATGTTGTAAAGGTTATTGGTGATCGGTATGGCTTCAGCAAGAGGCTTGTGGCCCTACTACTCACCACTCCTCCACCGAGTTCGAGAGAAGCCCCAGCGGAGAACTGGACGCCTGATAACGAGCTCGACTCCCCTAGCGCCGATATCGAAAAGGCGCCTCCTGCCCGCTCCATCCACCTCAACGCTTTGAAAGTAGGGAAGTCGAAAACCACAAATTTCTTCAAAATTGCGGCAAATTTCTCAAGCTACCAGTCAATTGATATCGGAGACAAATGTGGGTACAGTCTATGTGCTGGAGATCGTTATGTCTATGTACCCCTCTAACATTTTTCAAAGTTATCTGCATAGGTGCCAATTGGATGCATCCTATAGAGAGCGACTCCGGAATAATTGAACCAGAGAGATTGTGGTCTTGGCTTGTCCTCTGTCATGACGGTTTGCTTCTCTATATGCTTCTGTTTCGAGTTATCGCTGATCCAAAGCAGCCACTGTTATTTCGTTCCATGAAAATCCAACGCCCAAAGGGGTGGTCTCGAAATATATCGAAACAGTTCGCAAGAACACGTTGAGTGTTTTAAGTCAGCTTTCGGCAATTGGGTCAGCTGACGGCGTTGAGCTCATCTCTCTGCGACAACCTGCGGAGTCCAATGACACTTCGGAACTCACTGGTGTCGAAGGTGCCAGTAATTTATTCTATTATCTGTTCGACGATTGGACGGCGACCTATACGCTGTTGATGGTTCTTCAGGGGAACATAGAGAAACTGGTAAGTTTGCGAATCTAAACTTAACTTCCCTCACTAACGACACAAACAGCGCCAGAAGATTATGGCCGGCCTAGTATGTCATTAGCCCGAGTACAATTTCTGGGTAGAGCTAATTTTAATAGGGCGAAAATCAGCCTGATGCACTCGCAAAAGAGATCATCCCAAAACTCTATGAGGTTGGAAAACTACTGCGGTCAAATCAGCATTTATTTAGTGGCTATGAAAATTTGATCTCTCGAATACTAAAATACGAAGAAGACAAGGAAAAGGAACCTTCACATGGTCGCATTGACGAGCGTGTCTTGGTGGTTCAAACTGCACGCCATCGCTTCGAACGTTTGCGGGACAACATCAAATTTCTCGTACTTAATTATGTGGATGAGGCGATCGGCGAGATAGATGGACTGCAAAATACAGTAAGTCTAGCATGATTTCCCTGTTTGTTTCATCTTCCGCTGTATTAACTTGCAATAGTACTTCAACATCACAACCCAAAAGGACTCGATGGCTACAGCGAAGCTTAATTCGAGCGCGACACTGCTTTCGAAACTAGGCGTGCTATTTCTCCCCGTCAGTCTCATGACTAGCTATTTCTCGGTGCAAATCAAGGAACTGGACGGCGTGTATACAGTCAAAACGTACTGGGTTACGTTTGCTGTCGTCATGGTCCTGTCATTCGTTGCACTATTCATGTTTAGCCGCGTGTTGGTAGGGGCCGGAACTGCAGTGGCCAAGCGCGTTGACAGGGTGGTCGACCGTGTTACTGGACGGATAGCAAAGGGCGGTTCTCCCAACAGGACGAGGGAACAGGAGCCGTACAGGTGAGTCAGGTTGACCATGGATCAGCAATGGCCAGCATCTGGCAATGCGGCTGCTGTAAATCATATTATGACAGTGTACATTGGTATGTGCGGTCTGGATTTTTTTTTAGTAAAGCAGATATACCCATTAGTTTCAGGTTTAAGAGGAAGCCCAATGCATATGTATAAATTATAAATTACTTTGTTGCAGTCTTCCCATATGCCACAATACGCATAGATAGCCCCCACAGATTTAGCATGTAATTTCATAACCAAAACTCCTCATTTCCCAGGTACCAACTTAGAGACCTTTCTTCGATATCGTACATCTTAAAAACCTTATAATTGTCATGGTAAGCTATAATAATCTCAAGGGAGCTGTAGTTGCTACCGAAAAGTGTTAGCGCGATTATGGGTGACCCTGGACTGAGCTATCGGGCTACGTCAGTATCTCCGCTGTCTCCAGTTTTACCCGCCGGTTGGAGCTTCAGAACTTATTCTATCCCACCAAACCTCCCAAGTCGACAGTTCGCGCTCCCATACAAACCTTCAGGCCTTGCTACATTGCATCAACTACCGGAACACCACGTCTACCTGGAGCTTTACGACTCCATTAGCCCGCAATGGTATACAACGACAGCGATAACCCCAAACCCGACCGGGGATTCCAAGACGCTACTCCCCAATCCGACAGCGATCGCTATGACGAATTCAAGGAGCCTCCGAACCTGAGAAGGTTTGAAGGGACATACCTCCCAAGGCCATTCATAGGGGCGCGGATTCTAGGGCTCAACGATGCGAAGGTAGCTTCATCCGTCGACCAAGCCATCGTCAGTGCTCAGAAAACCCTCGGAAGGCCGCCAACAGAAGAGGAAGCTTCCGCCTTGGCATATTGGGCAGCGAAACATTTGTCGTTATTCTCATATGGACCCGTCGCTGGGTTTGCTGGTGGGATGATGCAAGCGTACAGAACAGCACCGTCGTTCAAATTTCCATTCGTCAAGCCCAATCCCGAGACGTTCAACCCCAAAGTCTTTCCATCTGCTAGACTCGCCTTGGTGACGGGCGTGGAGGCCATTCCTTTTTGGCACGTAGCGAGGGTGTCTGCATATAGCACTGTTGGGATGCTTGTTGGGACAATGGTGTTTGGTGTCTACTCTTCCTCCGTGGCGACAGTTGGTATGGTCGCGGATCCAAGGTTAAAGGATTTTTTGGCACATGTCAAGTCAAAGGCAGAAAATGCCCCCGGTTCAGCGCGGGGCCGTTCACAACAACCAGTGCCACCAGTTCCTTACGGGAATCAAACGAGGCCAATAGAGCAGGTCATCGGAGATGACGCCAGCCCCAATAGCGACTCATACTGGGGGACAAGCAACGAAGAGGGCCCAGTGGACGGGGGACTTCTAGGTGCGGATACTGCGAGAGAGTCACAAGTCCCAGCACAACGTCCCGTAGGTGCCGCACCTCAAAGACGTGCTCAGCCTGCACCTGCTGCAGAGAAAGAACCGTCATATTTTGATGATGCATCTCCAACCGGCGGCGTGGGAGTTACAGATGAGATGCCGTCGGGCGGATCAGCTTGGGAGCGCCTTCGGCAGCAAGGGTCCTCATCACAATCTAGTCGGCAGCCTCGAGCTGATGCCCCTGCTCAAAATGGATGGGGTAATGGTGCCGATACGGCCAGTAGCTCCCAGGCATCAGAGGGACGCCAGATGTCTGCTAGGGAGGTTGCTCAGCGAGAGTTCGACGAGCAGATTGAACGGGAGAGACAGGGTGGAAGCTTTAACAGTAGGGGATAAGACGCGACATTGTGGCAATATGTAATACTATAACTGCACAAAATAAGACGCCTATCTTGTACAGTACTTTCGTGGGATTTTCAGTGAAGATTCGAGTTCAAATTCATATTGCTAGCACGTTGACAAGGCATTGGCGATGGTGGACCTATCACGACGTCACTGCCAACGGCTGCTTCTTTCAAGTAATATTCCCCGCGGCCACTCTATCATACACAGCCTTATATTACGGAATGAAAGGTAGGAGTTACTAGTGTATGGCCTGCTTAGCTGAGAAATACGATACAATGGACAATGTGCCGGGGATCAGCAGAATACAACGCCCTATTACGGACGCCCATCTTAAAGCCCCTGGGCGTGGCTTGTCTACCAAGAGCAGACAGTGGGACTCTACTTCAATGATGCTGAGATCACTGCCACATTAGCTATAGCGGCTTTATCATTACACGTGGTTCTCACCCAGCTAGCTATACAGTACGGCGCAATAAGTTTCCGTACATACGGAAACTTACATCGCGGTACCATACACTGTACTCTATCTATAACTATGAGAGACAAGATGCATTAAGTGGTTTTACATGGTTTAACGATCGTCCGTATATCATTCGTGGCGTCAGCCATGTTGTGTTGGCGAACTAAGTGGGCAATAGGCCCGGGCCGTGTCTTTAACTAATAAAACGCAGTGGGCACCACCCACCCCCTATTACAGAATGCTTTGGCTCAAGGAACAAACCCAGAAATAGTCAGACAAAATGTATATAAGCACATCCCGCCTATGGGCAGAAATGTTGAGCAGAGAATGCCGACAATGTTATCTCATGTTTTGAAGTCGCTCGTTGTGGTGCTGGCGTTCAGCGCTGGCACCGTGTCGTCCCAGAGTTCATCAAATTCGCTCGTGAGCCGTCGCCTCACCGAGTATCTAATGCCGGCTGCCTCTGAGACTCACGAGTTTGCCCGCGTGCCGGGCACGAATTTTGTACTGCTGTCGCAGATGTCTGACAGCCAGCTTATCAAGATCGAGCTGAATCCGATCACCGAAGAACCCATCGCTTTCCAATCATTTCCTATGGGAAAAAACAGCAAGTCAGGACTCCATGGCGTGTGGCCTTCGGAGGTATACCCTGGGAAGATGTGGCTATCGCTACAGTGGGAAAACAAGTTGGTGCTTGTCGATCCAGGACAGAATCTCTCGGCCGTCCCGTCCATCATCAAGACCATTGATATCCCGGAGCCAGGAAACGGCCCGCATTGCATCTTTGAGATTGGCAATCGCGTCTGGGCTGGCCTTAAGGATGCGTCCAAGCAAACTGGCCAGTACTATGTCTTCTCAGCAGATATCTCTAACTCCACCGACAAGAAGCTGTACCCGTGCCTCAAAAGCCCTGTGTTTATCAAGGAGGAGCCAGCCACCAAGTTAATCTATGTCACCCAAGACACAGAGTCGTCGATCATGCGCATCAATGCCACCAGCGGCGAGACATCACAGCTGCCGATTCCACCAAATGTCGGGAGCACGCCTGTCGGAATGGCCACTGCCCACGGTCCCATGAATGGAGTCTGGTTTAGTCTCGCTGGCAATGCAACCGGCGGCTCTGGTTCCTTTGGCCACATCGCATCCACTGGCGAGATGCGATTCTTTAAGCTTAAGAAGCCATATCTGGGCACCAATGCTGGTTTGTTGCATATCGCCGACGCGTCAACCGTTGCAGGCGGCCCGGCTTTGTGGCTTTTGTCGACGTCGCTGCTCAGCACTAACTCGCCAGATGCTCTGATCCTCGTGACTTTTGACGAGGCCGTCACAAAGATTACTGGCGAGGAGTATATTTCCATGCTTACGCAGAATGCCATGGTGCATCGCGTGGTGCCCATGGAATCCACGGTTTTGGTGTCCCAGCTTCACACGTTTGCACTTGCTCAGCTCTCGTATAACAATACGGTTGCTGGGCATTGGCTTCCTGCTGAGGCCCTCAGTAACACTGCTGTGTATACCGAGGCAAGTTAAATGGTTATTTTTGGGTTGAAGCCCTATGGATATATTAGTTACACGTAAATATAATTGACCAGAGCCGATTAAAAGTATATTATTCTTAACGCCTCTTGGGTGGCAGAGAGCAACGCTGGGTTTAACATGTAATGGACGAGCGATAGAAATAATTACCCTGTCTTGCAGCCAATTTAATTATGTAGAGTCTATAGCCAACTTAAAGGCAAGAGCATATATTATTAGTCTGTGAATGACACGAAAGTAGAAAGAGCGCCGGTGAATAATATATTATCACATTTATAAAAGAACGGTCACTGAATAACCGTTCCGGCCACCGGTCCGAGAGCCAAAGCGCTCGTTTCATCGACGACATTGCTACGTACATTCTGCCGAAATGTTTCAGAATCTCTAGAATCGAACATATATTGCGATAGCTTCATACAAGCTATACGTAACATGGATTACAGCTGAAGAAAATATACCCTAAAGTTTGAAAGAGTGAGGAAAGTGGTCAATCGGGCGCATCACCAGCTGGTCAAGCGTGGCATCCCGTCAAAATCCCAAATACGTGTCCCGTACAAAAAACCACCAGACCATGGCCAAGCCAAAGTCGCAAAAGCGCGAGGCGAACGTCAGCAATGCCAGCCCGCCGCTGACGCAAGAGAACTTCGAGAAAGAGCTGAAGGAACTGGCCAAGAAGGCGAAGGAGGAGACTTTCTTCAATCATGCCGTTGACTGGGTTGGGACCACCGTCAGGGCTGTGGTGATACTCGCCCTGGCGGCAGCGTCTTCGTCGGTTTCACAACTTACGCTGTCGCCTGTGTATGGCGCGATTCCGGCGTCGATATGGCACGATAAGCTTGTTAATGCTGCGTGTTTCCTGGGGTGGTCGGGGAGCTTTTGGTTGAGGAGGAATGTGCGATGGAGGCTGATTGATCTGCTGCCGTTGATTGCATTCTACATCCCGGCGGTCCAATACTTCCTCTTCAACTACAGTAATACGTTTGGTGCTACATATGGGCCGCTTATTACAGAGTTGTTGACTGTGGCGCCGCTTCTTCTATTCTCAGCATCAGCTGTGGGGTTAGTATTGGAGGAGTTCGGAATCACGGGGAAGTGGCAGTCGGTGCCAGGAATAGCATCATTTGTCTTCCTGAAGATAACATCAGCCTGGTCTGCGAATGTTATCCAGAGCACCAGCTACAAGTCCGTACTCCTGTCGCGTGTGTCCTGGCAGGTCCAGCTCGCGGCGTCCTACGCCCTCCTCGCGCCGTCGAAGCTGCTGCTATACGCAGTGCCGGCTCTACTCCACACAGCCATCTTCAATGCGCACGCCCAGACCCCCTGGGCGACGCAGGCCCTGAACTCGAGTCTGCAAGCTGAGGGTTATAGGCTCATCGCTCGCCAAGACTCGAATACCGGCTATATCTCCGTTCTGGAGAGTGTCAGCAACCAGTTTCGCGTCTTGCGGTGCGATCACAGCTTGCTTGGGGGAGTATGGACGATGGACCAGAGCCACAATCCGGTTGTTGGCGAGCCTGTGTATGCTATATTCACCATGCTGGAGGCGGTTCGGTTGATTGAAGCGCCCGTTTCTGTCCCTGACAGCGAGGCACACGCTCTAGTCATGTAAGCATTTTTCACCCTGAATCTGTTCACCAGACTAACATTCGTATAGCGGCGCGGGCATTGGCACGAGTCCTGGTGCCCTCATGGCCCACGGCATCAACACGACGATCGTCGAGATCGATCCCGTCGTCCTGGAGTACGCTGTAAAGTACTTCGACCTCGCACCCAACCACCACGCCGTAATCGACGACGCTGTCCACTACGCGGCGCAAGTTGCCAACGACACCACCCAACGCTACGACTACATCATCCACGACGTCTTCACCGGCGGCGCCGAACCCATCGCCCTCTTCACCGACGAGTTCCTGCGTAACCTCCACCGCGCCCTGAAACCCGACGGCGTCATTGCAATTGTAAGTCCAGTTTCTCCATTCCTGTCTCCATCAGGACTAACCGTCACAGAACTACGCCTCCGACCTCCTCCAGCCAAGCACCCACCTCATCATCCGCACCGTCCTCGCCATCTTCCCCTCCTGCCGCATCTACCGCGAGACAGCGACACCCACAGCCGCCGAACTCCTCGCCGCGGGCCAGGACTTCACCAACATGGTTCTCTTCTGCCGCGCGAGGTCAGACGCGGCGATTACCTTCCGCGAGCCCGTGGAACGGGACTTCCTGCGCAGCGGGGCGCGGAAGGCGTATTTGGTACCGAAACATGAGATTCTGCGCGGGCAGTTTGATTTGGAGGATATGAGGGATGTGTTGAGGGCGAATGATACGGCGACGTTGGAGGAGACGCAGAGGAAGAGCGCGGTGGGACATTGGAATGTGATGAGGACTGTTGTGCCGGGGAAGGTCTGGGAGCTGTGGTGAGTGTGACTGGGGGGTAGTATGTTCTACATTTAGCATGGAGGGATGTGGGGTTGTTATATTTTCACATTTAGCATGGAGGGTATGTAGTTGGTGTCATATATGGTTGGTGATATATAGTTGAGGATGGTACATAGTGTTGGATTAGGAGATATAGGTGTATATAGGAAGCAGATTAGATAAGAGATATGATCTATGGCCACAAGATCATGACTGGTTAGAGCTGAGTATATAAGCTGGGAAAGGACTGGAGAGAGTTGAGAGAGTGATAGATATCACGTGTCGTTTTGTCGAATCCCTGTTCCCCCTCTCTCTCTTATAGTACCCAAATAACCCGTCTAATATCACATGATACAACACGGAAGGACAATCTAATCTACCACGTCCTTAGTTTCAATCTGGTTTAAATGTCACGTGATACGATGCTAGAAGGACAATCTAATCTAATCACGTCCCCGGTTTTAGTCTGAGTTGAATGTCACGTGATAAAAATGAGACCAACTCAATCTAATCTAATCACGCCATTTGATCACGAGACCTCGCTCTCATTGCTGCTCTCGATTCCCACGATACGATTCCCACGATCCCCTCGATCGTTCCTTGGTATTGAATTTGACCATGGATCTCATAACTGTACCCCGCACTTCGCCTCTTCAGGGTTCTTTCTCACATATAGAACAACGGACCAATACGTACCGAACATGTACATCATACGCATAATCTGTATACGGGGGTACCTGGAGTACTTAGACCTCAAGTTTCTTGTGAGAACATCGCGTACCATTCGTACGCAGTAGTTTTTTTTTTTTTCTGGCTTGGGAGTTGTTCCAATCTCTCGCAAATTCCTTTTACACACATCTTTTACCTAAGTCCATCCATCGGCAGTGGCAATCCCCCACCAAGCGCACCGACCACCCACCGACGACCGCACCGATCGCATTGAGCCCAGGCGCAGCCCACCCACAGGCCACAGGCAGATGTCAGACGGCATCATTAGGTAATCTTTAAGAGGCACGTCCCACTCTACGCCCTTTGTCGGCCTTTGTCGCCTCCGGAGAAAGCAGGAACACCCACCTTCGCCGACCTCGCTCTTTCCCATCCAATACCCATCCACTACCCACCCAAACTCTCCCTCACTCCTGGCACCTACACCTCTTCCAATACCCCCTCCTCATTGGTCGGCTCACTCCCCATATTTCCCTTATCTTTCCCATACATTTTCTTTACGGTATTCCGAACTTATCTCTTCCCATCCCTCGACTCGAGACACACCCACACTTCCCACCCCCGTATACCATACTAAGCCAAATGGTTACCTTCTCTTTTTAATCAACAATAAATGGACGTCGTGGTCATGGAAATTGTCTGCCAGGCCTCCACGACCACTCATCACGTTTTCATTACGTCCAGCTTTGCCCACACCCCCCCAAAAAGAAACACCGAGGGCGGAAGGTGAGAATTCTGCGAGTTCTGCTTGCACTGAGCGGGTGAGAATTTCCATGCGGATGCGACTGCTGTAAGCTGTTGCGACCGCGGAGCCGACGGAGCACACTTGATGCGAGGTACTTGCTCATCCCACTGCTTCTGGGTGTGTTTGCAAAGTCACTCTTGACCCAACTGTCACCCACGCGTGCGCGCACAGGCTTTCTTTCTCAAGTCGTCGGCGGGCGGAGAATTCGGCGGGGAGGACCGAGGAAATGCCTGTTCGAGCCGACGGCGCTTGCATGGCGTATCCACCATCCCACCACCAATCTCCACCCAGCCGTATCCAATTGTGAGAGCCATAGTACTGTAGTCATCCCATATGGTTGTTTGTGAGTGAACAGAGAAGGAGAGCTATCATATTTTTCACCTCAAGCGGCTGTCCGAATTGCATGGCAAGGCTCGGTCTGTTGGTCATCGCCTTTCTCCTTCCCGTTTATACTGGTAAGGTAAGACACATTTGCTCCATGTATTGTCCGCGACCCCTGGTTGTTCTTGACACACAGATATCCTCTTCCAACCTCGTCCCCTTTGACCTCTGCGCCTCAAGGAGCGGGAGGATACAGGATTAATGAGACGAGAGACAGGGGAGTGCATGGGGTGAAGTAGCATTTTGTACGCTCTTTGCACGTTACAGGAGGGATGGGACGTTGCGGCGGTACTTTTTAGCTGGGGGTAGCTGTACCCCTTCTCTAGTAATACCGATGATGGCGTTGGTTGAGCTTCAAAACGGGACAAACGAAGGGAAAAGAGGCTCGTTGGCTTCCTTTCACCCCCTTGCACACACATACATACAGTACATATTTTTTTTGCCACAGACAGGGCGCCGTCATAGTAGTAGGTAGTAGTCTCCCCCGTCCGTCCCAGACAAAAATCTCATCTCAACTCCCCAGTCAGCGGTCGGCATTACTACATACAAACTGGCCACAGTCCACAGTTCCTTCCTTCCTTTTTCCCTTTTACCCCCCTTCGTCCCCTCCTCTTAGAGTCTTCTCTCTCCGTTCCTCTATCGCCAAATACCGAAATAAACCCCAGCACTTGCCGCGTTGTGGTCATCTGAGACTGCACATCACCTCGGTCTCTCCCCAGTGTGCTATCGTCGGCATCGTCATCACCATCGTCATCGTCTATCGCCGTCGGTACGTACCCAGGGATTTACATCGCCACACGCCCACCACATCGACCGTTTCGACACATCTAAAACAGCTACAGCTACAGAACAGCTATAGCAAATCAATCAGCCGCCCTACACAGCCCACCTACCTACTACGAGGACGGGTCATTGCCAGATTGCCAGATTGCCAGATATTTGTCGTTGGTCCTGCCTGTAACTGTACGCCGTTACTGTGCCGTCGTCCGTACCTTTTATATCGTTGCGCAAGTCCCCTTCGGCTCCAACTCCCGGGCCCCATTTCTCCCTTGCTTGATTGGTTGGTCTCGTGACTCAACCCATACTCAACCCATACATTTCAAGAACACAGTACGTACTCCGAACTAGGGACCACCACCACCACCACTACCACCCATACTTTTCTAACTAGCACCAACTAGGACTAGCTGCAACTAACTAGAACAACTTCAAGGACCCATCATCGTCCTGTCCTACTCCCGGTCCTGCCTTATCTCATCCGCAGCCCGTGCGTCTACTCCGCCGCGCCTTTTATCCTACTTACCCTACCTTACCTTACCTTACATCACCTTACCCTTTCCATACATTTTATCCTCTAACCCTCTTACCTCTTATGGTACTACTCTCTTACAACTCTTCCTCGCTATCTTTAGTCCCAGAAATATACGAAATACCTATCTTCCCTATCTATCCAACAACCACCACACACTCTATCTCTGCATACCCTCCATACCGTCAACACCCGACATCCAAACCTCGAAAAAACACTTTCCACCACACAAACACTACCATTTACACCCATACTATACTCAAATCACACAATACCCCATATTCCCGAGAATCCACTGCGGCCCTAGGGAAACTACTCTCTTATCTATCGCCGCCATCTATCTGCACTTGCTGCACCTCTGCGCCTCTGCACCACCCACCCACCTCCCAAGGCAAAGCAAAAACCTGCGCCAGTCTCACTGCAGAACACACGATAAGCCTTCCCCGGATACCCCATTCGCCTTCTGCCTCGAGCTATCCTGTTCAGGGCCAGTAGAGCGCTTCTAGAGTACCCGGCGCAGCTCTCGATACCATGCCCATTTGGCATATCAGGCGTCCTTGCACATCCCTCGCCGGCCCGCCGAACGTCCTCATACGTGTCGGTATCTGATAACCCGTTTGACCAAAAAAGAAGCATAAGCAAAATCAAATCCATTGTCTAACGGACTGCTCTTGGTACCCCGTACCCAAAAAAGTTCACATCCCGGGGAGATCTTCCCAATTACCTACGGTTGGTTCTTTGCCCCTGGCACCCAGTGTCTGTGTCGTGGGATCGGTCCGCGGGGGACTCTTCTGTGGGGTTCAATCGGCGCGCCACCACCCCGTCCCCTGCGCACTTCTCACCCGGCGGCCTCGAAGCCATGTCGACCCCCATTTCTATCCCTCGGACGGCTCCCATCCCCATTGCTGCCAAACCCAACCATGCCAAGAACGACACGCCTGCGAAGGAGAGTATAAAACCAAAGGCCTCCTCGAGCATGAGAAGCTTGATAGTAGACGGTGACCTACCCAACACACGTACCCGGAAGGACCGGCCGTGTGATGCCTGCAGAAGGCGCAAGAGTAAGTGCGTTATACACGAGGGCCAGGTTGCGTGTGTCTTGTGCAAATTCCACAAGCAGGATTGCACGTTTGTCCAGAGTCCGCAGCCGCGCAAGAGAAAGCTTGTTCCCGAAGAAGGAAAGGAGGTAAAAGAGGACTCCGGTGCCAAGAGGAGGTATGTATTTCTCGTTTTCGTCCCCGATATAGCGCTAGAGAGATGCGCGCCTACCTGTATCCACCTACCTGTATCCTGTATTTAGATTGCGTAAGTCGGACTCATGCTAACGCATCCGACTTCCTTCTAGGTCTCCAGACAGGCCCGAAGAACCATCCAAGCGGAGGCAGCCTGAGTCGAGCAATTCCAGCACCTGCGCCGGCTCTCTCATCGAAGATATGGCCAACATTGGCGGGCCAGCGATGCTGAAACGCACGCTCGGCTTACAGAACGATCGTTACAGTCAATATATAGGGCCGACAACAGACTTCGAGCCCTCCCTTCTCGACTTGTCGCATTTTGATCCTCAAGATGAGAGTCTTCTCTCAAGAGGCACGCTGAGGAAGGTCAGCGATGTTGATACCTTCTTGATGCTCCCAGACTACAACACCCCTGGATATGAGCATGTCATAGAGGACTCGGATGCCGTCGAGGCAATCGTCACTCCTCACGGCCCGGCCCTGATAGATCTGTACTTTCATGTTATTCACCCAAGCTTTCCTATAATCCAAAAGACCGTATTTCTAGAGAAATATGCGAGGTCATATCAAGAGTTTTCGCCTGCACTGTTAGCTGCAATGTATATTCTAGCAATCAACTGGTGGGACCACAGCGAACAGCTGGCCAAGTCCCCGAGACCGAATGTCAGAGAGCTTGAGCGGCTCGTACGTACGTCATTGGCAGATGCCATGTATCGGCCAAAGTTGTCGACAATACAAGCCGGCCTACTCCTATCACAACGTCCGGAGGGAGACCAATGGGCGCCGACGGCACAGCTTGTCGCCATTGGCCAAGAGCTAGGCCTTCATCTCGATTGTTCGACCTGGAAGATTCCACTTTGGGAGCGCGGTCTCCGCAAGCGTTTGGCCTGGGCGTTGTATATGCAGGATAAATGGGGGTCGCTCATACACGGACGGCCATCGCATATCTTCGCATCCAACTGGGCAGTGCGATCTCTCACATGGAACGATTTCCCTGACGACCATAGCGACCCGGGCGATGATAATGACCGTGAGGATGGAGAGGTGCTGGAACACGAGCGTGGTAGGCTCCTCTTCACGGAGATGGTATCCTTGTCGCAACTTCTAGCTGAAGTCCTGGAAACCTTCTATACACTTGCTGCCATGGATAATGTGACGCGTGCCGGCACTTCTGGTACCCACATGGTTCTCTCCTTGGCGAAGCCCGTGCAGCTGAAGCTGAAAGAATGGTTTGCTGCGCTGCCGGTGTGCCTGAAAATGGAGAATAGCCACACCAATCTGGCATCCTCGCCGTCGCCACTCAGCAATGGAAGCCAGGGTAGCAGGCTGTCATCTACCGGCTTCTTGCACCTCTCATATTTCGCGACTGAAATTACGCTTCATCGCCGCATCGTGCGCTCTCTCACGCCGGCCGGACCAAACCTCCCTCCTGTCGACCCCTATATTCTCCACATTTGCCGATCCGCCGCGAAAACTCGGTTGATCAGCGCAATGGATTTTGTGAATAGGTTGACACCAAGCCATCTCCGCGCCTTCTGGTACTTCTCGTCCAAGACCAACTTCGCCCTCATCGGAACCTTTGGGTCTCTGCTATGGGCAACTGCCCCTGGAAAGGAAGAGGCCGACTTCTACCGCATGCGCCTGAAGGAGTACCGCTGGACGCTTGGAGTCAGTGCGCGCGCCGGAGTCGGCGCGGATGGTGAAGGGCGCGGCGTGAAGGGCCTAACTGAGTTCGCGCTTGGCATGCTGGATACCAGCACTGGCCTCCTGAAGGCTCTCCCCGAGAAGCCTCTGCTCTCGCGAGACAATAGCGAGGTCGGGCTAGGCAGTTCTCACTCCGCCAGCTTAATAAGCCTAGGCGGGATGATGAGCTCCAGTGCGCGCAGCGGCGGTGGCGGGTACGGCTTCGGCTTTGGAATGAGCGATGGCCAGGCCGGGTCGGGGGATGTGGATAGTGGGCTGGCGAGTCCTAGTGATAGCACCAGCTCGGTGGAGGTGAGCCAGGGTTTTGAGGCTTTCATGGCGGCGCATCCACAGGGACGGGAGAGCAGCGGGCGGTGAGGAGAGGGCGTTTCCACGCCCGGCAAGGGTGCGGGGCAGTGAGATTGCTCCTCCCGAGACATGTGTTTTATGAAAATGGTGGGCGCGTCCCGGATGAAAACGAAAAGGCGGCTGGCTGGGCTGGCTCGGAGGTGTGTGTTTTTATTTAGCGCGGCGTTTGATATCCCCCCAAAGAACAGAATAGTGAAGCAACTAGAGATCTGGCATTGCCGCCGTTAGGGCTTTGCCGGAGTTTTATGAAGAATTGAAGAAATATCTTCCTTTATTTCCCATGATTTTTTGCTTGTGACGTCTGTGTTGTGGTTTATGGTGCGAGATGGCGTGCGAGGAGGAAGGGTATGTGCGCGGTTTGAGGGATGGGCATGTCGGTCTTTCGTGATCGTTGGCACCTTCCCAGTTGATGTATTTGATGGTCGTGAGAGTAGGTCGTTGTTATTGAGTGTAGTCTTCGTCTCGCACTGTCTCGACTCCGAGGTTAAACTGAGGGAAACAGTGACGTCCACCCATGTGCGAGCGACTCCGAACTTCCGATGTAAACAAACCAACTCCCTCCCAACAAACACACCCACCTCGCAGGAAACGAAACATCCTCATCCCATCCCCATCCCCCTCCATCACCTCACAACATCAACAATCCCAACACCAACCATCAAAGAATGCAGAACGGCGCATCCAGCCCTTGTAAACAACACCCCCTCCCCCTCCCCATCCCTTCTGCACTCCCTCCCCAAAACGGGAATTGCGGGGTTAGCTCTTCGCGGCACGTGCCTCCTACGTATAGTGGTGTGGCTTACGCCCTAGCGCCGCTTCCATCCCTCCCCCTGTTATGATTTTCGCTGAATGTGTGTGTGCTGTGGCTGTGCAGCGTCTGTGTGGCTTTGTGGGGTAGGAGCGAGCTAGAGGGTAGGGGCGCTTAGTGGCTTTCTTCTCTTTTTTGGTCGCTGGGTGTGGTAAGTTGGGGGCCGGGGTGGCCGCGATGTCAGGTACGGGCGATGGGCACTCCGTGGTCGGCGGGTTTTGGAGAGCGTGGGATGGGTTGGGGATGGGATGCTGGAGGTAGGTGTTGGCGGTTGTTTGCCGTTGGGGATGGGCGGGATGGGGGATGGTTTGTGGGGTGGCGTGGGAGAAGGGGCGAGACTGCAGGGGTGGTGATGGACCCCCACACTATTATTAAATATTGGGACGCGGGACTGGGGCGAGAGGAGGGGTGGTAGTGAAGGGTAGTGAGGAGTACTATGCTGTACTGTTGTAGACTGTTTTAAGAGCGCATTTGTTACTGTAGGCGGCCGAGTCCGGTGGTGCTCTATGGTGCTCTAGACAGGAAGACGAGGCTGTGTAAGGAGATGTGCGGTGCAGTGTCAGCGTCCAGAATGTGGAGTTGGGCCTTGGAGAAGGGGGTACACGACAGTGCAGCGAGTGTTGGAGCGAATCACTATTTTGCCGTGAATGCTTAAGTGGGCGGTCGTGGGAGAGCACGAGGGCAGTTTGCGCAAGCGCGTGATGCAGATGAGACAAAAAGGAAACGCAGATGGAGATGATATATGGAGAGTTCAACGGCGGGGAGAGGATGTTTCGTGGCTGTTGGGTTCACGAGTGCAGCAACGGTGCAGGAACTGCGCGGCAGTAACAGCACAGCAGCAGAAACAACAGGAGTAGAGTATCACCGGTCAAAGAATCAGTGGATGCCTCGCGCAGTTTGGGCAGTCGCAACCCCCCCGACTGATTGATCGTCTCGCCAAAGGTCGATCTGCAGCTGAAATGCAGCTGAGCGTCAAGATGCTCTAGCTCGACGTGCGGGGGATGCAGCGCCAACCAAATGCGTCCCATTTGACTCCCATCACATGAGACGATCGGGTAGGAACTCTCGCGAGGTTGGGGTTGCCTTTTGGCGCCTCCGTAACGCTGCTTACCACCCACGCTTCGCCAATTATATGGCGATTCCAGCTGTGTGGATTGCTGGCGTGGCGCTGGAGCTCTCCCCTCTAGATGATGTCCCAGCCTTTGTTTTCCAGCACGGGACCGGCTGCAGCTGGTGTATGCCTGTCTCTCCCTGTCGATTTGGCGCTGTTTGTTCTCTTGGGGAGAGGAGAGGTTGCATCTGGATTGGGCAGATGTACAACACGGAGTACTGTCACCCAGGACGATTATGCGGGGAGCCGAGACGGCAGACGGAAGTAGACACGGAGAGAAAGACCGATGATGATAACGGAAGTGAGTGCAGTAGGTCGGTTTTGGAGCAGCAGACCAGTGAGACTAGTATGGGGTTCAGCTACAACGGCCGTCAGTTGGGGGGAAGTTGGAAAGTTGGAAGTGCGGAAAGAGCAGAGCAGCATACCAAGAATGGAAGGTTACTTACGATAGTAGTGTAGTCGTAGTTACTGTACTATAGTTCAAAATGTGGATGTTGGGAAATTCGTCAAGGGGAAGAGGAGAGAAGCGCCTGGGGGCCTCGTTCTCGCCCTGTCGTTCAAGGGTCGATCGTTGTTGACCCCCACGGAAGCACGAGCCTTTGTGGATCCTGTGCACCTCGAGTACGCGGCCAGTGTGCATCTGGTACTTAGAGGTACTGGGATTGGGTACTATGCATGCTACTGCATTAGAAGTATCTTCGTTGTCATTGCAGCAAGGGTCATTGGTACTGGACGTGGAGGTGGATGGAATGGGGGGGGGGCGACGAGGGGGAGGCGACGACGACGGCGTAGACGAGGGCATCACCCCCTTCACCCCCCCCCATCACAAGACGCTTCACACGCGGTCATCGGAGCATGGACACGAGCCTTGCCATACCTGTCAACGGTAAGTATAGTACCTACCTTACATGGTACTCTATTTTCAATCCAGCCACTTTACAGCGCATGCTGTTCTCGCAAGTTTGACAGGATTTACAGTAGTTCCTGTGGGAAGCTGACTGTATTGTAAGAACAAGGCTGGGGCAAAACCTGAAAACATGCCTACGAGCCAAGACGACAAGCCGGCAAGCTCTGGCTGGGCTCTGGCATCTAGGGCATCTGGGCTCTCGTGCGGTTTATGTGTCTGGCCCGTAAAAGGACGTTCACGAGATGGTCTCGTGAGGGGTCTTCCAAGATCGCCGGTTCTCCAGCATTGCATTTCATGCATCATATATCGTATACACGGCTTCTAATAGTCGAATACTCTGTCTTGGAGGTCTCATGCCTCGAAATTGACCACTTGGGTAACCCTGAGGCCTTGTTATGATACCTGAGCCGTGTGCGAGTCGTGTGTTTTTGGGCGACGTCGTCGGTTTTGCATTGGCTTGCACTGAGGATGATTATTTGCCCGCCACCCGGTGTCTCCGATGTCTGTGACTGCCCAAGACGAAATCATGTCAATAGCATCACTAAAATATATATTCTACGAATCCAATGCCAACGCCGATAATAATGGTGGCCAGAAAACTGTCAAACAATTGAACATATGAGCGAATTCTTGATACCCTTGCAACATATTGTACTATACTGTACTGTACGGTATAGTTCCGTGTTACTCTAGTATGTATGTACAGTACTGAGGAGTATAATGGGCTATATGGGCTATATGGGCTATATGGGCCTTCATGGGCCCGTTGTTCTGGTCTTTCGTGGTCTTTCCTATGCCCTTTGTGTCTGCCGCCGCCCCTCACCCGCCCCTCACACCCATCTCCATCTCCGCTATTGACGACCCCGTCCACACCTGACAAGGCTAACCCCCACAGCCCCTTCCCCCCCATCCTTCCCCCCTCACGCCCCCCAGCCCATTTTCTTGGATCTCGACCCATCATCGTGCCTTCCGATCGCCAAGCCACTTTTCCAACTGAATCCGAAAAATTCACATATAAGTCGCAGAGACTTCCCCCTTCTTTTCCTCCTTTTCTTTGACTATCGTTCCGTCTTCCTTCATTCCTTCCTGCATTCATCTTCCCGTTCTCACTTCAGTATCAAAGCACGCAACTATCTAGTTCTTGCCATTTGATTTCACATTCCACCGCATTTGAAGACCCATTGTCCCATTTGCACATCGTCACTGCCACCTGAATCATTATTTAAGGGTGCCTGCCATTAAACTTAAATCATGTCTCCTCACAGCGACGCCCCATCACCTTCTGGGAGCTACACACAATCTCATGGTATGCCAATTAGGATCACTGCCTCACAATCTCAAATTCCAAGGAACGTTTACTCAGACTCCGAAGTACACTACAGTAGCTCATTTGAAAGCACCTCTACCACCGCATCATCCTTAGAAATGGCCGAGCACGTCTCACGGCCTCTTGTTCCAGGAGTTTATGTCCCCACCGTCTGCTTCTTCCACGAGGGCTCTGAGGATCTCGACCACGAGACCATCGCCACCCATGCTGTCCGCTTGGCACGAGCAGGCGTTGCCGGCATTGCAACCCAAGGCTCCAACGGAGAGGCTGTGCATCTATCACACACCGAGCGCCAACAAGTGACATCCACGACCAGGAAGGCCCTCGCCGATGCCGGCTACAGTGACCTGCCAATCATTGTTGGTTGTGGCGCACAGTCTACTCGTGAGGCTATCCAATTATGCAGAGAGGCACACCGCTCAGGAGGAGACTACGCCCTGGTTCTACCACCATCCTACTACGCACCTCTGTTTGCACCAAGCTCCAAGTCAGTTCTGAAGTTCTTCAACGATGTCGCAGACTCTTCGCCAATCCCACTCATCATCTACAACTACCCTGGCGCTGTTTCGGGTCTCGACTTGAGCTCGGATATCATCATTGAGCTCTCCAAGCATTCAAACATCGTCGGCGTTAAACTTACCTGCGGCAACACTGGAAAGTTGAACCGCATCGTTGCAGCAACCAAGTCGGCCAAACCTTCCTCGAACGTTCCATCATTCCTTGTCCTCGGAGGCTCAGCGGACTTCACCCTTCAGACTATGATTGGCGGTGGACACGGTATCCTTGCTGGGCTCGCAAACATCTCTCCCAAGGCTTGCATTAAGACCATCGATCTTTACAAATCAGGTAACATTACTGAGGCTCAGGCCATGCAAGAGGTCGTAGCCAAGGGCGACTGGGCCGCCATTCAAGGGGGAATTGTTGGCACCAAGGCTGGCATGCAGGGCTGCTTCGGCTATGGAGGATATGCGAGAAGCCCTCTGCCTCAGCCAACCAAGGAGGAGGGCCAAAGGTGGACAAACATGTTCAAGGAGCTGGTGTCTCTGGAGAGGAGCCTTTAGTTTGTCCGACGGATGGCATTCACAAGACGATGCCTCGATCGATTCACTGCTCAGCCTCTCCGCTTGATTTCGCCCAGGCAGCATTTCAAAACGCGTCAAGGAAAAGCATGACTTTCACATCATCGGAATTCGCAAAAGCAGACTTTACTGGAGAATGTTTGGCAGGTTAATAATGGTCCAACACGACTCTGGCAGGGCCGGGGACAACTTAATTGAGAGGTTGGACGAGGGAGGAGGGTACGAAGAGAATACGGAGATTGACTTATATGGCGTTGCATTTAGAGGCCTCTCTGGCTAGAGAGGGCTATTCACGCGTTGCACTTTTACTTGTTATCGTAGATTGGTTTTGGGATTGGGAGGCAACTCTGGGGCTCGGTTTGGAGCGCCTCAAAAACCACCGTTATAGCAAAAAATTATCAAACAATAGATAATAAGATTAAACCAAATTTTTGAGTCTCGTTCATCCTATGAATCCCGAATAAGGAAAGAATGAAGTGGATGCTGATGGCGTGTCGTGACTTTACAGCTCAACAACTGAGAAGTTGTCGGTGGGTCTGTATCCAACGTTGACGTGGGGGTGGCGGGGAAGCGTGGGGGTTGGGGTCTCCAGGGGCGGGTCCACCAATTCCAGCTTAGTCAGCAGCCGGGTAAAGTTCACTGCCGCCTTCCGTTTCCTGTGCCTTTCCGCCCAGGATTATCCCACCAATCAGAAGTTTTGCCCGCTGTTTCCGCGCTGTTGCAGCTGTCGAGACACTCACCGCCCGGCAGTAAGAGCGGGGAAGTATTTGAGAATGGAGACAGAGGGACCGAGAACGGTGGATGTTTTCCACATATGACCGACCCATTAAACCGATTTCTCCGTTATAAGTCTCTCCTTTGGCCTCCATCTTGAGCAGAAAATAATTTTCTCCATTGTGTTTTCTACATAGCCTTTTGCCTCTTCTCCCTCCAATTCGCTTCTCATTCCCCTCTTAAAGCGACGCGTTAACTCACAATGGCGGAAATTACCATCACCGACTGGACGACCCGCGATGTTAGGTTTCCAACTTCCCTTGACAAGACTGGCTCGGATGCCATGAACGCTGCTGGTGATTATTCGGCTGCATACTGCATTCTCCAGACCGATTCTGAGTACTCTGGTCATGGAATGGTGCGTTGTTTTCCCTCCAATCCCCCACCCGCCATTATTACCCCGCAGCAGGTTCCCTAACACTCAATAGACTTTCACTATTGGTCGCGGAAATGACACAGTCTGCCACGCCATTGCACATGTTGCTGAGCGCCTAAAGGGCAGGACGCTGTCCTCCCTGGTCGCCAACATGGGTGAGACCTGGCGCTACCTGGTGTCGGATTCGCAGCTGAGATGGATCGGTCCCGAGAAGGGAGTTATTCACCTTGCTCTCGGTTCCGTCGTCAATGCGCTGTGGGATCTCTGGGCTAAGACGCTGGGCAAGCCAGTGTGGCAGGTTGTGGCGGAGATGACGCCTGAGGAGTTCACTCGCTGCATCGATTTCCGATACCTTACTGATGCCATTACGCCCGAGGAGTCGATAGCAATGCTCAAGGAGATGGAGGCAGGAAAGGCGGAGAGACTACAAGAGGCACTTAAGAACACCGCTGTCCCAGCGTATACTACTAGTGCGGGATGGTTGGGATACGGAGAGGAGAAGATGAAGGGGCTGCTCCAGGAGACCCTGGCCCAGGGCTACAAGCATTTCAAGCTCAAGGTCGGAACGAGTGTGGAGCAGGACAGGAAGAGACTTTCGATCGCCCGTGAGGTGATTGGATACGATAAGGGCAACATTCTGATGATCGATGCGAACCAGGTCTGGTCCGTGCCGGAGGCCATCGAGTACATGGAGCACCTGAAGGAGTTCAAGCCGTGGTTTATTGAGGAGCCCACCTCGCCTGATGACATTCTCGGACATGCCGCTATCCGCAACGCGCTGAAGAAATACAACATTGGCGTTGCTACTGGTGAGATGTGCCAAAACAGAGTCATCTTCAAGCAGATGCTGCAATATGGTGCCATTGATATCTGCCAGATCGATGCATGCCGTCTGGGTGGCGTGAACGAGGTGCTCTGCGTGCTCCTCATGGCGAAGAAGTTTGGCGTCCCGATTGTGCCCCACTCGGGCGGTGTGGGACTCCCAGAGTACACCCAGCATCTCAGCACCATCGACTACGTCGTTGTCAGTGGAAAGAAGAGCGTCCTGGAGTACGTTGACCACTTGCACGATCACTTCGAGCACCCCAGCAAGGTGGAGAATGGTCACTACGTCACGCCCACCGAGCCGGGATACTCGGTGCAGATGAAGGAGGCGAGCATGGTGGAGTTTGGCTTCCCAGGAGTGGAGGGAAGCTGGTGGAAGAGCGAGGCCGCGAAGCCGATATTGAATGGCGATAAGTTCTAGATCTAGGTGGTGTGAGGTTGGCCCTCCCGCTTCAATAATGGCAGGGCAGGGCAGGGATACCGTGATCCCGGGATCCTGAAATAGAAGTATGTCTGGGCACTGTACTGTACATACCTAGCGAATACTATGACATTGTATTACCACAGAGATTTCTGGGCATGATGATTGATGATACAGTTGGCGCCGAGATCACGGGAAGAGAGCGAGCCGTCACTGCGGGTTTCTCGTCACATTTGATCGCCGGGTCACATCACAGTGTCACTTCAGCTTATTACCTCCGTGACGATCAATATCATACTCCAGTGACTATACCGAACCTTGGTCTGACAGGAGAAAGTGATGCTACCCTGACTGTGGAGAGGTGATAGAACTGTCGGTACACCAGTCACCGACACATGCATTGAATATCGAGTGCAGAAATACATCCCTACCGTCACATTACTTCCCCCCCAATTCGCGGTCAGGCCCGCGGTCAGGCCCCACCAATCACCACCACCCATTTTAGCCCAGGCACACACAGATTCACATCAGCGCTTAACAGCTCAGAACTACTGGACACCAGCCATCCAAACATGACAGGGTCCTCCCCCAGTACGCATATCAACTGCGGGACGTCAACTTCTCCTCCACTAAACTTCTCCATATCGTCGTCGCTCACATCTCCCGGCGCTACCAAACTGATATTGACTGCACTATCACAAAAGGTACCTTAATGCGTCTGCTTACAGTACTTTGGTAGGCTCTTCAATTCGACACCTGCCGTCCCTCTCTACCCAATGGCTGCCTCTCCCTCAATTCCGAGGTGCACAGCTTCCTGTCACCTTGCGTCCGCCTTGCATCCCGTCCAGCCTACCATGTCGCTGAAGGCTATGTATATATCTCGAGTGCAACACCTACCGCCCTCTTTCTCCCCCTTGCGCCCACATCTGATCCGTTGCACTTCATCACATTCGCAACCCCATGAATAGCTTCTCACCTTGAGACGTTTCGCCCTTCAGGTGCCGATGATCTCTCCCCACTCGACTATCGCTTCATAGGAGTGAGAATAGCCATGCGGGAAGCTTTCACTGGTCTCCCAGCTCTTGTTACACGAATCGCCCGCAAGGCTCCACAAGTCGTCGAGAACGTTATAAATGCTCGTAGCAACCCCCTAAATCTCGACTGGGACCCAGCGCCATCTCCAGAAGACGGCCCTCCCTTATCAGCTGGAGCTCTTCGCGACAAGTCTTACCTTCCTGCGGAAATCGGTGGAATCGTCGGCGCATACGTATTCGTGGTGATCACCATCCTCCTCGCCCTATTCTTCGTTGGACGTCGACTTCGCAAAGCAAGAGAACTCGCAGCACAGAATGATGTTGAGATGCTAGTTGGACACGTTATAAACCCCGCTGCATATTATCCATCTCCAATCTCGCCCACCTCGGCCGCCACAGCTTTCCGCACCGCTGCGTGGCCAACTGCCGAGAAGACCCAGAACCCCTACGTCTTTCCCTCTCAAAACTGCTCTCCCGTCTCGCCCGGGACCAACCCAGGAGTCGATTCGCGAATTATACAAGCAGATCGTGAGATTTTGAACCGCGGACTCGAGGACCTATACGCGCATGTTATGGAACAGGAGGAAGCCAAAGCCGCCGGACTCAACATAGCAGATATGCCTGCCCCAACCCCTCTTCCATCTGCCTCACCTCAGAGGCAGAGCACCGCCTCCAGCAAGCGCCTGGAGAAAATCAAGCCAGCCAACCTGGGCAGCACCGAGAAAACACACTCGCGCACATCGTCCTTGATCTCGTCCCTCAAGTCGCCAAAACGAAAGGGCATCCGTGGCTTGAAGATCAGCTCTCCAATGGCCACGCCTCTCTCTACAACCTTCCCCGCAACATATGCGTCGGATGAAGAGCCACTTAGCCCTCGCCACTACCAGCCTCCACCTCCACCTCCGGTTCCTGAAGGTCAAATGCCATATCAGTACCATTCCCGCAACAACTCCAGCGTGCAAACTGCAGATCCGTCACCCATCTCGCCGACAAGATCAATTGCAGAAAACCTCGCTTCAGTTTCGATGGGGCCACCACCTAACAACAGATCGGTTGCTACAAACCGTCCTTTGAACTTAACTATCCCCGGTCCCGTTTCCGTGAACCCCTCATCGGCAACCTCATCCACACGACAGCTTCCCTTCAGAGCATTTGATCCACCCCCAGGACTCTCTTCGCCGTCATTCTCACATTCTACCAAGACAACGGTCCTGGAACGGACCACGCCGCTGTCGCCAGGGTTAAAAACCCCGTGGTCTGCTGGAGCAACACCATATAGCCCCTACCAGCCGTTCACTCCTTTGGTGCCAATCACACCGCGGCTGATCACGCGGGAAGATCGCAAGGCGATGAGGAGGATGGAGCCTAAATCTCCTGTTATGGAGATGGTGAAGGACACAGACGATCTCTGGGATAGTGGATATTAGGTGGGCTGGACTTGCGGGGCAAGAATACTAGCTGTTGTAATCATGAGCCATTAGAAGCGATGTATGGCGTTCATGTAAATAGAATTTCCCTTTACTCAAGTAACGGCAAGCGGGTTAGCAATTTCACACATGTTCAAAATATAACATCACACTGTTCAATCGTAAAGTTGTGGTGATTCGTCGACTCTTCTCCGTAGCTGGTTGGACCCCAAAGCGCCCTGTTCAGCCACCGATCATGCACGACCCTGGGAGAGCTGTACTTAATATAAGCAAATCGTGATATGTAGCCAATCATAAAAAAAAATGTGTAGTATATTAATAACGTTGACTTTTCCTTGCCTTTAAAATCTGTCTTGGTCGCTACGGGAAGCGGCCAGGCGCATCAGACGATAACAAGTACTTTTTATCAATTATCATTATCGGGCTCGGCACACCATACCAGATCAAACCCGACCCCAGTTTAAATCCATGGGGAACTCGAACCGCAGAGTTTGATTTTATAACGACCCCTCGCATCTCAACATCCCACGACTAGCCCGGAGCACTGGAACACCCCGCCGACACGCACAGCGCAGTCCCCGACTGCCAATTACCGGCCATGTCTCGGAGCATTGCCCAGACCCCGTACGAGGAGCGGCAATCGACTCACCCCTTGAGCGCGTACCTGTACCGTCTCATGGTCGTCAAGGAGAGCAACCTCTGTCTCTCCGCCGATGTCTCGAGCGCGCGCACCCTGCTGCGCCTAGCGAACTCGATCGGCCCATCGATCGTGGTCCTCAAGACGCACTACGACATTGTCAGCGACTGGGACTCGGACGTCGAGACCGGCACCGGCGCACAACTGGCGGCGCTGGCCGCTAAGCACGGCTTCCTCATCTTCGAGGACAGGAAGTTCAGCGACATCGGATCGACGGTGCAGAAGCAGTATACCGACGGACCGGGGAAGGCGGTCGAGTGGGCGCACATCACGAATGCGCATATCCTGCCCGGCGCAGCGATTGTGTCTGCGCTGGCCGATGCCGCGAGCGCGTGGCGCGAGAAGAAGAAGTACGAGGTCAAGACGGATATTACGGTCGGAACACCAAGGCCAGAGAGTCTGTCCGAGGACGATGAGGGCAAGGATGACGAGGACATCAAGAATTTGAAGGCGCTTCAGGCACGTCGCAAGGCGAGCATTGTCTCGATCACTACCGTTTCGCAGTCTTACGAACCCGCGAACTCACCACGCGCGCCTATCCCAGAGTGCGAGGAGGACGTCATCTTCTCCAAGATTGAGGAGGCGCCGCTCGATCGCGGTCTGCTTCTCCTGGCCCAGATGTCCAGCGCTGGGAACCTGCTCGACGAGGCATATGCGAAGGCTTGTGTAGAGATCGCGAGGAATAACAAGGACTTTGTGATGGGCTTCATTGCGCAGGAAACGCAAAACACGGCCGCTGACGACCAGTTCATCACGATGACTCCTGGCTGCCAATTGCCCTCGGGCGAGGAGCAGCGTGCCAACAGTGACGGTCTTGGGCAGCAGTATAACACCCCGAAAAAACTGATTGGAGAGAAGAGCGTGGATATCATTATTGTCGGTAGGGGCATTATTGGGGCGGCGGATCCGGTTACGGAGGCGGAGCGATACAGGAGGAAGGGGTGGGAGGCTTATACGGCTAGGATTAGTGCCTGAAATCTCTCTGATACGATTTTATTTGAAGATTTGCTATGGATGCATATTGGTCTTTGGAATTATGGCGTAGATTGCGTTAAAAAGTGCCTCCTCGCGGCTCTCCGCCATGGCTAAGGGCGTTTGGGACTGTGATGAGTTGGGCACAGTGTTTTAAACGGGATGATAGAAATTGGTTGGATACTTGCATGAGCTGCAACGGTAAATGAATAATTTACAAAATCAAATTATTAATCAGTCCCAAGAGGATCCATCTGTGTACTGGACATGCAACGCTTCCCAACTCCAGCCTAAACCACACAAAAATCTTTGCTACAAAAATGAATGAGGGACATTTCGTCCAATTATGCGTGTCGCTGAAACGCCACACCCGATTTCCCCCTTCCCACCGTCGCGAATACAGCGCCGTCCCTAATAACATCGAATCTGCTCATACCCATGGAGTCCGTATCGGCCATACTGGAGAACCAGAAGCCGACAATGACAACAAAGTAGCTGAGGATTAGAATCGACCCCTTGAAGTAATTGCTTTTGCCTTCTCCGTACATGTAACTCAACAGAAAGACGCACAAGATGACTGTAACCATATCCCACTGAGGGAATATGAGGTTAAAGGTCTTCTCAACAGCATCACCTCCTTCCACATATGCAGCGGTAACCGCACTGAATAGAACGAGTGCGGGGATCTGTAAAAGGCACACTTGAAGCGCATATGCAGAACCAATCTCCATGGAAAGTGCAATATTTCCATTCATGGCGAAGGATATTGCGTTCTACAAGTACGTTAGTTGTGTGGATGGACAGGGTAGTGGTAGACTTACAAGGAACTCGGTAGTGTTGGGAACAAGTGCGAAGAGCGTTATGCCAAGGAATTTCTCGTCAACAGCGAATCCTTGCAATACAACATCGACAGTATCGACAAGTATTTCAGCAATAAGGGCGTATAAGATCGTAGCGCTCATTAATATGACGGAACTCTTCGTTCTACTCCAGTTGGGCGCATCGTGGGCACCAGTCACAGCCACGTCAACGGCGGCCACCTCTACATCCATAGCTGGGAGAGGTGATGCCTTGTGAGACGCGACCTTCTTGCCACCGTCCGTATGTTGGGCAGTATCCACGGTTGGATCTGTTGCGCCCTCCGTAAGTGGGCTGGAGGCATTGTCGAGACTGGCTCTAGGTGGTACCATGTGAGGTGTGGTGACAGGGCCGTTGTGACTTGTCCCTGGTGAATCAGCTGGCGTTGCCCCTTGTTTTAATGGCTGGCCAACGAATTTCTTGTACATTGGAGAATCACGGATCTCAGCAGTGCGGGCAGTATCCGGGCTAATGTTCAGCTGGTGGCTACGTAGAGCCCTGTCGGCGGCCTGCTGTGTAGCTAAAAGGTGGCTTGCGTCTTGGGCGTGGATTTTCTTCTCGTCGACCTCAATGTTCCAGATGACTGCAGCATGTGTCCGGAGAGTAAACCATAGCCCGATGATATATGATAGAAATAAAAGTGTGGCGGCAAACCAACAGTAAGGCCGCACCGCCTCAATGTAGAACCTGTCGTCGAAGGATGGGGTTTGAGAGAAGTAGCAGCGGCGACAGTCGCGGCTTGGACCCTCACTCTCGGTGTCGATGCATGACAGACAAGAGAGTTCATGCTGGATGCCTTGTTAGCTGACTTTCAGTTTCGGATTTGGATTAGACTTACAGTGCCGTATATCTGGTAGAACAGGGTGGGACCGAAAGCAGCAATGACTGCAAACAGTAGCATTGTAGACGTAACACCAGCGGACTTAGCATTGAACCTCTGTGTCTTCCGCTTTATGGCCCCAAAGCACATCGATAGCCCGGGAAGGAACAGAATTCCAGCAAATATACTGCCGATAATGCTTCCCTCGACAAGTTGCCCCTTGCCTTGGTTTAAAGCAACGCAGTACAAGTAAACCTCGACCAGCGTAGAGAAGAAGGCATTGATTGCCGCTCCCAGTCCCATGGAGGATTGCGCGGAAATGGACGCGACGGCTTGTCCAATGAAGTATGCAAGTGGGATGATAGACAGAAGTGCACCCACAAAAAGGAAGGCTGGCTGGGTGATTGCCAAGTCAAGCTCCATCATTTCGCGCAACACCCAGTAGTCGAGTATGACGAACATGACGACTGCCATGAGGTTGATGAAGAATATGTTGGTACCGTCAACAGTATACTTCCAATACTTGAGGCCCACAGCACGGTACGTGCACAGGAGTATGGATGAGTTGGGTCCACCTCGTGAGTATGAAGTGTCTGATTGAAACGAGAGTGCCAATGGATGGCGGCGAAGGTGATAGATCAGAAGTAGAGTTACTTTGCCCATCGGAATCGAAAAGACCATGATCCAGCAGATTCCAGAGACAATAAAGAGCAGCGGCGTAATCAATCCGTAAAAGAAGATGAAAAAGATTACGCGTCCAAGATTCCACTGGCCTCGACCAAACAGTCTCCTCTTCATTCGAGGGACGGAAGAGTCTCTATCACCTCCACGTCTCGTTCTGCCAAGGAGACTATCCGTCTCGGTAGCCACAGAGTCCAAACTTCCTCGCCTGCGTCCGACTATTGACCTATTCCCGCCATCAGGCCCAAAGAATAGTCTCCCATCCTCAAGGTCGCCGGATTGCCATCGTTCGTATTCCGTGACACTTCTGCCTTCTCCCTCATCCTCGTTTGCGTATGCTTCGTCTTGCTCCAGTCGTACGAACTTGCCAAATGGGTAGAATATGTAGCCCGATAGCCCCCAAAGGACTCTTCCATACTCAAGTGCACCCGGCGCGGCGCCAAATACAAAACACACAAGTGCACCAGCTAGTGCAGCAAGCGCTAGCCACCATCCAAACAATATAGTCCAGGCGATGTTAAAAAGTAGAAGCCACCTACTTACCAGCCCCCCAGGAGCAGAATGTATGTCTCCCTCTGCTATTTTTTGAACCGATCTATCCTTTTTGTAGAGCGCAGGCTTCCATATACGAATACCAAAGGGATGAGTCTCGTTGATGGCTTCCTGTCTGTCCTTCAAAGTAAAGCTCTCGGTGTCGCTAATGTCACCATCCTCGTCATCATCATTGTCGTCGTCGCCGTCGAGGTTGGTCGTATCCGGATCCATATTGTCGTTTTTGCGTATCGTCTCTTGGCTCTCGTCAGAGGCAGAACCCTCCTCCGCAATTCCATCGCTACGGCCAGTAAAACCTGATCCTGTTGCGCGTAGATCCTCCTCGCGGTTCGAGTCTTCTCGAGGAACAGCCCCTGTAGCAGTGGGACGCCTTCTGAGCGATGATTTGGTTGTCCCAAACCCAGATACGGACCCTCCTATACCCCCATGTCGAAGTGCTTTGTCCCCTTCGATCTCATTTGCATCATCGTCGACCGAAAATTCCTGGCCGCGATGCGGGCCTTGTGGAGTGGATGAGACTCGACGTGTCATTGCGGGTTTCTGGCCTCGTTGATATCTTCCACGTTCTGGGCCTAGGACTGGAGACTGTGCAGATTGTATAGAGCGCGCCGAGTCAATCTTTCGCGGGGTTGGTCGTTCAGATCCTTGCGAGGGATTAGGGTTCGAGGGTCCCGATATGGATCCTAATAGTCTTGGGTCAGCCTGCCGCCTTTCTTGCACTTGTTTCCGAACTGTGGCAAAGCTGGGGACTTCATGAGGATAATATAACATACCATATCCGCTGGTGCCGGCTTCGGGTCTGCGGCGTACTGTATCAGTAGACTTGACGCTTGAGCTAAGCAAATCTTCGGATTCCTTTGTGATCGACTGGGACCGATGCAGAGGATGCCCAGCCTCTGTGCCGGTAAGGGTGCTGGAGCCAACTGGTGTCTGTGAAGGACCTGACTCTTGTTCTTGAGCTTGAGAGGCTCCTTCAGAGGCTTTCGCCTTCCCGGTGCTGGAGTCCTTGGAAGACATAACGAAGACCTTTAGGATCTAGGTCCTTCGATATATAGCTATGGCCTCGACTGTCGACAGTAAATAGCGACTGAAAATTCAGTTGCGAGATTATGAAACCAACGAAAAGGAGGTTTATAAAGGATATGGCTTGTGGATCATTGTCGAAATTGCTAACTACAGCCTCGGCCGCTCCAGTTCCTGAAGCAGAGCAAGGTGTGGATATACAAGCAAATAGAGCAATGATAAATGCACCAAAGATGCGTTTGTTACAGTGCAGGTCTGTACGCTGTATGCGTGTCGATAAACCTGTTGTTGTATAACGAAGGAAGCAATGAAGATTAGAGATGGATGCTGTTTACCTTGAAATGACGAAGAGTGCTTTAGCTTGGTACAAGCTGCCAGGGTTAATAGATAAGTACTCCATACGCCAAACAGAACTATACACTACCGAGTGTTGTCCTTACATATATGTCTTTTTGAAATCGGAGACAGTTAACACTTACAGAACATTCTGTCCCAGGTTCTGTGATACTTCATAGTTAGATTTCATGCGCGTAGGAGAACTGTAGCTATTGGTTTCTCCTACTGGGGTTCAGAGTGTACATACAAAATGTATGGTATGTAAGTATAAACGCGAGCCAAGCACGTGGTCCGTGCCCAAGGCCCCAAGGCTTCACGTACTTCTTGAAGCTTACCTCGCCTTCTTACCTTATCAAACATCGAACCCCAACGTTGTCAACACAACAACCCGTCGCACCATCATCGCCACCAGTACTCTCTGTCGACTGGCATAACATCGCACTTCCTACACCCATATATTCGTCGCCAAGTCATTCAAGATGGCGCTCGACAGCTTCTTTCACAACAAGATCGAGAGCATGAAGCTCGAGATCATCCAGGGCCAGGCGGTCCTCCGGAGACTTGAAGCGCAACGAAACGATTACAATTCAAGAGGTATTTGGTCTCTGCAGCAGGTTTGAAGGGTATATACTAACCGCCCACAGTTCGTCTGCTGAGAGAAGAGTTGGGGCTGCTGCAACAGCCTGGTTCATATGTTGGAGAAGTCGTGAAGGTGATGGGCACCAAGAAGGTCTTAGTGAAGGTTCATCCAGAAGGGAAATACGGTTCGTCGCCCTTGTGAAGTGAATACCACATAGGCAAAAGACTAACTCGACTTCAGTTGTGGACATCTCCGATAACGTCGACATTGCCAAGCTTACCGTTGGGAAGCGCGTCACCCTCCTCTCCGACTCATACAAACTGGAGAAGATGCTTCCGTCATCCGTCGACCCTCTTGTGTCGCTGATGATGGTTGAGAAGGTGCCCGACAGCACATACGATATGATTGGAGGGCTGGACCAACAGATTAAGGAGATTAAGGAAGTTATCGAACTAGGCCTCAAGCATCCGGAACTGTTTGAATCGTTGGGGATAGCACAGCCAAAGGGTGTGCTGCTCTACGGCCCTCCCGGAACGGGGAAGACTCTGCTCGCGAGAGCTGTTGCTCACCACACAGACTGCAAGTTCATCAGGGTGTCCGGATCCGAGTTGGTCCAGAAATACATCGGAGAGGGTTCGCGGATGGTCCGTGAGCTTTTCGTCATGGCGCGTGAGCATGCTCCGTCTATCATCTTCATGGACGAAATCGATTCCATTGGATCCTCCCGTGTCGAGGGCTCGTCTGGCGGTGATTCGGAAGTACAGCGCACGATGTTGGAGCTTCTCAACCAACTTGATGGTTTCGAGCCGACAAAGAATATTAAGGTCATTATGGCGACAAATAGGCTCGATATCTTGGATCCTGCATTATTACGACCAGGACGTATCGATAGGAAGATTGAGTTCCCCCCGCCAACCGTTGAGGCCAGAGCAGATATTCTCCGCATCCACAGCCGCAAGATGAACCTGACAAGAGGCATCAACCTGACCAAGATCGCCGAGAAGATGAACGGATGCTCAGGAGCCGAGCTCAAGGGTGTATGCACGGAGGCTGGTATGTTCGCATTACGAGAGAGGCGAGTGCACGTCACACAAGAGGACTTTGACCTCGCCACAGCGAAGGTCTTGAACAAGCACGATGATAAGGAGGTTAGTTTGGGCAAGTTATGGAAGTGAGCGAGGGAGGTTGGCGCAATTTTGCTACGGATAGGAACAATGAGGATGCGCTTGTGTACAATACAATAGAACCCGAAATAATATCACCACCATCACTGATGGTGATTGGAGACAATTGAATTTTTAGACAAATGTATCTCTATTCCAATTTGCCTATGCTTTCCAGTCTAAATCATTCCCCCGCCTGCTACCCATGCAAATCAATCGCCCAACACATTAAGTTCATTAGCAATGCCTGACGCCATCGCGATGCCAAACCAGTGACAAGGATATCCAAAGTGATACCACTTGTCCAAAACACGCCTCCTATGAATCAAACCAAAGAAGTATGCATATTCACAAATCATCTATGTCGTAGTGCCTCCAACCGTCCCGCACATGCAAAATTAACCCCGTCTGTCATCCGATGCCAATGATTCGCTCCCGCTTCGTTCCCTCTTCGGTGGTGCCTGATATTGCTGGACAATCCACTCCAGGACAGTCTCGTAGCAAAGGACATACTGCCTTAAACTTTGGACCATGCTGATTCGCTGTTTTCGGAGGTCGGCTACAGTGCGCTCTATAAGATCTATCTTTGGGTTGAAGAGCCAGTCGCTCTCCATATCCTTGGATGCGTGTTTTGTTGTTAAATAGTCTGTTTCTTCCGCTGCCGAGATATCCATCGGCGTGACGCCACTGAGAGTCTCTTTTCGTTGGCGTTTGAGTATGTCGATGACCGAGTCCACGGTGCAGAATGTCCCAGTCCGACCACATCCTGCGCTGCAGTGAACTAGGATCGGTGGCAAAGACTGGTCTGGATCTGGTTCCTCCGAGTTTATTTGCTTAGCGACGGCTGGTGGTAACGCCGCATGTTGGAGTGAGTTGGAAAGCTCGATTATTCCCAGAAGCTGGCTGGGCCGGGCTGTGGTCCCGAAATCCGGCCAAGAACTATACTGTACCTGCATTATCTGCCTGGCGGGCACGTGGGGTTGTGTCGAGCAGGACAGCGTAATGGTTCGAACCACAACATCTGGATTGTCACCAGGGCTGGCCTCTGGGATTGTTGATTCCATCACAGTGTTCGCACGGCGCCTCCCAAAGGACTCTTTCCGTATGGAGCGGACATGCTTAATGGGTTCTAGAGGGGCCTTCTTTTCCGTGGATGAGGTTATTTTGAATCTGCCATATTCTTGAGCAGACCAGTACGGATGGCACTTGACTTGCCCGCCCTCAGATTCTGCTGTCAGCATGACAATAACTCGTACATCATGATCCCAGATAACGCTCCAGAAATCCTATCAAAAATCAGTATACGCGTTAACAATTATGAGAGGCGAACGCACCTCAAAGGTAGCAGGTAGAGGGCCCTGGGACGCAATATATCGCTTATTGCTCCACAAAGGCTTGATATGAGTCGCATTTACATAATCACAGACGCCTTCAGCTCTCCCTTGTAGTCTGACTCGGGAATGCTCGAAAGGCCAAATGTTGTTGTATCGGTTTTTCCCCCCTTTTTCAAATCCGGCGATTTGAACGTCATTGTCAGATCTGGCTGTGGGCGTTCCATAAGAAACTCGAGACGACAAGGCGTTTTGCATTCTGGACTGCTCGATTTGTTCTATATGTAAGAACTTATCAGAAACTGTCTTGCCGTGGTCTTCCTTGGCAGTGGCGCTCCGAAGCCACGACGGGAGGAAGTCATCCGCCAATTGATCTACATCGTCCGGACGCCTGACATCGATTTGACCCACGCCACCAACGAGGTCCATGTTCTGTCGAATATTGCTGAAAAAGGGGTTCGCGACACTTTTTGTCTTTGGCATTTCGCAGCCGCCAGCGACATCAGCAGCGTTGGGAAATAGGGAGCCCAATGAAAGATTCTTGGAGTTTTGTGTATCGTTCGTTGGCTTCTGGTCAATGGCATCGCTCTGGATTGCAGAAAATGCCTTATATCCACCCTTTAGTATATATGCCCTCCCATTCCAACCTTCATTTGTGAACTTCTTGATGGTGTTCAGAGGTGCAACTGCGTCTTTCTTCTCTGAAGAGTGGGAATCGTAAACGATAATATACCTGCATTCGCCCCACCTTGAGAACTGAGTCTTCTCCTCCGGAACCTTGAATGTATCGGTGAGCTTCGCCAAATTGAACGACGGTCTCTTCAATAATGTTGTAGGAATGCACAGATTGAGGGCGTTGCGAATCCTTGATTGGGAATACTGCGGGGCAACTCGAAGGTCTAAAAGTAAGTAATCCGAAGAACTCTGGGTTTTCAAAAAATCCCTTAGGTCTGAAGCAGAAATAAACGCAGGGCCATCTTGTAACACTGGTGGTAGCGTCTCTGCCCGGGGGATATCATTTTGTTGGCTTGTATGTGGTGTGGACGGGCTAGGCCTATCACCAGGCAGAGACAACCGTGGGTGCCTATCACCTAATTGAGAGAGCATATGTTCTCGAACCGGTGCCAGCGGTTGAGATAACTCTGCAGTCATAGGCGACTCCTGCATTGGGAGGCCAAAAACTGGCGATGATTCAGTCGGGAAGGTGTTGGAGTGACGCGCCGGCGACAACCACGCATCACTGCTGATGGTGACTGCGCTGTTCGTCCTTTTCGCCTCGGTGTTCCTATCATGGCCAGCTACACTCTTATATCCATGGGCCTGGGCTGGGAGGACAGGTGCTGAGGCAAAATGGGATAAATTGCCATGGCCCAAGCTGAACGACTGGTTGGCTTCGCTCTGTTTCCGGAAAGCGTCAAAATCTGCACTGTTTTCTATCGGAATATTCCTGGGCGTTTGCTCGATATAAGATTGTACCAAAGAAGCAGTCGGGCTGCGATTATCTTTGGAGCCACTGCCGGACTCTCTTGCATTGTTGCCAGAATCAACGACAAGCCCAAAATAATTGGGGCTTGACGGCCGCGCCTGTTCTCTGCCCCCTGGCGTGCGTATCGGAGAGAAAGATGCAGGTATTGTAGGTGGTGCAGCTGATGATGGTGCTCTAATAGCCTGGATCAACGGACTGCCTCCGGCTGACGATGGGGTCTTCGGTCTATGAGAATGGGACCGAGTCGACCGCAGGGGCGGTCTTGCCGCCGCCTTCATGGTTTGCGTGTTATTGCCGAAGTTCGAATATTCGATGGTCTCGATAGATTTGCGAGCGAGGAAGGATCGGGCTTTCAGGAGCGTGTTGCATTAGGATTCGGCGCTGACCGCAGGCCCCCTCGCATTTCTTGCCGCCGTTGCGATCGGTGCCGTAGATGTCCCCCGGTGAAGGCAAGTAGGGGTCCTAAATACGTTGCGATGAGTTGATGAAATAAGAGAGCGATGGGGGTTGTGCGTCAGGGGGATTAAAGGCCTAGAATGGCGATTTGTAATGGGATAAATGGGAGGGAGGCAATAATATACTTGTAAAACTTGATGGAGTGAAGAGCGCGATGGAGTGTGAGTTGTGGACATGCAGGTGGAGGTAGTGCGGCTGCACTAGTGTGGTCTGCCAGGTACCCCATCAGTACCATGACCACATAAAACTGGGTGGGAAAGGGTGCAAAAGGGTGCAAATCTACATCATAAGGACTAGGAAGTCCAATAGTGGGCTAGGCACAAGATAACGCTGGACAACGGCTGGCTGGACCGTGCTCGATGACTTCATTACCGGGCCATCGTTTTGTTGGCGCAGATTGGATGCCTGAGGCATGAATAAATAGTTGGCAATGGATATAGAGTTGGTACTCATGCCGAGCATGCCGAGCCTGTCGAGTATATTTATACTAATAGTCTGATAATTGATACTTTAAGATGATAGCTCATATTCTAAAACGACAACTAATTGTATTCTACCTTATGTAATGGGGCGGCTCAATTTAAGTGAGCACAAGTGCTACCATCCAGTAGACACACCCGCCGCTTGCACCAGTAAGACTTCATAGTGTATGAGATTATCTTATCAGATGGGCTAGGTACGTTGACTAGACCTCGATTTTGATATCTGTAACTCTTTTGATATCTGTAACTCGATAAAACTCCGTCGCTATGCCTCCACAATCCGCGCTTCCTAATTGCGTCTCCCATATGTACATAAATGGCCGATCTCATCGGATCAGGTCCAAAACAAAACCACCACTATCCATCAAACAACCAAGCCACCCCTAAACACCATAGACAGACGCCAGCCACCGAAGGGATTCGAACTTCTACACCCGCTTATAGTATAATAAGACGGGTTTGAAGCCAGCCGGCATGAGCACAGCCTTTGGGCTCACTTTTCGTGTGCACTCGTCGTTAAACTCCGTCCACTTCCCATCAGGACCAACAGCGTGGGCGATATAGTGTCCGAACCGGCTATTCCCCTGATGAGACACCGTCGAGACCAGCTCGTATCGGAGTTCGGTAGAACCGTCCACGGCGTGCTTCGTCAGGTCGAGCACCCGCGTGATCCCAACCTTGGTCTTGATGGTCCCATTCCATCCTGCCCTCTTGAGCTGAACAGAGATCACGTCTGCTGGCGATGCGATTTTGACATCTCGGGTCACATTGACGGGCTTCTGGCATCCCTCACATCTGTAACCCGAGATCTTGTCTCGAAGGAAAGCGGCAACGAAAACCTCGAGGCTGGATCCACTGAGGGAGGACTCAAGAGGCACTGAGAGAGTCCGTTCCGCGGAGTGGTGGGGATCGGTGGTATGACCACACGAGGAGCAACGGATACTAGAGGTGAGCAGAGTACTATGAATGGCTTGGAACCTAGTGTGGCCCATCGCCCCCATGTCCTCCGACATCATCTCCAGCATTGCCGTAAACTGGTCATCCGGGTCACCATATTCCTCCGGATTGTCTGTTGCCCAGCCGCCTGAAAGAGCCATGTTAGCCCTACGTAAGGGAAAGGTAGCCAGCGCTACTTACGAATGGCCAGAGTGCGATCTATGTCCTTCAATAGCGCATAGATCTCTTGGCGTGAAGAGTTTTGGACCCAATAAAGGGTAGCAAGATCTCTCAACTTGCACGCGATGCAAACCGCTGGGCGATGACTGCAGCCTGTAGCAGGTTAGAACCTAAAACGAGAGAAGGAATACGGTGAATTTACATTCGCCGAGTTTGTGAAACTCTAATAGCCAATTCACAAGCTTAGGGATATGCAGTAAGGCCTGCAGCAAGCTATGGCGATAACACCTGGACATCTTGATGTTATCAAACCCAGGCTGCTTCATAGAGATCCTTTCCATCCACTCCTCGGACACGGTCGCCGCCTGATCTTGTGTCAGAAGCATATACAGAGTCTCTACCGACCGGGTTGCTTACCATTGCCTGACGCTCGGCACATTTCTTCTCAAGGCCAGCTTGAGCTTCCTTCGCCGCTGAGTGACGATCACGGTTACTGGCAGTTGGTGGTACAAAGCCATATTCCAGGTCCACCTTTGCGCCTCCCACAAAGGCAGAGTCAAGCTTCTTCTTCTCTTCAGGGACCGGCAGCTTCCGTTTGCGCTGTGGGCTACGCTGCGGGCTGCGCTGCGGGCTGGATTGCCGTCGGGCAGTTTTGGGTTGTTTGCTTACTCTCGGCCCGTAGTGCATCCCGTCGCTGGACGACGAAAAGGTCCGCTTTCGGATCATTGGGGACCGAGGAGGGATAGGCTGTTGAATGGCTACTGTAGCCATAGCAATGTATTTTTTGAGGAAGGATTTTGTTGTAGTTCAAACTCGTCTTGCTTTTGTTGGAATTTCAGAAGCTGATATTGTATGAGCCAACGGAAGTTTGAAGGTGAGAAAGTCGGAAAGGAAGAAGTGGCGAGTCCATAAGAGGATCTCATATATATACGCACCTCTTTAGTTCATATTATCGCTCTTGATCTTTATCCTTGTGATCTTTATCCAAGAATAAAATGCCAGTCGCCAATGGAGCTATCTAGCGACAATGGGAATCTTCCCACCGATAATAGAATTCGATAGGCGAACAATAGCAACGCTCAATGCAATAATAAAGCACCAACGGGCAGCCTTTGCACTAGCCCGCTCAATACAGTCTCTGGTGGTCGCCTGAGCCTTTATTGAATATTTGGAGGAGGTTAAGACACCAGCGATTGAGTCTTCCAGCGCAAAGTGCTTCAATAAACATCGAGACGGGCAAAACGAAGGTGTGGTCTTTCGGGAGTTGTTCGTATATACGTATAGTAGTATGTAGCATATATTTCAGGTGAAATATGAGAAATATTCTCGGCTCGAGGCTTTCTTCGAAGATTCTGCGATTATCGTTTGGGGTAGATGGAAAGAGCGAGTACAAGCGAGAACATGCGCCCCGGGAGTTTTGCGGTGGTCGGATCAGGCGCGTCGCTCCAGAATAATGATGCGATAGAGTTCTCACGATGCTCAAACGCTCAGCAAATTATTGAGGCGATACAGGACGCTCAACGGTGAAGCGCTCGCAGAAAAGTCGTGGCGATAGCCCTCCAATGTTTGAACCGACCTTTCCCCACACAGCTTCCCACCAAAACTTTTACGCGGTCGGGTTGCCCACTAAACTCTATCCAGCAGGCGGTGTGACATTAATCCTGCAGTACTTATCGCTCAATTGGAGAAAAGTCACGTGCTAAACGACGGAGCGATTGCGCTCACATATCACGAAACGCGGAATTTGAAAACACAAATTCCCCCACCAAACCACAGAGACACCATCTCACAAAGTACTTTTTATATACAGCGAGTGTGCCATGTCTCACCCTGCCGCTACCTTGATATAACGTCAGCCTTTTCCAAACCGAAATGGCGGAGCCAACCCTCAAACCCGAGGCCTATGAGGAGCAGCATGTTCACGAGGTGTATGAGCAAATCGCAAGCCACTTCTCGCAAACTCGCTACAAGCCATGGCCCATCGTCAATGAATTTCTGCTCGGTCTTGAGGCTGGGTCCGTGGGACTGGATGTCGGATGCGGCAACGGCAAATACCTGACAGTCAACCAAGACGTCTTCATAGTTGCCAGCGATCGCTCTACCAACCTGGCCAAGATCGCGGCCCAGCACCAGCCACATTCTGCCGTCGTGGCAGATAACCTTTCCTTGCCACATGGCGGTGGTGCGGGCGCTGGACGCTTTGACTTTGCGATTAGCATTGCCGTAGTGCACCACCTGTCGACCCCCGAGAGGCGGACAGCGGCCATTGGCGCAATCCTAGAGTGTTTAAAGGCTGGGGGCCAGGCACTAATCTACGTCTGGGCACTGGAGCAGAAGACGAGCAGGAGAGGATGGGATGAAGGCCACGAACAGGATGTTATGGTGCCTTGGGTGATGAAGACGGGGAAGCAGCAGCTTCCAGATGGAGAAGTTTCCGAGCCCAAAGAAACGACGTATCAGAGGTATTACCACTTATATAAGTCGGGCGAGCTTGAAGAAAACATCCGTTCGGCTGGAGGACAGGTCGTTAAATCTGGTTATGAGAAGGACAACTGGTGGGCAATTGCGACACCAAACAGCGCACCTACCTGAGAATCTTATGCGGAAAGAACCGTCCACGAGAGATTCTGGCCTCGAGTCAGCGGGTATAGCCCTATGCTATATAATTCATATCGCATTATACTATAGTGTTGGACAAGGCGACCGCCACGTGTCCAAGGCGTCACCTGTGCTTCGTCACCGGTATGAAACAGTTTGCACAGGAATGTGCGTCAAATGTGTGCCAAGCCAAGGCTACATTCACACACCAGGCATTGGGTGCCTCTTGCTCAAAACCCATCGGGCACTGGGGATGGTATGGATGCTGTCAGCGACTGTAGGGCTAGGTTTGAAGGAACATGGCTCTATATTGAGTCATTCTATGAAATAACGATAATCTAGTAATACATTATTGCCAAGTGTGGTGAATAGACAAAAAAGGAATAGAAGTAAAAAATAAAATAAAAAGTCCAATCTTGCCAGAAGAAGGATAAAAAGAAGTAAAAGAATCGAAGGAATCAGAAGCATCTCCATGTTAAATCTCCGTGTCCACCAAAGTCCATCCAAAGTTGTCATCAAGTCGTCTTCTATTCATTTCCCCAGGCCACGCTATGCATTTTGCGCCAAACCAACCCATGCATCATTTTTTTCAATCGTAGTCAAGTCGCACACAGCGGTGCGATATTCTGATCCTCCCATGTAGTGCGCTTAGCTGTATTAGTGAATTGTGTTTGCGTTCTTCTGTGTCTATCGGTCCTGCCGTCTTCTAGTTCCCCCTTGACCTGGGTCAGGGCTGCGACTCTTTCCTTCTGGCATCGGTGGTAAATTTGGAGGTAAAGCATAGCCTATGGAGGGCAAAGTAGAGCCCGGGCTAGAACGTGGTTGTCCGCCAGCCATGGATGCTGATACTGAGTATGCTGGTGTGCTGTATGGGCTCATTCCTGTTGTCATCTCTGCTACGCTGGGCAGCATGGGCGGGGGTCCCGTCATTGGCATCCCCATGCCCTGCCCCATTCCGATTCCGCCATATATGTACCCATCTGATGGGGAAGTGGACAACCCACCTCTCGGCATGCTCTGCCGCCGTGCAGCTATCGAACGTGTAGCGGGTCCCTCACGATAATATCGGGAAGAGGGTACTGAACTGCCCATCGTAGATGCAGTTGGGGATGAGAGGGATTGTGAGTGCGAGTGGCCGCGTGATGATAGTGGTCTCGCGTGCCCATGGGCGGGGGTGTCGACGGGAGCGCTTGAAAGTGAGAATGGGACAACGCCTGCGCGGCGTGCCATGTCGGCCTCTCCAAGCTGCCAATGCATGGCCTCCGCTGCCCGCCATGGAACGCCCATCTCTTCGGCGACCTTGGCCCACATTTCTGGTTTAAACCTAAAGTAAAGTCATCAGCTGTGTGCTCGGAGGCTGGGGGGGGGGGAGTGGGGTGAAGCTCATAGCTTGTATCCCAGGATCACAATTATGACAATCTGGCAAGTCCCAGGAATGTGGAGGTCATGTACATACCTCTCGTAAAGTCTCGCCAACTTATTTTTCCGCTCCTCATCCCACTCACTTCTCCTCTCGAGGTAATTTTGATAGTGCAACCTGCAACTTATAGCACTTCGCCCTGGTAAACGCTTTGATATATCTTCCCATTTCATGCCACCTCCTCTCAGGTCAATAATCAGGGCGTCTTCTTCCGGCGACCACTTGCTTTGCTTCTTAGCTGGCGTCTCTGACGGATGTGCAGGCATGCTGCGTTTCCCTCCAGCGCCACTGGTTTGTGCTGTTGAATATGGATGAACGCTTTCAACCGTTGTTATTGCTGGCAGAGAAGTCGGGCTCGTGGTCGCCGGCCTGGCTGGAGGAGGGGGCTCATTCGAGTCCGAGGCCCCGAGAAGGTGGGAGATATCCACCTTGACGGTTCTGATGGCGAGAGCCGTCACGGCTGACGTTCCTGCCACGTCTTCTGAATACCCGTATCCGGAAATGTTGCTATAATTCAGCCTGCTCTCTTATCGACGGCGCCGTGGAGACGAATTGGAGGCCAAAGCTTGATGAGTCGTGCTAAACTTTGCCTGGGTAGCGACAGTAAAGGACAAAACCGGCTGGGTCAGGGTTCCTATCTCTGGAAGAATAGAATGACAGGTTGGGGTAGAGGGGGATAAATTCAACGGCAGTTCTCTAGTACTTGAAGGAGGCTATGACTTTATGTTAGCAAGCTCCCAGGACGGCGGGGGAGCTCGCCTAGGTTAATTTGCTGATAGCATGATTGGCAGTGTCAAGATGTAATGCTGGACCAATAAGATGAGACAGGAAGGAAAAGAGGACCACCAGTGGCATCAGAAGGTAGATCGAAATCCACGATCTCAGGCGGCGGTAACATGGATCACAATGGGTCTGAGGGGAGATGTCCGGGAAGATGCACAGTGCATATAGAGTAGCGCTGATCAGATATGGAGGGGCATGTGGGCAGGGATGACCGACGTTGGTGCGGGCGTAGGGGAAAGGGTAGAGTGGTGACTTACGGAGCATCATGCCACGAATTCGTGCATGAACAAGTCCATCTATACTCCAAAAATGGCCAGCTGTGCAGGTGTTGTACCCCAGCTACCTTGTAATTTTGGTGGCAGAACGCCCTCGGCAGCGCATAGGGCTCACGAAGTGGTGGCTGAGAATGGTTGGGACGAACCCTCCAGGGGCCCTTGGTGGTAGTTGCAACAGGGCTCGGAGAATAAAATCTCCTTCTAAGGAATACGGATGCTCTCCCACGACACAGCTGCGACCTCATGAGTGTCTTCTTTAAGATTGGGGAAAGCGGCGGGCGTCTGTGCGTATTCCTAGATGGATATATCGCGTTACTGCACTCTAGCATAGTAGTGCATGGTAGCGTCAGGGATCTTGTAGTATCAGTACGTACGCATGGTGGGTGGAGCATTCGTATTTTGACACTGTATAGGATAGTTACAATAGAATTGTTCGGGTGGAGTAGCTTACCCCAGGCACGAGTTCTGGGGCTTTAGGATTCCACTTTGGGCGCTTGGAGGAGAGAACTGGCGGTCTGGCCTGCAAGGTAGGCAAGGTCAGGGGCCTTCAATCCAGGCAAGATCTGAATTGCGTGCATTGACTTGCATCAATGCGCGTGCCTCTCCCTGGGCCGCGAGGCGCGAGTCCGCTTTGGATCCATGACTTGCAGTACTCAGCTACCGACAGGGCAAATTCCAAGAGCCCCGGAAAATCCGAGGAACAGGTTCCGATGCCACGATATGAGCCGCCTCAATATGGCTCCATGTCGAGTTGGGAGCCTTTTCCAAGCAGGAACCCACGCCAAGCAAGGTAACCGTTTGCAAAGTCGGCCAGAGATGATCAACGCCTCCAATTACGCATGACTCTATTAAAAGTTTGCTTGATCTGGAATTTGATGCGACGGGATATTACATTTGGCGGTGTGCGGCTTCAATGATACCTCGGAAGATTTTCTAAGACGATAATCGACAGTCCGAGTTTGATACCACCTCTAAGCCGCCGGCCGACGTCTGAGACTCTCTAGTAGGTGTGTTCTGGGCCTCAAAAGGCACCTTTTCCTCGACCACAATGGTTTGAAGCTATAAGTATTGGCGGCCAACAATGCATTGATAGCATAGTGAGCGCTTCTTGGTGAGGTATAAAATCAGACGAATCCAATCAGCGCACGGACTTGGACAGGGCATATGGTACTTCACCATGGGATAGACCCGCTATTAGATGTCGCGCGGAAGACGTTCGGGATGGATTCCTGCATGCCGAAGAAGGGCATTGTGACACGGGAGGCTGGATTGTTGTCGGTCGTAATGACAATTCAAAGACAATTCGAACGTATTGTAATGTGGTTGGCCTAGCCTTCTTGCGGCGTTTGCGTCGTGTCGGCGAGTTGCACAAGGGGGAAAACGGTATAGGATATCAACCCCACCGCCAGTCCCATACATAAGCCCCCGGAACTGTGCCGAAGGGATTCATGCCGTACGGTTTGGGCGGTCTAGACATGGATGTTGCAGCTCAGCTTGTTCCATGGAGAAATCCACAACGGATTGTGACCTGTGGCGCCTGCAACCTGCCCCGAACGGCAAGAAAGGAGGCTAAAATGAGGGACGTCTCAGATCGAGCGAGCCCATGTTTGAGCGGTGTATGTGGGTGACAGGGTGATGCGACAAGGGCCAGCATGGTACGCAAACCTTACCTCCGTATTGGAGGCTTAGAGACCGAGGTGGAATGATGGCCCCATGCTGATGACGACAAAAAAAGGTCTTTGTTGGTGGTGGTGGAGGAGGGGTGGAGGGATGATGGGGGGTATGATAGATGAAGGACCACATCCAAGCTTGATCTGCAAACGCCTCCAAGCCAACGGCGACATCAGATACAGGACGACGACACCCATTGCGCGCAAGAATAGCAGCACGTCCGGACTGCGCACGACCCGAGAAAAGCCAAGGCGTCTCCTCAAACTGGTCGTGGATGGGTGGCCTGTTGGAGGTACTTGCCTGCGAATGTACTCAAAGAGCTAGCTGTTGTAAAGGAGGGGTTAGAATTGGCATTTTATTATAGCACTGTACTGTGTGTGACCCGTGTCTCCGTGTTATAATAAGATGAGGCAACAGGAGGGGTAGAAAGCACAAACCATGGGAGCGATCAAGCATCCCGAAGATCAGATGAAAAAAGACCGGATAATTTATGAATACCCCGATTCGGCTCGCATTGAGGCTTTTCGACGATGCCCAATGGCTATTTAGGGTTGGGGGGTATATGCGTTGAGAGCTTACAAATTATAGAGGACGAGGGTCTGGAGCTCCCAATTGTGGAGGGACGCTAGCACTGCCGTTCGGATGAAAGAAGAGAGGTGCCTTATATCCCTACTACTCGTGTCAATATTATTTATTCTATATACACCGAATACAACAGAAAGGCTCCCAAATCTCATCACTCTAACGCCTAGACTCCCACAGGATCAAAGTCGTCACAATGCAGACCGCAGGAGATATCCCCCTTCTCATTACTTCGGATAACTCTTCATCGGAGCGCCGAATCACACCCTCATGGACCATCGGCCAGCTGAAGTCGAAGCTCGAGGCCGTCACAGGCGTACCTCCGTTGTCGCAGAAGATCACACTCCGTGTCAACCAACAGGGCATTCCCGTTGAAGCCGCGGATGAAGAGAACACTCAACTTGCTTCCTTCCCCTTGGCCCCTTACGCCGAGCTACACGTGAGTCTATGTCCGTCACGTGATGCACAATCCTGAAGGAGCCTTTCATTTGATAGCTATATGGTCAAATGCACTGGTTACGGAATCGTATTCATTCATTGCACTGTCATTACTCGAAAAATAAATCTAATACGATCCAGGTTGCCGACACTCGCCCTCCCGGCGCACGCCCAAACTTCACCGATGCCTCCACCGTCGAGAAGTATGTGATGCCTGCTGAGGAATACGAGCAGAAGAGCGACAGCGTGCTTGCATGGAAGAAGGCACAGAAGCTCGGACGCTTCAATCCCGACGCACCTACTATCGAGGAAGCCAAGATCAAGGCCTACCAGACCGAAATCGATTCGAGGGGCATTGCCGTTGGTAAGAGGTGCCGTGTGGGGGGGGACGACAGTCGCCGGGGCGAGATCATGTACGTTGGGGATGTGGAGGAGATTCCAGGATCATTGGGTTCTTGGGTGGGCGTGAGATTGGATGAACCGGTGGGAAAGAATGATGGCAGTGTCGGTGGCACCAGATACTGGGGGGAGGAGGGGGGACCCAAGCATGGAGTGTTTGTGAGGCCAGAGCGGGTGGAGGTCGGCGACTGGGAACCCGTTGACGATTTAGATGATATGGAGGAGATCTGAGTAGGTCACACATTACGCTCAAGATGCACGCCACCTAGCTCAGTGAAGTTTAGAAGCTCCAGTAGGCGTGACAGTTGTTTAGTCAATACCATGGATGGCGTTGATATGGGCAAGGCCCAGCCTCCCGTCTGGAAGCCACAGCCACAAGATTGCCCTATTACAACCACTGTGCAAGTCGGGTAACTGCCGATGACATGATAGATGCTGCAAGGCTGCTCGTGACCTACTGGGCGGCTGCGCCGGCAGAGATTATTCAGGAAAATACTATTCAATTGTTTGTATGATTCCAAATCTGAATCCAATCACCTAGACAAGAGTATAGAGTAATCAAGTCTCTCCGCTTGAGCCGACCGTGCTGCGGATTAACTACGCGCGGTGTCGGAGCTCTACGCCGCGTCTGAGTAAGCTTTGCCAGTGAAAGTGTGGTTAAATACGACCGGATAGATCGTATCCGTACTCACGACGAGCCTAGCCGCGATTTGAGCCTAGTTGTTGATATTTGTATGGTGAGGCTACGTTGAAACCGTCTCGAATTCCACTGCCGAAGGGGTTGTGGAGGCTATGCAAAGAGGCGCTTATCCTTATCGCCGACCGCCGCCCGCACTTTGCTCACTCCACTCCATGGACATCGGAGTGCACCACCCACAATTCCCCACCTGTCACATTTCCAGCTGTACCAATACTACCAACACTACCAATAGAGATAGACCATCCACGACTCTGCCACCAAAAGACACTACTACGACCACTACCAGCGGTGCCGGCACTGCCGCCCAGCTCTCTCAATATCATTCGTTTCCGTCATACCTCGACCAAACTTATTCCAAATTCATACCAAGGATGGTGAGCCGCACCGTCCACGCAATCACCTTCCAAATACACTTTGGCATTCGAAATCTATAAGATTCACACCTCGCGGCCAAGGTCTCCCCAGATGTGAAGAGGCGGAGTGTGAAAGGCGACAGGCTGCTTGAGCATATACAGACAGACAGACGCTGGGAGGGCACCCAAATCGTTTCGCCTACCATGGCTATCCACGCCCTTCTCTTCCTCCTGTTCACCTCGATGGTCGGTGCTGTCGACGTATTTGGCTCGGACGCCGCATTATCAAAGCAAGCCACGCAACTGACGTTGGTATGGGAGTCCCCACAAGGAACCCTGACTCCTCTGGTTGAGCCCTTGACGGCACAGGCCGGTAGGGGCGGGAGTATCAGAGCCAGTGTTCGTAACTCCATAATAAACTCTTTCCATTGTATGCCAGCTAATGTAACAGACCAATATTCAAGGGAGCTTCAAGTCCGTGACTACGAATGGTGCTGGTGCAGGAGAGGTCAATAAGGGCGATATTGCATTGGTATCGTGCGACTCAACAAACTCATCCTTCCTAACTCAAGACGCCGTCATCGACTTAATCGTCCCCAAGAACCCAGGCGCCATTGTGTTATACAGCCTCGCGTCCGCCCACTGTAGCGTCAAGGACGTCGGCTCGTTCGCAGACTACTACACACTGAGGAACGTCTCAGCGAATGCTATGCAAATGTTGGTGTCGTCGTCGACATCGGCGACTGCAACGATTCGACCTGAAACAGCCCAGGGCGAAAACCAGCCGACACAACGAAATCAAACTCCGGCAGTGGCTATGAGCGTACTATATGCTGTTACTGGCATTGTCACAGTGCTCTTCCTCGTCATCATCACCACAGGCGCCTGGCGCGCTCACAACAATCCGGCAAGATATGGTCCAAGGACTGGCTTTGCCGGCCGTCCGAGGCAGAGTCGGGCGAAGGGGCTTGCCAAAGCAATGCTTGAGACCCTTCCAATTGTGAAGTTTGGAGACCCCCTACCACCAAAGGCGGGGAACCGGGATATAGAACTTGACGACGCAAACACATCAGAAGAACCTAAAGCAGCACACGTGGCAACTGACAGCGATAAGAAGGGTAGCCCGCAGCAGGATGCAATCCCTGTTGAAGCGGATATTGCGACATCTTCCTCCGAATCTAATGAAGTGGGTTCAACTCCTCAACCAAACCCTGAGACCCCGGACGAACACCTTGGATGCTCTATTTGCACAGAGGATTTTACAAAAGGGGAGAATGTCAGGGTCTTACCCTGTAACCATCAATATCACCCAGCATGTATTGACCCTTGGCTACTGAATGTCTCCGGAACGTGCCCCTTATGGTAAGTAGATACCCCACCGCTTGTTTCATGCTCACTCTAATCTTCCCCAGCCGCGTTGATCTTCGGCCTGTGCGCAGTAATTTGAGTGCCGGCGAGCCCTCTTCCCCAACGGATGCCGACCAAACGCCAGCTGTACCCGCTGAAGCTGTCCACCAGTCTCGGGTCCAAAGGATCCTGGCTACGCGCCACGCGCCTGTCCATGAACGCATGGCCATTCTGAGGCAGCTAGCCAGGGAATCCGGTCAGCACCAGCCGACAGAGCCTGCCTCATCAGCCGTTTCTGCCGAGGGGTCGCGAAATAGATTAAGTCTGGCCGATAGGCTGAGAGATAGGTTCTCGGTCCGTACGAGGTCGAGTAATGCGCAGGATGAAACATCTGCACCAGCGACAAGCGCGACGGAAACAACCGCCAATACGACAACCACGAGGTCTAGTGGACCAGGTCCCAATGCGACAAGTGAAGAAGCCCCGCCAAGGCCCTAAGCCAAAGCACTCACCTTCTCGAAATTAAACTTTCCTTTTTCAGGTACGGCTGCATTGGGGTGAATGGACAGTTTAGGGGTTTGATTTTGGTGTAGATTGCGCATGCGGCAGCTGACACCACGAGGATGGCGTGGTGGCGTCGGGTTGTCGGCTCATGAAACGGCGGGTGCATATATAAGATTTCGTACGGTGGGACGGCCCTGGCGCATGGGAAAGGCTAGTACAATTAGGCTCATGGCCTGGACGGTTTGGGAAGGCGTTTTGCGGGCCCTAATGACCAGATTGATTGCTTACTTTATAGTACTCTATATGGGAGGGAATAGTGGCGTTCGCTTTGGGAGCTGCGCCTTTGTATATGGCGCCCAACATATTGTAATTATCGTAACAACCATAGTAATGTACATGCGATATTATAATGAATGAGATGAGCATCTTCATACCGTAGAGACCCGAGCAAAAGCGAAGTGGATTCAATAGCCTTATCTTCACCTCGGCAATGTCTTGGAGGAATGGTGAGAGACTGTAAAAAAAAAGGGGGTTGCGCGCTGAAGATAGAAATTGTTCAGCCACAGCCCAGACATTCCGAGCATGGGAATCTCTTTCTCTAGGGCTGCCCCGCCGTCAGTTATGCATGTCCTGGGTACTGGGGGCTGCAAAGGAATTGATCTGAGTCAGCTATCCCGATATCTTGGTAGTGAGAAACCCAGCGGGTCGACCCAGGACGGCCAAGCCCATGGTGGGGGAAATGAGTGCGGGCCTAAAGCGGCTGTCGCACTGGAGATCTCTCCATGGGAAACGGGCTTAGCATCCGCATATTGCTGGATCAGCCGCAGAGGAGAGACAAGGGAGTCGCATACGGAGAGGCAGCGCATTCTCATTTCCGGTGAGGGGGCAGAATGGGGAGGGGGGGTGGGCGCGAGGATGGGGAGGGGCGCGCGCGGGGAGGGGGGGGTGTTTGACTTTTGGGGCACGCTGGCACCAAATCGTCGACCTCTCCTACCTTCGCACAGCGTGAGGGCGAACACGCCAGCGATCGGCGTCACTCTCACCGGATTGGATCCACTTGACTCGCCCAGGGGAAGCCGACGACACTCTCTGCTATAGAGTATATCTCGGACCATCCCGTTGCGATCAGCTCAGCGGTGAACCCGCGCAAAAAAAAAGTCATGACCGCCGGGCGACTAGAATCCGTATCCTCCAGCAGCACCGCGGCAGCAGCCATGAATTAAACTTCCCAGGAATCTGGTCTGACACGGAGCCCCACGCCGTCGCGGGACCCGTTTCGTCTCCCAGCACACCGCTGTCAGCTTGCCGTGCGCCCCCCTCAGCCCGTAACCCCTCACGCGCCATCCGCCCCTACACACCTACCTCCTCGGCCGGCCGGCCAGCGAGCGAATGGATCCCTTCTCCCAGGCCTCGCTGTCGCCGGGCGACTACTACCACGGCGGGCTCTCACCACAGGCACCGGGCTCCTCTGCGGCTATGCCCGGCGGCGTCAAGCTCGAATTGCCGCCGGCGGCGCAAGCGCCTACCACCATGCAACAGCCCGGTCCGGGCCCGGGGCCGCGCAACTACAAGTCCAGGAAGTACCGGCCGTGTGACTTCTGCCGCGCGCGGCAGGTAGCCTGCAAGATCGAGGTTGCGCCGCCATGCCAGCTGTGCCAGTCTCACCGGCGCGAATGCACGTTTGTAGAGCAGCCGAAGAAGAAGCGGCGGCCGCCAGCGGAGAGTGTGGTTGCGCCGGTGGTGGCGGCGGCGTCGTCGTCGCAGGGCTCAGGGTCCAGAGCGGCAACGGGAACTCCAGCTGAGGGGTCCAGGGTGCATATCGGTAGGTCTCATATCATCACGTCTCAACGTCATATCGATGCGACAGTCTCAGAAGGGGCACCCAACTTACCATGTTCTAGAACCTCCACAGCTTCCAATGCTCGGGCAGGACAGCGACATCTCCGGTCACCTACACCCCAACTACGTTGCGCATTTTGACGAGCGTCTGTTCGAGCGACAAATCGGCCATGACCATTTCCTCGATCATCAGCAGCATCAACACCAGCAGCATCATGAGCACCATCAAGGCTTGGATCACACCGCAGCAGCTAGCTTTCAGATGCCGCATCTCGACGTCCCATCCCCCGAACGAAGCCTCGACTCACACCCCTCCCGCTCAGCACGTCTCGTCGGCGAGACAGGCGAGACAAACCCCTACCTCTTGAGGCGGTACCACTACGACGACAACGACGAGTGCACAATCTCCCAAACACACTACCGACGAATCCGCCCCCGCCCCAGCGCCAGCAACCACCCAACCCCCAAAGATGCACCACCCCCCGTCTTCACCCTCGCCGCCGACAGCGCCAGCCTCTCCGCCGAACCACGCACCGAAGATCATGTCCTCGCGCAGGCGCGCTACGACATCTCGCAACTCTTCACATCAGAGCAGTGTTTTCGGCTGTTGGGGCTCTACTTCCGCTTCGTAGACCCATACCTCCCGATCCTCGCTCGCGCCTCCCTCTTCGTCAACGGACTCATCTCCCGCGCCGCTCTCGACGCCTTGCCCCTCTCCCTCACTGCCACACTCTACGCAACCGCCCTCCCATACACCCCTTACGACGCGCTCCTCGCGCCGTCACTCGCTCACGCCCCGGATCCATCTACTCAACTCTACCGCACCGCGCATCTGGCGCTAACACATGAACTTCACAATCCCCGCCCCGCAACCCTACAAGCTGTGCTCCTCCTCCTCCATCGTCCCGCGCAACATACTCCATTCCGCCCCGCCCTCGTCGCAACAGCAGTCTCCCTCGCTCACTCCCTGGGTCTCTCCCACGACTCTACATCCTGGTCTCTCCCCGCGCCCGACCTCGCACTGCGGAAACGGCTATGGCACGCCGTTTTCATCACTGATAAATGGACCGCCCTGACTCTCGGGACGCCGAGTTGCATCCGCACGGACGACGCGGACGTCCCGCCCCTCTGGCCTGCGGATCTGGAGCCCGCGCTCGGCCCTGACGACGGCAGTGACGCTCCTACGAATTTCAGGCTCCTCGCTGACCTATCCTCCATCGTCGCAGATATACTAGACTCCTATTTCTCCGTCCGCGCCACGCAGCGCACCGCCTCTAATTTCGCACTATCCCTCGATCTCGGGCGGGGTCTACGCGCACGCCTCGATGCGTGGAGTGAGGGGTTGCCGAGGGCGTTGTTTGTGAGGGGTGCGCCGGTTAGGAGGGGAGGAGGGGACGCGGGGTTGTATTTGGGGTATTTGGTTGCGAATATGACGTTATTTCGTGGACTGATGAGGCCGCTTGAAGGGGGTGGAGCGGGGCAGGAAATGGGGATGGGGAGTGGAGGGGCGGTGAGAGCAGGGGCGAGGGAGTGTGCGGAGGAGGCGGTGGTGTTTGTGGAGGGATTGGCGGGGGCCGGGGGGGTGGAGGGATTTTGGCATAGTTGTATGTTTTGGATTTTTTTCTGGGGGGAGGGTATTATCTATGCTCTTTCTTCTTTTGTTTTTTCCCTTCTCCTTCGTTCTTTCCCCATAGCTTTTTTTCGTTATATCCCCTTACCCCTTTTCCCCACCCTTCCTTCGCTCCTTCCCCCGTCTCCCCCACTTCTCCCCGTTCCTTCCTCACCCTTCGTTCGCTCCTTCCCCCGCTTCCCCCCTGCCACCCCAACCTGTTCCTTCCCTCACTCACCTTCTGATCCTCCCCTCGTTCTTTCCCCCGTTCCTTCCTCGCTCTTCCCTTCGTCCCATCTCCCCATTCTCTCCTTCCTCACCCCCAGCCCCTCTTCCATTAGTTTCCTCTCTCCCCTCCCCCCGCCAACCCACGACCCACAGAGCTAACCACCCCCACAGGGTCCCGCGCCAACTTCGCCATCGCCTCCGCCTTCCTCACGCAACTCCTCCTAACCGCCTCCACCGAAGCCGAAGGCGCCGAGATGAGCAATTTAGTCGCCAGATGGCGGTGGGCTATGCGCATGGGCGCGGAGGGTAATGATAATGGGGGTGGATTGATGGGGATGGGGTTGGGTGTTGGGTTTGCTGGGTTAGGGTTGGATGGGGGTGGGGAAGGGGGGTATGAGGAGTAATGTGGGGGGGGGGGGAAGTAATGTGTAATTGGGGCGGGGGGGTATTATATGTGATTGGAAGGAGCGAGGGAGGGTAATTGAGAGGGTATGAGGGAAGGCACGAAGGGTGCAATTGGGGGGGTATGAGGGAAGGCAGGAAGGGTGCAATTGGGAAGGTATGAAGGAAGGCACGATCGATGATTGAAGGAAAGTATGAGAGGGAAGGAACGATGGAGATGAGAGAGGGGCGGGCGGATGGGCAGTGGTAATCTTACCTTGCAGTACATAATCAGCCATGGTGAGGGCCGGGGGGGCGAGACGCGTATACCCAGCAGACTGCAATTCAATTCAACATTTTAATATTGTCAATATGGGATGGCAGAGCAGAGTACCTTTGGTTTCTCATGTGATCTGTGTTCTATGTTCCCCCTCTCAGCGGTTTCGTTTTGTCATTTGTGGTGCTTCTTGTAATCTTGTTGTCGAACGTGTCGGATGCTGACAATCTTGGCCTGTTTAATAGTTCTGGCCAAATAATTGAGTATGTCTACCAGTTTGACCACGTCAAGTTAACTTGATCATTTCTAGGAATTTCAGCCATATATAATTATCTTGGCTATGTCTAATAAATCTTGGCCATGTTTAATAACAATTGACAGAATAAATAGTCAATCAGGCCTACCAATCTCGACCGTGTCATATAATCTTAGCCATGTCATATAATCTCAACCATGCCAGTCATACCCAGTCAACCCCCAGACTCACTTTCACGGAGATTGGTCTAGACCGGTGGTAAATGACACACCGTCACGTGACACCAACAAACCTGGAATTATACTCACAGTTTTACTACAGTTTTATCTCACCAAGTGGCAGCCAAGGGATTCGCTGGCCGCAGATATATTCAGCAAAGCGCGTACTCACACCCGCCCACCAACGCGGTATCACCACCACGGCCTCATCTAGTCCGTCCCACTCCCCCGTCTCACCCCGAGTCAGACACCCGCCGAACAACAGACGAACAGCGCACCGACATTGGCTGTGGCACACTCGTACCTGTCTCTGCGCCTAAATAATCTCCGAAAATGTCTCTCCCCATCTCCTCCTGAGCCTTGCATCGACCGCCCTAAGTGGAGAAATGTCTGGTCTGGTCTCTGGTCATGTCCGAGGACGTGGCCCGTCCCACCGTCGCGTCGTTCCGGGACGCTACCCGCTTACCGCTTGCTGACCGACAGGCTGACGTAGGGTGAGCGCGTATGGGATTGTGTGATGCTGTGTGATGGGGCGTGGTCCAAGGGATTTGGTGATAGGGAGATACACGGCGCATCGACAGTAGCACAGGACAGGACACAGATGCGGTTGATGAAGAGGTCGTTGTTGAATATCTCGTCGCACAGCACAGTCGATCGTTCAGTCTCGACTCTGTCATCCACTGTCATCCACTCGCCACTCGCCATCCTCCCCATCATTGGCTTACGCGCCGGTAGCCCATCCGTTGCTGGCGGCACTATACTGTACCCGTCGTTAGTGGACCTCGCTGACGCATGTTTCGAAACGCGGCGGGCCGGAACATGAGAAACAACCAACGTCCTTTGACCTTTCATTCCCCCTCGTCCCTCCTCCCACATTCCCACGAATCCCATGATTCCCACCAGCTGGGGATAATAAACGCCCTTGTTGTCTGTACTTCTGCACTGTCCTTGTTTTTATCCTGTACACCGCAAGAGAAGGCCCGCGCGCGAATGGAAACTCGCTATTTGCAGTGTGCGCTATCTACTTCCCAGTAGTGGAGACAAAGGCGTCGTCGTCTCGTCGCATCTTCGGTCGTCGGCATCGGATCAGCGCTGTCGCTCATCGATCGTCACTTGGTACTGGCTACTGGTATGGTGTTATCTGTGCTGTCTCCTGTCTCCTGCCTGAGTTTGTTTGTATTGTATCTGTACCTGCCAATTTCTGACCTGTACCTTACACAAGACTGCACGACGTGTCAGGTACCCGCCTTTTTGTTCGTCATATCCGCTGTCGCTGTCCGTCCTGTCGCTTTCTCTGACAGCCAAGGAGGGAGAACCAACTATGGTCGACGGCATGGTGGAACAGTGGGGAGTAAGACTGCATGGGAATCGTCGCTGGGGATTGGCTGGGTGCCTGGGTTGGTTGTTCCTGGATGTCCCGCTGGCTGGGATTCCGTGTTTGAGGTTGAAGCCAGGATCAAGCCCCTCGATCGTGGCCAGTGCCATCGGTACACGTTTGTTAGAGTGCACGCTTCACCTGGTATGGTAAGTTACTGCACAATCCACTCCGTCTAGACTCCCTGATGCCCTCTGATGCGCTGTACCTGACGCTAAATATCGAAAAGAAGCCTTTTCTCTTCCTTGCAAGCGTGTCATATCTCGGCGCTATCTGGTCTGTATACGCGCTATACTCATTCTTTGTCCTTCATCCCCCCCATCTGCCGCAAAAAGTACTATTTCGTGTACCGTCCTTGTACTCTTACTCTGAAGCCAGACTTGTGTTACATGCTCTACCACTCTGTATCATACTGCAATCCTTGTCCTCTTTCTCTAAACTCTCTTGTGCTCTACCTCATTCTACTTGGTGTGATTGTGTTATGTTAGGCGTCAGACGTATATGCCACCCGAAACTCTTCCCCCTCCTCCTAACCTCCCCCCTCTAATTCGCTAGCTAGAGTCCCACGGAAAAACACATACATCCTCCAAATTCACTCTCTTCGTTCGTCCTTCTTCCTCTTCTTCCTCTTCTTCTCCTCACCACCCCGTTGTTACTTCTCTCAGTAACATCACCACACTCCTTTTCGTTCTTTTACCCCCCTCGCTGCTGGAATCAAGATCCGTGATCTGATTATACAGTTGACTCTTGGTTCTTGATTCTTATATCACATTCCTTTATTTCACTCAATTCCATCCCCACTGCTGCGCCAGTGCCTTACCTTGACGGTATCAACACACACTTTAAGACACAAAATCACAAAACAAGATCGATCTACACTCCACCTCCCACGACGCGTCGAGACAATCATCTCCCACGCACAGTACTGCAAAGAATCTTCTTCCCGCGAAGATCACATCCTCTTAAACTAAACAACACCAACAGAGCATCCCTCAATTCATCACCATGTTCTTCTCTCTTCCGACAATCGCCCTCGCCGCCTCCTTGCTGTCCAGCAGTGTCCTCGCTGTCCCTCACAGGGGGCACAGACACCTCCACGCCGCCGCAAAGCGTGATGCTACCCTCGTGGAGAGAGATGTTGTGGTAGTCAACACCGTCACCGACTGGGTGACTGTTTGGTGGGACGGAACCAGCTTCGTCACCCCATCGGCCACCTCCGCCAATGCCATTCCAACCCAAGCCGCTGCTGCCGATGCGGCCAAGGTCGAGGCTGATGCCAAAGCGAAGGCTGCTGCTGAGGCTCCAGCCCCTATCATCACTGCTGCACCCGCTGCCCCAGCCCCAGTTGCCCCTGCCGTCGCAGTAGCCGACACTGGTGCTGCTGATGCTGAAGCCGCTTCTAAGGCCTCTGCCGAAGCTGCTGCATCCCAAGCCGCTGCCGCCCAAGCCGCTGCCTCCCAAGCCGCTGCTAACGAAGCAGCCAAGGCCGCCGCCAGTGCTGCTGCCAACGACGCAGCGAAGGCCGCCACCAACGCTGCCGCCGCCGCAGCCAAGAACCCCGAAGGCATCATCGCCGGCGTCGTAGGCGCCATCTCCTCTGTCGTCGCACCAATTATCCCCACCCCCGTCGCGCCGGTCATCAGCACCCCAACCCCCGTGGTTGTCACGCCCCCCGTCGTCCTCGGCGCCGCCAAGCGCGGTCTCGCCTACAACAACGCCGCCCTCGCCTCCGGCTTCACTGGCGCCGACTCCAAGGTCTCCTGGGCCTACAACTGGGGCTCCACCACCCCTGCCATCCCCTCGTCTTTCGAATACGTGCCCATGATCTGGGGACCGCAGCCCATTCACTCCGACGGCTGGACTGAGGCTGCCAACGCCGCCATTGCGAAGGGGAGCAAGCACCTCCTCGCGTTCAACGAGCCTGATCTTCCTTCGCAAGCTAACCTCGATGTTGGCACTGCTGCGGCGGGGTACAAGACCTTCATGCAGCCTTTCGCTGGGAAGGCGAGGCTTGGGTCGCCGGCTGTTACGAACGGTCCCGCGCCAATGGGTATCGCGTACTTCAAGTCTTTCATGGCTGCCTGCGATGGATGCACGGTCGATTTCGTCCCAATGCATTGGTACGACTCTGCCTCCAATGTTGAGGGATTCAAGACCCACGTCAACGACATGCGTGATGCGGCTGAGGGACGCAAGCTGTGGATCACTGAGTTTGGCGCATCGGGAAGCAACGAGGACCAGGAGAACTTCTTGCGTGAGGTTATCCCGTGGTTGGATTCTAACGATGCTGTAGAGAGGTATGCGTACTTCTACGCGGATGGGGCGTTGACGCAGAACAGTGTTGTGTCGGCGCTTGGCAACGTGTTCAAGACTTTTGTCTCTTAGATGGATGTTTCATTGTCGTTGTCGTCGCTGTGGATGCTTTATTCGACACTTCTTCACGACGCATCATGATTCACCTCGCGGATTTCACGCACCTTCACACTTGATACACCCTTTTTTCGATTCTACTTCAATTGTACATATTACTGTCGGCCTTGACGCGCTCTGACACACACCTTTGACTTTCTCTTCTTTACTTCACTTCACTTCTCACACTTCTACTTCGCACTTCTCTCACGACGACCGACCGACTTTACGATGATGGGTGGATGTGGTGTTTGTTCTTTTCTGTTCTGAGACTTTCGACAACGATGATGATGACGAGGAGGATTGTTGGATGGATGGATAAACACTGGATCTCGACCTATTATCAGGGATATACTTCGTCTGGTTATGGGAGGAGTAGGAGTAGAAGAAAGACTCAAAATAGGATAGGGGTGGGGCATAGCAAGGGGGCGAAAAAGGGGGGTGTTAGATGGATTGACGGATGGCGCTTTTTTACTTGTATGTGTATTTGAAAATGGGAAAATACATACGACCTTCATATGTCTATTTTTGTTTTTGTTGTGTGTGATATTTGTGATATTTTTATACATGTGCTGAGAAGAGGGGGTTCGGATTTGATTCCCGATCCCGCTGTCGCTCTAGATCCCCGAACCCCTTTTGAAGAATGGGATGTCACGTGCACCACCTCCTTGAAATATATCCGGTATCGCCCCATTCCAAATCTCACTTCCTCTCTCATCCAACACCCATCGCCCAATCCCCAATAACCTCATCCCATCGCCCCCTTTCCCAGAGTGCAATATCACGTGCACCGCGTCCTTCAAATACATCAACCATCGCCCCACTCCTCCTCTCATTCCTCCCTCATCTAACAACCTCCCATGGCCCCAAAAACCTCACCCCATCCTCTCCCACTCCGTCTGCCATCCCTCAATGTACTCCGCAGCTTTCTTCCTCCTCTCCTCAGCTATTCTCTTCGCCGCCCTCGGCGGGCCAGGGAATGCGAGGTTCTCGGTGATGGATGGGGGGGTGGCGAGGTATTTGTCGAGCATCAGGGAAGGGGTTTTCTGAGAGGCGCTGGGGTGGGTTAGAAATTAATTTTCATTGTGTGCGAGGAGGTAAGTTGGGGGGGGTCTTACTTGTTGCCGTTGCCGTTGGTGGTGGTGGTTGCTGAGGGGTCTGAGGCGGTGGACATGGTTGGAGTTTGGGTGTTTGGTGGGTTGTATATTGGTATTTGTCTCGGTCTGTTGGGTTCTCACTTGGTTTGTCGTTGTATCAAGATTAGAACTGCTGGTTTATTGTCCAGTCAATTATGGATTACAGCCGGGTTCTTATAATAATTCTCTACTGTCTACTTCAAGCACAATTCATCAAGAACAATTCATCGTGAGCGAACTTCCTCAAAACACACCCTTCAAAAGGCACAAAACTGATCGTTAACAAGGCGAAGTTTCCCCATAACACAAAATTGTCAAAATGGACTATTATCACATTTGTGCTTTTCAATCCTATTGGCTGGTTTTCGAGCATGGAATAAGAAATATGCCAGCCAGTAAGAGTCCAGAGCACAGTTGTGCTCTGCGTCCGCCTCAACACAGTCGGTGCCTGCACAGCCTTGTGCTTATATGTTGAACTTGGAAGTTCGACCTTCAGCTTTCTTCTTTTTGAGGGAAGGTTGAGGGTTTACGCCATGACGACTTGAACTATTTCCAAGGAGTGACCGATTTTTGGTATACTCACTACATGTCGCCGAGCACGCTCTCAGAGGCCTTGTAGCAGCTCAAGTTAAGCGCTGGCAAGGCTGGAGTTCGCTGGTAGCCAGCATTGAATAGCACGATGGACTCTGCTGCATTCCAAGACGTTTGTGACGATTCTATTGCTGGTGCTGACAAGTCGCGGAGTGATTTCACACGGACCCTTGGCATGTGGCCTGAGAAGCCACTCTCGACTTCTCCGAACTCGGACGTATTATCTCAAAGACTGCAAGCTGCGAACAGCCGACACTTGAGTGCCCCAACTTATCAACCTCTCCTAAACAAGTCTCCGTTCCAACTGGACGCCCCTCTCGCGTCGAAACCAAACTTCACAGGGTTTAGTTTTCAACAATATCAGCTAGAGCCAGAGCTAGAGCCAACACAGTTCGATACAGAATCTTTTCTTTATGATCAGGAATGGTCGGGGAAGCCTGAATTAAACTTCCCCAAGTCTAGATTTCTAGAGCAGAAGCTAGAACATAGTATACAGGGATCCAAATTAGAGGAGCGTCCCAAGCTGAGTTTGAATGAGGATATTGCTGTAACGGACGAGATAGTCGCTGAAGAGCCCCGTACGGATTCTGGATACGGATCTATATTCAAGACGAATATATCCAGGAACGATTCGCCCTTGCCCGATAAACCACAATGCACCGCTGATTATAAGTTCAACGTCAAAATGAGAGACGAAGACACAGAGGATGCCAAAACTTTATATTCGGCCGCGACTACGATTGATCTACCCAAGTCCCAGCAGTATATTTCCGAGCTATGCAGCGATATCTTCAGCAAACTTGAAAATCACTTCGACTCTACGAATTGGAACACTCTAGAAACAGCTCTTCCCTCACTCATCAAAGCATTTGCCATTAATATTGGCCATGATTCTTCGGGTCAAGTAAATCAAGATATAATGTACTTCATTCATAAGCAGCATAAGTAAGTCATTTTAACAAACACCCCATGCATGTAATATATACTAATTAGGCTCTACTAGAGGCATCATCTCGCAACTCAAAGTCATGTTCTGCGGTGAAAATGATGAGGCAGTTGATGAGGCAGTTGATGAGGCAGTTAATGAGGCAGTTAATGAGGCAGTTAATGAGGCAGTTAATGAGGCAGTCGCTGAAGGACCCTTTACAGATTCTGGATACGCATCTATACTCAAGACAAATATACCTGGGAACGATGCATACTTGCCTAGTAAACAACAATGGGCCGGCTCTAACAGCCGCCGAAGTGGTCCTAAAGGCATGTCTCTACAGGACAAGATGAGAATGTGGGATAAATCTAGCAAAATCGGCACTGTCTTTGGAAACGATGAGAGCTTCGTGCGGGTAGGGGGCGATGACGACGACGACGACGACGACGAAATCACTAACGGGGTCGACTTATCCGTGTATCATGGGATCGTTCTCAAAAGTCTATCGTATGAGTGGCTCCTTTCGAGTCTAAAAAAGGAGCGCTCTCTTCAGTGGGGCTCGAGGCAACCACGTATCATGGTTGAGAACATACGCCAAAAGATTTTGGACAAACTTCCAACCAGAACCATTAGCAAACGACGCCATCTTAATGCTTGTGAAGTTACATTTTGCCTTCAATGGGACGATACTACGGACAGAGGAAAAAGGTTGTTTTCGAAACTACTAACATCAGAAATATCGCTTTCTGAATTGATTACAGTGACTGGTTGTCAAGAGGAATCCCAAGCACTTACTGTCGAGCAGTATCTACGCCAGACGTGGCCTACGTACGGCATACATCTTCTCGATGTGCTCCAAAAAGCGATTACCTATTCCGATCATCGCCACTATGGTAAGTTATCGAGTTAAATACTTTCTTAGTGTAGCTGATACTAATTCTTAACTAGTTATCTTGCCAGACAATACTCAGCTTGATGCTAGAATCCGTAGGCGCCGTTTTATAATAACTACGATCGGGCCAGCTCACTTTATTGCAGAATGCGCCGAGCAACTTGCTTGGCTGCAGAGTGCTATTTATACTAACAGTCGAGATTTAGTTGGCTACTGCGCGCCATCAATCATAAATTATACCAGCACTAAACAGTTCAGGTACATATGTCACTGCGAGATTGGTATTAAATTTGCACCTCTAGCAAACCTAACCGATTCCATATCACGGAAACTGAGCTTGTGGCAACACCTTGTTGGTAAACGCAATGTTATCCAAGGATTTCCCATCTCCCGTCGACCAGAGGCATATCCAGGACTCGAGCTACCTTTCGGACTGCTCTTATCCCATCTCCAAACGGACAAAGCCATCATCGATGATGGGCTGGTCCTACTCAAGGGGCCAACACTAACGCTGCAATTGTTCAAGGACACTGATGGCGTCTTTCTTTGGCGACCATTCCACCTGGAGAATGGAATTTGCTCTTGCGGCGAGCAGCATATGGAAATCAGCTTTAATATGTCCTACAGCTCTTTTGACGTAAATCGTCTTGAGACTGGTCGCCATATCGTCAGTCCCTGCACAGATCTCTTGACGACGATCGCAGAAGGTGAGTGTTCTGAATATCTCTATACTAATATATATTCTGACCGTACGCAATCATAGATTCCGAGAAGTCAAGATTACCGGAAACCAAAGATGCCTCAAGAGATATAGGCCACGTAGGAAACACAGGTTATAATCTCAACGAAACCAACCCGAACGAGATTCTCTCTAGGTCGCCTAGTTCTCAAGATGAAGCGAAAATTTCTCAGTCACCAGCTAGCAGCCAAGTCGGTCATCCAGTTTCACAAAACGGTATACCCCCTTGCACAGAAGACCAGAATTGCCATTTACCTTTAAACCATCAAAACCTACTCGCGGTAAATTCTCCGTCCAACTCTACAATGCCGTCTCAGGATGAGTCGTTGGATTCGGACTTTCTTTCAATATCCGACTCCTCGGAACAATTTGAAATGCCTGAGAACAATGCAGAAGTAAATGCATTTATAGACAATGTGGTTAATAAGCTTCTCTCAGGATTCAGAAGCACAACCCAATGCCAGTTTTCTCAGGGCGCAAGTGGGGATAGCGGACAATGTACAACACAGGCAGCAACACGCGGATCTTCCACTTCTCCAACAAACTCAGGACAACCCCTAAAGAGGCGCCGTGCAGCCAACGATGATGATGACGCCGACCATGACGACTCCCGCAAACCCCTACACAAGAAACCCAACCAAAGCCCCGACAAGGAGCAGCCCCAGCCATTATTCGCCTGCCCCTTCCTAAAAAGGGACCCCGCCAAACACGGCAACTGCTGCACCAAGACACTCAAGCGGATCCGCGACGTGAAGCAACACCTCACACGGCGCCACGCCCCCGAGATATATTGCCAGAATTGTCTTAGGATCGACTTCTGCAATGAAGCGGCGCTGAATGATCATATCGATCTTAAATCGTGTCTTCGCGATGACCCTGCGGCTGTCAAGGGTATTTCACCGGGACAGCGGGCCCAGCTGAAGCGCAAATCGGATCATAATATTACTGAGGAGAATCAGTGGTTCGTAATTTGGGAGATCCTGTTCCCGAAGCAAGCACGGCCGAGGTCGGCGTATATGGATACGGGGCTGTCTATGGAATTGCTCATGTTCCGTGATTACTGTGATACTCATGGGCCATCTACTATTGATGAAGAATATCTGTCTAATCCCATCTGGTCACCAGAAAGCACTCTAGAGCAGCGCCACGCCCTCCTCCAAATGGTAATTTCTCAGGGGTCGAACAGGCAGTTTGAGGATTATAGTCGTCGCTCGACTCACTCCTTGGAACCATTAAGGAGCCGAAATTCGGGACATCATGGCAATGGCAGGCAGCACGCACAACCCGCGGCTCCTCTGAGCTCGATTGCGGATAGTGGGATTGCGGTTAATAGCCAATCTTCTTCACCTCCAAACGTCAGCCCCCGAAGTCACGCTCCGAGTCAACCTCCTCCTCCGAGTCAACTTCCTGCTTCGAGTCAACCTCCTGCTTCGAGTCAACTTTCTGCTCCGAGTCAACTTTCTGTTCCAAGCCAACTTCCTTATCCGAGTCAACTTTCTGCTCCGAGTCAACCTCCTGCGTCGAGTCAACTTCCTTCTCCGAGTCAACCTCCTGTTCCGAGTCAACCTCCTGCTCCGAGTCAACTTTATACTCCGGGTCAACTTCCTGCTCCGAGTCAACCTCCTGCTCCGAGTCAACTTTATACTCCGGGTCAACCTCCTGTTGTATTCAGTAATGGAAGGCCTAGTGACTGGGTACCGCCGTATGGTGAGATGCGCCTGAGTGATGAGATGTTCTGGGATGATGAGATGCGCCTAGGTGATGAGATACTCATGGATGATGCGATGCCCCTGCAGGATGAGATGCCACAAGAACTTATATACAACCCACAAGATTTCCCCAATGAGTTCTTAGATATGAACGATTTTGACAGTTCTAAAGCAGACATAGACTTCTCCGACTGGCCCCAATAGGGGGAAAATAATACCATTCTCAACTTCCTCTATTCAATGCATATTATCACGTATACCACCCACCCGCTTTAATTGAAACAGACACCACCAACTCCAACCTCCTCATCGCCAGCTTCCAAACCTCGTCGCGGCCCCCCTCTCAAGCTCGCCACGTGCTCTACTCTCGCAGGTTCTTCGGACTCGTCGCCTGCTCGGCGATGGCGCAGTGAACACATCGCTTGCACACTGCGCTCATCGCCGTACTTATGCCATGCCATCGCCATCTCAGCGATCTCGTCGCCGTGTACATATCACCAGCACCATCAACATCAGCGAGCGATGTTTGATAAATAAGTGCTAAAAATACCACGGTCGCAGACGGTTAAGAAGGGTCGCGAGGCAGCTGATTGGCGGGCGAGTACGAGTGATCGAAGGCGATTGGCGGGCGAGTACGAGCGAATACGGTGGAAAATTGTACTAGCGGGCGATTGGCGGGCGATGAGGCGGATCCACTCGGGTGCCGCGACCGTTAGAACTGTACTAACCGTCTGTACTGCTATTTGCTCGCTGCATCACGTGATTGATTGATTGATTGAACTCGAGGAATGGCCGAGTGGTCTAAACCAGAAGCTTGGGTCACGTGATATACAATATTTTGGAATAGGGTGAAGGAAGGACGGCGATCAGTTGGGAGGTTGCAGGAGATAGGGATCTGACGGATCTTTCATTCGTCACAGCGCCTGAAGTCAGGTCAGGTCAACTCAGTGTCTGAGGAGAGTTGGGATGAAAGGGGTGGTGGTATAGCATTGTGTGAAATGTGAATACCGATCGGGCACGCAGATATGTACTCGTCAGCACTACTCCCCTACAGGAAACTACTTGCGTAGTCCATCTACAACACACAGCCTTACCTCATCGCACCTCCTTCCTGCCAACTCCACACGCATCTTCACGAAAACTACTACGATTTTGTATGCAAGAATAGACAATGCCTACGCGTCCCCTCCACTTCCCTTCTTACCCACTGCAGTCTGGTATGCACGATATTTAGCCCAGCGCATACAGACTGACTGCTGCAGTGGGTGTGCATACCAGACGTACGTACTCGAGTGGGCAGTAGGTATAGCGCATAGTTGCAGCTGAAGCGGCTGTACTGCTGTATACGAGCCAGCGAGCGGTGCAGAGAGCAGGTTTCGCATTAGCCGCTGGGCTGATGCGGTCTGCGGTCTATGGTCTCCGGTCTGCGGTCCGATGGAGGAGGCGAGGGAAAGGGGGGCAAGAGAGTGGATGAAAGGGGCGCGGTGGTGGTGCGGTGGAAGCGTGAGACGTGGTAGAGTGTGATGTGAGACTGGGTTTTTGATGCTTATGCGCCGCGGGTTCGGTCGTTCGGTCGGTCGTGTTTTACTGGATTTGGGTTGGGCCGGGGGGGGGTGGACGGGAAATGCCGTTTATGGGTTAAATAAGGAGGTGGTGGGTGCATATGGGACAGTCGTCTGTTCTATGCGGTGTTTATGCACGGGGGGGGGGAGGAGTTGTGTCAGGTTTGGTGGTTTTATGCAGGTTGGGTGGATGGGATAGGGGATATATGCCGTTAGAGTGATAGACAGTGATAGTCGGACACTGATAGACGGACACTGATAGACGGACACTGATAGACGGATAGACGGATTGACGGATAGGCGGTGGGTTTACCACGGAGGATAGACGGTGATAGACGGACAGTCGTCGGACTATGAGGGAGAAGGAGAAAGGGGAGAAAAGAGAGTCTGTGGGATATTCGGCCTGACAATCGAATTACCGACCATACGGACACGGAGAGTAGTCCGTACGCATCAACAATATTTTAGCATCTTTTTAGCATTGAGCCGTCAGGGTTACAGTCCTTTCGCTGGATCAGATTAGGGAGTTAGGAGTATTTTACTACTGATAGTACGTACCCCTTACTAGAATCTTATCGTCGTAGTGCAATGTTTTGCCACGCGGCCTTTTCAACACGCACAACCGCCCGTTGGAGTTGGGATGAGGGATGTGAAGCGAGTGGTTGCGATTGGCTGGGTCGGAAGGGTTTTCTTACTCATCCACTTGTTTGCCTGAGACCTGAGGATGGAAGGGGAATGGCATAGGGCGGTGCAGGCGGTGCAGGTTATTTTGGTAGACAGTAATCGGAGATAACGCTTAGGGTACTTGTCTGTCATGTATCGCCGATTGGTCTGGGGCTGTGGATTTAGCCAGTCTGCACACTCTACACACACAAAACCAACACCAAATAGACCACTGCCGTTGAGAGAGATACTTCTATACGATGTCACTCCTTCTATCAACACCCACCCTTGTCGGACCATTTTAATCTCCGACTCTACCATTTATATCTGCCCCTTCTCTCCACTTTGTACCTCGCCACTCTAAAACAGCCCTACCGCTACTTCCCCGTAACCTTCGTAACCTTCCCTAACAAAGATCGTGCTTGATGGCTGACGCGGCCTTTCACTTCCCTTCACATCCCCCAGGCACAAATCACCATCTTCCACCCAATTACACCCATAATCCCTCCCCTACACCCATAATCCCAACCCTTATACCACCCAATGACAATCCCCAGCGCCTGAATCCTCACCTGCTGCGCATTCAGGCTGCCATTGTCCAAAACCATCCTCCATCCCACACCCCTTCAAACTTCCATTGCTTGTGTTCCATTCTCCTCCCTTTCATCGAAAACTATCTCCAAACATTCAACTATCACCGAGTAAAACATCTCACGATCTTGATTTTCACTCGAAACATTCAAACACCACAACAGAAGAACCAACCCATTTCACGCCGTTGCATGCTCCCACCACCGCATCCGGGACTGCACACTCACGCCAATCCGCTCCTGAGCACCCTCAACCACGCCTGAACAAACGGGCAACACTCATCCACACATCAGACGCAATGTCGTCCCAATCATCACAAAACGCCATGTCCCGCAGCGCCTCCCAGGCCAACTGCCTCGACCCTCTCGACTCCCTCCTCGACCTCTCCTCCTACGAGACCATGACCTACGGCTCTCCCTCCATCTCCCCCTCCGAGTCCAGCAAGTCCGTCTCCTTCCGCCCAACCGCCTCAACACCCACCGCAAACACCCTCCTCCCGCCGCGTCAACAGTCGCACGCTCCTCCTAGCCACCCCTACGATGCTCACAAGCAGCAGACTGGCATCCCAACGGGCGGTCTCGCGACCACCCTCGCCATCAACAACAATTCCCAGATGTACGCCGGTTACGGCTACCTCTCCGGCGTCGACAACTCCGATGACTTCAGCGACATGGGTTTCAATGCCGGAAGCGCCTCAGGGTCCGGCAGCTTCGACAACTTAGGCATGGACATCGACTACGACTCCCCCACCGTCGACCCAGCCTTCTTCTTCCCCCCCCTCCCCAGCGCCGCCGACTACGCCAGCCAGACGCAGACGCCTGTTCCCGCAACCGCCGTCAAGGTTGAGGCCAGCAACGTCGGGCGTCTCTGGCCGGGCATGCATCAGCAGCAGGCTGCGATGGCGAAGGCTGAGCAGCAGCGCAAGCAGCAGCAGATGCTGATCGCGCAGCAGCAACGACACAGCGCTGTGCCGACGCAGGCGGCGAAGGCGAGGGCGAGGCCGGCGACGGATCCGATTGTTGAGGAGAAGATCTCGCAGCTGCTTAACTCGATGAGGCAGAATAGCGAGGCGACGAGTAATGGGGATGAGGATGTTGCGGAGGGCCATGGGCATGGCGGGCGCTCGAGGAAGGATGAGGAGGATATGGATGAGGATGAGAGGTTGTTGGCCAGTGAGGAGGGGAAGAAGTTGAGTAGTAAGGAGAGGAGGCAGTTGAGGAATAAAGTTTCCGCGCGCGCGTTCCGCTCGAGGAGGAAGGGTATGTTCATGATCCCCCATGTCCTCTATTTTTGACCACCACTAACATACGAACAGAATACATCGGCCAACTCGAAGGCGAGATCGCCACCCGCGTCAACGAGAACACCGACCTCCGCAACCAGAACCGCGAGCTCCTCTCCGAAAACAAGCGTCTCGCAGACCTAACCCGCATGCTCCTCTCCTCCCCCTCCTTCTCCGGCTTCCTCGACACCCTCAGCACGAACCCCAACCCTGTCGAGCGTCAACAGCAGGCTACTCCTCCTGTTGTCGAGCAGCAGCAGCAGCAACAGGCGCCAAAGGACCCAAACCCGTACGCGCAGCAGCAGCAGCAGAATCTGGATATGAATATCAACTACGCTATGATTCCTGATGCGGCGCCGTTGGATTTCAACCTTTTGGATCTGAATACGCATGATTTCATTTATCAGCCGCAGGTGTTCAGTGTGCACAGTGTTGAGGAGGTGAGGTTCGATGCTTCTGTCCTCTCTGGCAAGCCTTCGAGTACCTTCGAGGCGGAGGAGGATAAGCTTGAGCTCCCTCTCTTCTCGGCACCCGCACTACCGGAACCGGTCGCTGCTAAGTCGATAGAGACTGTTGAGGAGGCGGATGAGGAGTTTGATTCCGATCCGATGTTCTCCCTCTTCGCTCCCTCGTCGTCGTCAGCTGCTTCCGCACCGCTACCACTTGATACTGCGGCACTGATCGCGGCGATCCAGCCGGCGAAGGAGATGTTGAGGTTTGAGCTTGTGGATTGGGAGGAGAGCGAGAGGAGGTTCTTAAGGGTGCAGAGGTTGGGGGCGGGGATTGAGGCTGTTGTCGCTAGGTTGGAGGGGTTGGGTCTTGAGTAAGCGGTGGGATGAGATGTGTGGTGGAATTGGTTTTGCGGTTTTAGCGGTCATGGGAATCTTTTTTTTGGTAGGATATGGCGGGGGTTTGGGAATACTTGTAGTTAACTGTCGTTTTGGTCTTCACTCACTGAAATGTGTGTTGTGTGGTCTTTTTCTCTCTTATGTTCTGGGGAGGTGGAGGGCGAGGTATAGAGATAATAAAAGACGAAAATGAAAATAAATGAACCGAAGTGAACTTGATCAAATTATATTTTAGTGACTATGACGTGAAAAATTACAATTTGGATTATAAAATGCATATCTCCCCCTTCCCTTCCTAATCTCTCAAAACGTATATAAACAATTTAGATTTCCCTTCATTAAAAAAAAAAAAAAAAGTCCCTCAAATCATTCCTAACCTTCACAGCGCCTCTTCTTCCGGCAGGGCGCGCCAGGCACTCAGGAGTGCCTCGGCGTCTACAGAAACTGTCAGCCTTCCCCCCTCACCATAGAGTCTCACGCCCCCTACTCACCTTCACAGCGCTGCTTCCTTCGCCAGCGCTTTCCAGGCTGTCAGGAACGCCTCCGCATCTATAGAGACTGTTAGCCCCCATCCATCCCTCAGTCCCCCTCCCCCCTTCCCTCCAAAGACAGTCCCCCCAACCCCCCCAAGCCCCCCAAAAAAAAGGGAAAAGCCACTCACCAGTCTCCTCACAAAACCCCAAAACCACCTCCCCCCCCCTCCCTCTCCTCCCCTCATACTCATTCTCATAAACATTCATATCCAATTTCTTCAGTAACACTTTCCGGCCATGTCGTTTGATGTTCGAGGCGTCCAGCGAGGAGGCGGGGATGAAGGCTGTCCAGAGGGGGGAGCGCTTTAGGGGGCCGCTGGGGTGGGTGGCGGAGAGGCGGGGGGAGGAGGTTAGTTTGTCGTGGTAGAGGGTTAGGATTTGGGGGGTTGTGGGGGTGGTTATGCGGCTGGGGGGGTTTGTTAGTAGATGTTTGGCTTGATGGTTAGTAGTGTGGGTGGGGGAGAGAGAGGGGAGAGAGAGGTGGAGGGTGATGTGAGGTGGGGAAAGGGGGAGGGGGGGAGGAAGGGGAAGGAAAGGGAAAGGGGGAATGGGGGAAAGGAGAAGGAAAGGTCGTACCCGCGGAATAATTTTCGTTCTTCTCCCAGCATCAGTTCTTCGGGGTCGCACATTACGGTGCGTGGACAGTGCTGTTTGAGCACCGCGAAGACGTCGTGGAAGAGGACCATTTCTGCCCATCCATCAGCACCACATCACCCAGCAAACGCAACGGGGACGGGCAAAACTTACTCTCCCACCCCTTAAAATAAAGCACCAACCACTCCTCCGGCTTCCCCCTCTCCGCCGACCACCGTTCAAGCTTCAACGCACATCCCTTCCTTTTTATGCGTAGCTCGTGGAGACCGCGCGATGCGTAAGCCGGGGAACCGTCGCGAGCGGTCCAGCGACAGAGGAGCCGGGCGGCGGTGGGGGGGGAGGGGGGGAGGTAGAGGACTACTGAGAGGGTGTTTTGGTTGAATTTGCTGGGAGGGGGGTTAGCTTGGGGTCTGTAAAAGGGGAGGGGGGAAAGGGGGTGGAGGAAAGGGAAAGGGGGAGGAGAGGGTGAGGGGTGAAGGGGGGTGGGGGTACAGTTTGAACAGCACCGTCGAGCCGGGAGGGATTTCGAGGGCGGCGTCGGGCATGGAGGGGGCGTAGCAGCATGATCTAGGATGGATGGTTAGCAGGATGTTGGCTGCCTGAGGGTAAGGGAGTTCATACACAACTTGATGCCTCATCCTCGTCATCGCGTGCTTACGATCAAAAATCTGCTGAGCCCAGTGAATTCGCTGGATCCGTCAGTTATGAGTCATGGCAAACTAGAACGGGGTGAGATACTCACGCCTGGTTGTTGGATCCGGACTTGGGAGGATAGGGGTAGGAGGGGGAGGATTCGCGGAGCTGGATAGGGGTTAGTTAACACACAGCTTCGGCTCCAACGACAAGGGGGCATACCTTCAATCCCACGAGCAGCTCTCAACCGCAACGTCTTCTCAATAAGAGATTTCAAGACCGTAGCTTCATACATCGAAGGCCTATCCATAGTCAGCACTTCATCCCCCACCCCCACCCCACCCCCGCATCCTCGGATCCAAAAACCCACCTACTCAACAACCTCACCAACTGCACCATATACCCATTATACATAATAAACCTCGTATACAAACTCCCCCCCCCTTCCCTCTCCATCCTCTCCACAATCCCCCCCCACACCTGCCTCAAACTCCCCTTCGCCCCCAGCAAATACCTGATATCCTCCACACTCCTCTCAAAGCAGGGCGCCAGGATGCCAAGGAAGCCGCGCACGAGGGAGACGCGGTCGCGGTAGATTCTCAAAAGATCGGAGAGGTCGCGGAGGAGAGAGCCGGAGTGAAGGACTTCGCTGATTACGTTGGTTATGTCGGCGTGAGAGCTGGAGGTGAGGGAGAGACGGATACGGGTTAGGGCGGAGGCGATGTCGTCGGCGCGTTTGGCGAGCCACCAGCATTCTACTGTTTCGGCCATGGTGGGGAGGTGGCTACATGTGCCTGTTGCTGTGATGGTAGATGGGCGAGTCTGTTGTCGTCGCCGGTGCTGAGGTGACGACGGCGATGGGTCTTGAAGTGAGAGTTTGAAACGGCGGTGGCGGCGGCGGGATGAGATGGAGATGGTCAGAGTCCGAATCTGACAGAGAAGACCGAGAGCGTCTGACGTGTCTCTATAGATGGGATCGAGACCCTTATCCAAACCAAACGGGTGCAGAGTGCAGGTCTCTTCCGTTGCCAATGCGTGAGCGTGGGAGGTGTGTATTATCCGTCTCCGTGATTTGGCAGTGGGCGAGTCAGTTCCGATTGCGTACTCGCTCAGAGCAATCTATCCGGATTCGACATCGCCATCATCTTGCCTATCAGTCTTCTAGACGGTGTATGGACTGGTCTAGAGACCGAGGATGGGGAGTATAGGTATCTATCTCCACGTCGACTGGTGTAGAGACCGAGGAGGGGGGTGAGAGAGAAGTAGGTATCTTTAACCACGTCTCCTCGCAGCGGTATGCAGACCTATTATCCTCCCGTGACGTCCTCAAGTATCAAAGCAACCCAAAAAGACCAAAAAACGTAAACGAAAGTACGACCGAAGATCCAACTCTCCCAACCACAGTCCTGTGATAGCAATGCGAGCCCAATCTGAAAACCAGACGCGGGCGAGTAGACGAGCAAGTAGACACCAAGAAAAGTAGCACGCTATATGTTGAGAGTGATATGCAAGACGTTGAGCAAGAGAGAGGGAGATAAACCCAAGAGAAGCAAATAAAAACCCCACAGCGCGGGCGAACCACTTACCTCACCTCACCTCCCCCCCCCCCCACGACCCCATACTCTCTTGCCCCATCCATCCCATCCGGTCCAGTTCAGTGCAGCACAACCCAGCACATCATCCTCCGCCAACTCACCTGCAAAACATCCCCCCCTTCCCCGCGTACCCCGCCAGCCCAGCATCACTATACAACTGTCCGCCCACCCGTCCACTACAGTGAAGCAGTTCTCAGTGGGTGCAGTTCTGTATGGCACTATCAACCGATGCGAGCGGTGGGTGGGTGTCGCGCTATGTTTATGCATCATTGCGTGGCCGTTCGAGAGCGCTCAACGGGTCGACAGGGGTTGGTGGGTGATTGGATGCTTGGGACGGGCAGGACCACCAGGATCATCACCCCATAGGAGATCGTAAGGCTGGTTGGGGGAGGATGATTTGCTGGGTTCTGGACTTGGGAGGAGTTATTTTGAGATGGGGAGGGATTGGATGGAGGAGGGGTTTGGGGATGTGTGGGGGAGGGACGGCGATAGGATGGATGGGGGGAGGTTATGTAGACGTCGTATCTGTGTTGAGGTTCTCAGTTTCCTCGCTTGAAGGCATGCACAGCCACATGGCCATTCATCGTCGTTCGTTCGTTCGTGATCCGAAACTCCCTTCCTTCGGTGGCACACCACTCGTCCTCCTATCTCTCTCCCTCACACGCAGCAGCTGAAAGGGTGTATGCTTGACGATGGATGATAGGAGGAAATCTGTGTCTCCAGGTCATTGGTTGGAGAGATATTATCAGACGGGGAAGGGCAGGCAGTTAGCTTCAGGACGAAACGTGACTCCGAGACATCATGGGGATTTAGGTATAAGAACAAGGGTTTGTACTACTGAATGTCGTTTGGGAAGGTGATCGTGCAAGATGATGATGGTGGTGTGCGGTTCCTGCATACGTGGTGGAGGGAGGGAGGATGGGAGTTCGTTCTAGGCCATCAATGCATCACGGGAGATGGTCACCATATATCAGATCACATCACCATCATCACCATCACCATCACAGCATACACAAAAAATCATGGCAAGCAACGACGTTTTAGTATCCCCCCTCCTCCCCTCCGACAAAGCCCTCCCTCCTGATTATGTCGAAAAAAAAGACCCCAACTAAAACCCATCCGAAGCAACACAAAAAAAACATAGCAAAATCCGCACACTTTCCTCCCATGGCCAAGCTTCCCCCAGTCCCATCACGAAGAGTTTCAAAAAAACATGGTTAAAAAAAAGCACAGTTACGATAAAAGAGTAGCAAGTAGTAGTAGTAGCATAATTGCAGCCCGCCCCAAGCCCCCGAGCCCAACCACCGCAATTTCAACACCTGCCCCAGCCAGCCCCGAGCCCAAAGCAATAAAAAACCGGCAAGAAGAGAGAGCAACGACGAGACGACGAGGTCCCCGCACACGATGAAAAAAAGCGGCGCACGCGTCACCCAACGAGTCACACTTCGATTTCATGCACCCAGCGAGCAAGTTTTTTTTCGATTTGCCCAGCCGAGTCCGAGTGAGAGAGAGGAGTGAGTGGCGATGGTGATGACAAACACGCCCTTCCGATTCCAGCGCGAGGAGCAGTCGTGTCGAGAGAGCCCATTCTTTACTTAGCCCGACTCTTCCTCGGCATCAGCCTGCACGACGCGTCAATCAGTGCGGCTGGGACGTTTGCGGACGCCGACCGGCTTCTCGGCACTTACATTGTAGGAAGCCTTCTCGTCCTCGTAGCGCTTCTTGTCCTCCTGTGCCTTGGTCTCATAAGGGGTGCGCTGCTTGTCGTTGAGGGCCTTCCAGCGCTCGCCGAGGACTTTGCCGACTTGGCCTGGGGGGTTGTGTTAGTATATGTTTTTTTCGCGATTGATTGACAATGAGTGGAGGGAGGGTTCATACCGAAAGAGATTCCGGGATTCTCCTCGCGCACGTTGTCGCGCTGCTCCTGGGCGAAGAACATGTAGGCGGAGAGACCACGCTTGGGCGCGTTTGGGTCTGGTCCAGAGTCAGTATGGACGCGTCAAAGACCCTCAAAAAGGGTCAGGAAGGGGAAGTTTCTACGCACCCTTCTTCTTCTTCTCGCCTCTGGGCTTGGTGGCGCGCTTGGTCTTGGTCTCCTTAGGCATGGTGGTGGTAAGGTGTGAGGTGGTTCTGGAAGAATGTGTCAATTGAGGTTCTGCCAATGTTTGTCGCGATTGAACACGAAGAGAGAAAGAGCCTTTGTGATTCCGTGTCGCGCGATGACGAGGTGGCTGGTGTTGTTGGTGGAGTTGTGGGATTTTGCACTGGGGCGCGACGGAATGTGATAACTTTTGTGTGGGTGAAATCGCGTGGTGGTTAAGGTGAAGTCGTGGTTGTCGGGCGAAGGTGCAGAATCGACGCGACGGGAAAGCGCAAAGGTGTGTTGAATGAAAGAATGACGATTGATGAGGAACTTACGATGATTGATTGAAGGGTTTTTCGGAAAGTTGGCTGTTGTGAGGGTGTTCGAATTGAACTGTGAGGAAGCAGTCGCGTCAGTGCGAGATCAGATGCGTGGTAGTAAGGTTGGAGGTGGGTGAGAGTTGTGAGAGTTTGTGTGAAGGGCGACGACGAGGAGGGAAAACAACGAGGAGAAATGGGCAGAGATGCGGATGAAACGAGAACAAGTATAGAGATTTAAAAGCGATGAACGCGACTCTTTTAATTGTATTCTCTGGGTATAAGGAGGAAGGGTTGAGGATATTGGTGTAAACGTACCTGTTGGATATGAGTGACCTTTATTTGTATGGGCGTAGTATGGTAGATTGTGAGAGAGAGTTATGAGGCAGAGTTGTGTGTAGAGAGAGAGGTGTAGGAGAGGTAGGCGGGTGGGAGGTGGGCGTAATCTAGTATGTGAGGGAAGGTGGGAGGTGGGCGAGAGGTGGGCGAGAGGTGGGTGGGTGATGGGAGGTGGGCGTGGGCAAGTTGTATGGGAGAAATGTGCGTGTGTGGTATGTATGGTGCGGGCGGGGTGGGAGTGGGAGAGGAGAGGAGTAGGAGCAAGTAGGCGTAGTAGGAGTACTGTAGTGTGTAGTGTGTACTGTGTGTGTATTGGTGTGTGGGTGTGGGTGTCTTGTACTGTATCCCACCTATCTCCAGTATGCACTGTGATTGATTGTGGTGTGTGTACTTGTGGGTGTCTGTACTGTATCCCACCAACCTAGCAGTACACACACCATAATGCGCGTATTGTATGTATGGTTTGTATGTACTGTGCTGCGTGCACGAGAAGTACATATGGGCAGTCCCGGACAGTCTACTCTACTGTGAGTACAAGAAGAAGGAGGCTGTCCGGGACTGTCCACAGTACTGCAACTGCGCACCTCCCATATGTAAGCAGAGCAGTAGCAACAGAGTTAGAAGTACTGCTCCTACTGGCTAGGTGCTGCCGGTACTTTTGGCTGATAACACCAGGTACCTCACATCTGGTACTGCGGTACGGCCATTTACGTGGTACCGCTGGTGGTACTACTGGTAGAGTACTCTAATGCTTGGTACTGGGCTAATCTACTAGCTACTAGCTACTAGGTAGAGTAGAGTAGTAGAGTGAAATGCTGCTCGACCTTGTTCACCTTGCTCGACCTTGTTGCTATAGTACGATATAGTACGATAGTAGGTGGTAGTACTCTACTCCCACTCATCCCACTCTGCCTTAGTAGCAGTAAATGCACCACATAAAGCACCTCAAAGCACATCTCCCAATCCACGCTAAGCTGCATCCAGCCAGCACCTCTCCTGCCGACTGGTGCCGAAGTGCCATCATCTGCCTGCTCTCTCTACAGTACGCCTTCTACGCCCTCTGCGCCTTTTCCCCCCTCCCCTCACATTTTGGCCCATCACTCACCCATACCCATACCCATACCCATACCCATACCCATACACCCATACACCCATACACCCAAACACACACACACCACACTCAAACCGGGAAAGAAGAGACGCCAATCGATCCACCCAATCACCGTGCTTAGCCGTTGCTTGTACCAGTGACTTCACTTCCCTCACTTCAGACCAGAGGAACGTAACCGAGTATGGAGGGGTGGAGGTACGGGGGGTACATGGGGGGGATAATCATAACAAGGGCGGCCTCATAACGAAGAGAGTGGGAGGGAGTGCTGATACTGCTGATACTGCTCATACTGCTCATACTACTCATGCTGCTCATGGCACTCGCCCACCTACCATCACCACCCACCCATACACCCACACACATCCACACACACTTGCACCTTCTAATCACCCACCACCCACTTTCTCTGTGTTCATATACCACTCAGTACTGCGCTACAACGCACCTCCTACCGCACTGTGTCCACCCACCACCTACAGCTGAGAGACACGCATAGGACACGCATATCAACCGCTCATGTATGTACAGGGCGCGGAGAAACACGCATATAACAAACTGAAGCAGAGATACTATCGTACAGTCCCAGTTGCTGCTCCATTCAGTTCGCTTCCTCACCTAACATTCCCCGCTTCTTTCCTCACATTTGATCTCCCACAGAGGGACAGAGGGGGGTCAACATTTTCTTCCATCCTGTGCCATACCGTGCCATCCTCTACCATACCGTGCCATCCTCTACCATACGACTCCACCCACTGCTGCAACTACGCACGACATCATACAGTATGTACGGAGTATGTATGTACCGTACCATACTTACAGGTGTGCGTGTGTGTATGTATGTACGCATGTACACATATGATTGCGCCTAGCCTGTCTGTCTGTGTGTGAGAAATAGCCTCTCTCCTCTCTTCCCCCTCCCATGTCGCGAAAGAGAGAGAGACAGGCATCATTTTCCCCAACCCAAGTACGAAATACGAACAACGGTGGTACACCAGCATAGTATGTACACACGCACCAAAAGTGCAAGTACCATACCATACACACCCACATACACCCCATACAAAAATACACCCACCTAGCAACTTCGACGGATCAACCACATCCCGCCCGCCCTACAATTTTCTGGACTACGTACGGATCCATACCTACCAGGCCATACCATACCATACCATACATCCTGTACCATGCCACTTTTATGATGCCCCATGCCTGGTGGTGGCCCATGTTGCGCTTGCTTGCTTTGCCCACGCAGGAAGGAGGTCAAAATCCACCACACGCGCTCGCCCCCCACCCCATAGCCATGTCCATCTCAGACAGACAGACAGACAAACAGGCAAGAAAGAGAGGAGGCGGGGACTGTGCAGCAGCAGCGTAGCTCTCCTCTCCAAATAAACCACCTAGCACCTACCACCCACCGTACTATGGTGTGTACTTACTAGCAAGCAAGCAAGCAAGTTCCAGCCCCGTTTCCTCACTCCCTGCTCATCTCTCTGCTCACTTCTCACTCACCCCCTTCTAATCACCCCCCCCTCATCTGGGCTGGTGGGCTAGGAAAGCAAGGTAGGTAGGTACAGTACAAGACGCGGCGGGACGCACGAAGAGGGAAGTAGAACTCCGCTCTCTCAGTCACTTGTTTTCATTGAGCAGGTAGGGAGGCACCGCCCATTTACTTGCTCTAGTTAAAAAAACGGCAGGCCAGCCAGAACATTTCAGATAGATCAGATAGACGGAAAGAGAGAGGCAGGAGGCAGGGCGTGGGTGCACACAACCCACAACCGACCATACAAATGACCACAGCCCACCCATACACCCACCATACCAAACCCGCGCAGTGTAAACTCCGCTCCGGACCCCGTCCTCCGTCCTCCGCTCTCCCCCCCCCAACTCTCTCTCCGCTCTCCTCAAACCACCGTACAGCCACTCCCCCCATCCCCATCCCCGCCTCTCTCTCTCTCTGGCGGGATTATGGTAAACGCACGCACAGATGGATGACCGCATCGCCCGCAAGCCACAAAAATACGCCTCTTACCAAGCAAGCAAGTACTGGTGAGAGGCGCTGATACTCCCCTGCCCTTCCCCTCCCAGTCCAGAACCTCCTCCTCCTCTATTTACCCTCTCCTCCCCTTCCACTCCGTCCAAGTAAGCAGTAGACTAATTGGCTGGCTGGCTGGCTGACTCCTTGACGCCTTGACTTTTTGCTAGGGGCCTGGCTGGGAGTACTACTGTAACTTGCTTAACTTGCTTTACCCACGCAGGCGCTAATGGCTGTGTTACCATCATCGGGTCGTGGGTCTGTTGGACGGCGCGGGCCTGAGTGGCAGTTATGATGTGACGGGGGACCGAGGCTTGGTGTCACGTGATGTGATGTGGATGGGTCACGTGGGGTGTCGTCATAGAGGTGTGGGAAGTTGGAGTTGGACGTTGGATGTTGGAGGCGGAGGTTGGGGGGGGGGTGATGTTGGGGATTTGTTGGATGGCTGCTGGTATTGATATATCATCTAGGTTATCAAGCAGAGTCGATGGGTAAGTAAGGAAGTAGGTCACAGTGATACACAGACAGGACAGGCGTCACGGTTGGGATAGATAGACAGGGCTCATCAATACCATCAATACCATCAATCCATCCATTCATCCATCATCATCAGATTCAGATTTAACTTGAAATTCGGATATAACTCATCGCTTTAACCCATTATTCCCATCCCATCCCAAACTCCCCCATCCCATCACATCCCTTCTAGCAGCCTAGAAATCCCTCTCCCGGCCAGCAGCGAGACAGTATCCCCATCCCATCCATCCATATCGTATCATCATTTCATTCCCGTCATCATCATCATCCCCGCAGACCCGGCGCATCCATCACCACCAGTCTCCCTGCTCGCCGGCCAGTCTGCTCGTCGGCCTATCGGTCTCCTCGCTGGCTCGCTCCGCTCGCTCTACTGCGCATTACCGCTGTTCACGGAGATGATGGCGTCTTCCTCGATCAGAGCGACGTATTCGGTGCCCATGGCTTGGACGGTCTCGAGGGCTTTGACGGAGGCTTTCGCTGCGAATCCTCTGTTGCTGTAGTCAGTAACATGCACTATAACCATCCACCACCCATCGTCCATCCGTTCATCGTCCATCCACTGCCCCTCATCCCTCTCTCCATCCACCCCTCCATCCCACCTTCATCCATCAAATCCGCTCGGGAGGACCGGGAAAGATCGAGGAGTCACATAAACCAGCCGGGAGAGGGTTCTTTCTACTCACTTGAAAATCTTATACTCGTGCGTTATCATGCCTCCCGCCGCGCGGATCTCATCCATAGCCGCTTCGAGGACGCTGTAGGGCGTGTTATCGGGGTATGAGACGATGACTTGGCGCTGGGGTTGGGTGGCGGCGGAGGCGAGTGCGAGGAAGGTGAGGATGGGGAGGAGGGAGAGCTTCATTTTGGTAGTTGTGGTGGGTTGAGTGAGGGTGTTGTAGTGTTGTGGTAGGATTTTTCTTTATTTCGTTGGTATGTATGTATGTTGGGTCTAAGATTTTCGTGGTTGGAGGTTAAACGTTATATGGGGGATTTTGTGGTGGCGTGTGTGTGTACGGTTTATGGGATGCCTGGGGATGCATGTGACGTTTTTGGTATCAATAAGTACCTTCCCGACGTGGACGACTGCTTGGTGTTTTGGCGGGCTAATTCCAAATGTTGAGTTGATCAACGTTCGGAGGGATAGTAGCTAGTGGGAATGATTTCTATGTTTATTATACTGCGAGGGGAACGATAGATAGAAGTTATAAAAAGATGGAGGTAGAATTGATATGTTCGCGTGATATGCCGGCTGTCAGCCGTGGAGTATCAGAAAGTGGTGATTGAGGAATGGATTATTAAGTTCACACTAGCGGTGAACATAGAACTGACTCTTTTTACTATTATACATGTCAGTCTGACGGACTAACCTGAATGCACTTCCCCGTTAAAGTACACTTTCACTTGTCCAACTTCGATACTTTGGCGGTGAATATTCACTTCATATCATATCACCCAGATCTTATCGTAACCTAAAATAGACTAGCGCCCGATTTCACGCCAAGTTCATGGTTTTGTTCAGGTCGCGGATTCCGACCTGGACAACCTCACCACCACAACTCCCTCCTCCATTTCCTTGAAAAGCACCCTCTCCTACAACTCCACCACTCGTTCACTCCCCCTCTATCACCCCTCCCTCCCACCACACGACATCACAGCCCCAGAGGCTCCAACGAAGACTAATACTGGCGAAGGAGGTTGGGTGAATCATCGTTGCTTTGGAGGCCGTTGAGCAGAGCAGGCGAAGTTGTGGGGTACTACTACTTTGCGTTGTTGAAGGAGGAGGGCAAAAAGGCATCAAATACACGATTCTAGTTCTCCCAGAGAGTTGAAAACTATCTTGCATGGATGTAACTAGGTGCTGCTGTTGTTGAGACCAGAACCTGCCCCGTTGAACAACCGTGTGTGCTCTACGCGCTTCTCGCCGCACGCCCGCCACCGGGCCAATTACTGCTTGTTTTCCTTTCACATACTACATCGTCGTCACACCTTTCTCTATACTACATAACCCATAACCATGTCTTACGGGGCGTCAGATGAGGTGGCGGAGGACTTCAAGGTGGCGCTGGAGGACTTGACTATGAACTCGAGATATGAAATCAGCAATCTTACTATCATCGCGAAAGAGAATACAGAGAATGCCCTCGCCATTTCGGAGGCGCTGAAGGATCATATTAAACGGGTAGGTGACATTTTCATACTGTAGAGTTCACTCTTGAACTGTTTTCAACGGAAGGGGTGTAACAGGCGTCTCTTTTCATCATTCTTCTGTATTCCTTCGTTTGGTTTGAACCTTTACTTACATTCATACAGACCGGCCCTTTGAAGAAACTCCCCGCGCTCTACCTCCTCGACTCGATCGTGAAGAATGTCGGCACACCCTACACACTATTCTTCGGTCGGCAGCTGTTCTCGACATTTATGGAAGCGTACGCGCTGGTCGACAACAATGTTAGACGGAAGATGGAGGAGATGCTGAAGACTTGGAAAGAACCAGTCCCCGGGTCGATCGATACACGCCCAGTGTTCCTCCCTGAAGTGACCAGGCCGATTGAGAATGCCCTCATCAAAGCCAGGACGTCGGCCATTCAAGCACATCAAGAATACGCCAGGCAACAACAACCACTCGCTGGCAAGAATCGTCCATCTCCAGTGCCTTTCCGAAACACAGCGACACCGCCCTTGCAACACCCAAATATGGCGGGGAACCAATATCCTGGCTCGCAATACCCCCCGCCATATGGCAACCAGCAGGTATGTCCCTTCATCCCTCTTGACGATTCCGTCACTGACCATTCCCAGCAACAACAACCCGCTCAATACCAACCGCCGGCTGCGGCACAGCCGTGGCAACCTCAGCCTGCACAAACTCGGGGGTATGGGGTGCTGGATGATAACATAGACACACTGAACAGTGATATTGCACGTCTCATTACTGCTGCAAAGAGTGAATTTGCTCAAAATCCATATGATGGCAGTATCCAGACAAGACTTAAGGCCCTGCTTGATCTACAGAGCATACTCGGCAGCCAAAAGCTGCCTCCTGATCAGATAGCGCTCATAAAAGACCAAGTCAAGGCGCTGTCTGCTGCATCTAAGCCGCAAGCGCCGCCGCCGCAACCTGCGCCGGCACCTGTACAAACCCCCGTAGCCGTATCACAACCGCCTGCGCAGCAGCCCAGTCTTGCGTCTCTCTTGGGCGGCCAAAATGCATTGGCTGCTCTGCTGGCGAGGTCAACGTCGACACCTCGCGCGACTCCTCCACCACTACCAGCAAATGTACAGCCAGCGCACTCGCAGCCGTCGTATACACTCCCAGCATACCCACCACCCCAGGGCCCTACGGCCAGGCCACCTTCAGCGACGCCAAACCCAATGTCTCTCCTCGATCAGCTGCGAGCTGCTGGATTATTACCCAGTGAACCAGCGCCGACGGCAACACCACCAATCCGCCAAATGCCACAGATTCCTCCACCAAGCGCCTTCCCAGGCATCTTTCCCCCCCCTCCAGTTTTACACGGTCAAACCGGCCAACTCCCCACGTGGGCTGGAGGTCCCCAGGCTGCCGTTGACATCGTCCAACTCACACCTGCGTCGCTCAAGATGTAAGTCACCCTTTATCCCATACTAGTCAACGCGCCTAACACATACAGTCCCCGCCCCCACCTGATCGGTCGCCTCTACGAGCGTCTCGGCATCCCGTGCACCCAGTGCGGACGCCGCTTCCAGACCGACGAGGAGGGCAAGAAGAAGAAGGCCGCGCATATGGACTGGCATTTCCGTGTGCACCAGCGTATGGTCGAGGCGGAGAAGCGTGGGCAGCATCGGAGTTGGTATGTCGATGAACTGGTATGTATCACCCCACTCATTCACAAGAGAAAATAACTCTAACAGACATGGCAGGATTGGATCAAGTCCCGGGAAACGGACGAAGAGCACCTCGCCAGCGCCACCACCGACAAAGACGCCCCTGCCTCCCAGGGCCCGAAGAAACAGCAGTACCTCGCTGTGCCAGACGACCCGGAGCTGGCGAATAGTCTCTGCCCGATTTGTCAGGAGAAGTTCGAGATGAAGTGGCTGGATGAGGAGTTTGTCTGGATGGATGCGGTGAAGATTGGGGAGAGGATTTATCACGCGAGTTGTCATGCGGAGGCGCGGAAGAGTTATCGTGGGACGCCGGAGCCGGTGTTGGGGAAGAGGAAGAATGAGGTGAGTTGTTCTGGGGGTGGGGGAGATGGGCGGAGACTGACGAGATATATAGGAGGAGTTACTTTCTGTAAGGACGAAGATCAAGACGGAGCCTTAAGGGGGGCCGCCGTTTCTCAGGTCTTGCGGAGGCTGCAAAACTGAATGAGAAAGATCACGTTGGGGTTGAACTCCCCATCAATAGACGCTCTTGAGTTGTGATCTAGTCACCGGTGAACAAACATGGCGGTACATAGAACGCTCATGGACTGAGTATATGAGAAGAGAGAAAGGAATCAACTAGAGGGGCGGGGAGGGGGGATGTATTACAATGCATAGCGCACGGAGTTCAGGGCGCACTTTGTGCCAGAAATATAATCTTTATATTAAATCATTCAGAAAATTCCATTGAGAAAAATGCAAGTGATAAAACGCGATGTTTATGATACACGTGAAAAGAGTTGCCGATATATAAACGAAAGCAAACTACATCCATCCCATTTCCAAACATGCTTCTAGAAATGATATTTACCCCGACAACGGGTGGGTCACGTAACGTAACCAGCTGTATCGGCGTAACGTGCCTAAATGCGTAAACCAGATGTGGGTATTCCCTATAGCTTCTCTACCGTGTATGGTTACGCTGGCCTTGTGGTGCTATGGAGGGGTTCCCGCCGATCGGAGATCCCAGACATGTCATTGGGCAGGAGACGCCTCTCCCCCATCTGGATTACCAAGATGCGCGTACCCCTCCTCCGAATGCCTGGAGGGGTATTATAAGGACAGCTAGCTGGCAGCTTTATCCGGAGCCTTCTCTTTTTTTTCAGACTCGGATTTATTGTTCTGTTCTTTTGAAATTTATAGAGCTTCGAAGCTGCACCGACTTGCGAGAAATACAATTTATATCACGAAACTAGAAATCATGTCTTCCTCTCCCTTCGTCGTCAAGTGGGGTATCCTAGCCACGGGAAACATCGCAGAGAGTACTTCCTCCCCCCCTCCCCCGCCTCCCCCCCTCACCAACTAACAACCCCCAGAATTCACCAAAGATCTCCTCACCAACCCCGCCATCCGCGACACCCACGATGTGCGCCACGAGCTCGTCGCCGCAGCCTCTTCCTCCTCCGCGTCGCGCGCCCAGGACTTCATAAACAACTGCAAGGGCCCCTCGACGGCCAAGGCATACGGCTCCTATGCCGAGCTGGTCGCCGATGCGAATATCGACATCATCTACATCGCCACTCCCCACTCCCACCATTTCCAGAACGCCATGCTGGCCCTGGAGGCGGGGAAGAATGTGCTGTGCGAGAAATCGCTGACGGTGAATGCGAAGCAGACGAAGAAGTTGTATGAGGTTGCTAAGGAGAAGAAGTTGTTCTTTATGGAGGCGGTGTGGACGAGGTGTTTCCCGCTGTCTGTTAAGATCCGCGAGATGGTCTCGAGCGGCGAGATTGGCGATGTCATCCGCGTCGTCTCCGATCTGTCGTTCCCTGAGAACGCTGAGGGGGGGAAGTTGAACTTCCCTAACGAGAATCGCATGGTTAATAAGGAGCTGGCGGGGGGTGCGCTGCTGGATATCGGGATCTACGCCTTGACCTGGGTATTCCAGATCATGTACACGACGCAGCCAAAACCGCGCGAGGCGCCGACGGTACTGGCTGCTATCCAGAAGTATGCTGAGACCGGAGCGGACGAGATGACGAGCATGATCCTCCAGTTCCCCAAGCACAACGCGATGGGGATTGCTCTGACGGGGTTGAGGGCGGGATATAAGCATGGGAAGAACTATGGGGCTGCTATCACAATCACAGGAACCAAGGGCGAGATCCAAGTCGACGGCCCAGCATACTGCCCCACGCACTACCGCGTGATTATGAACTCCGACCCTTCGAAGGTGGAGGAGGTGGAATGTCCGATCCCCAAGGATGAGGAGAGGGAGGGGTGGGGACAGGGCATGTTCTGGGAGGCGGATGAGGCGGCGAGGTGTTTGAGGGATGGGAAGCTGGAGAGTGAGTGGATTAGTTGGGAGGAGAGTACGTTGATTATGGAGACGATGGATGAGGTTAGGAGGCAGGGGGGGTTGGTGTATCCGGATTTGATTGAGAGTGCGGAGTATGATCCGAAGAGCCCTCTTAATGTGGGGAGAGCTTGAGGGGTCGTCGATGGATGCTCGAGATAGAGGTAGAGCTTGATAATGAATTGAGAAATGAACAATGAGATTATGAAAGAGTGAGGATATGATGCCAAAAGTCTTCAATGTGTGTAGAGCTTGGGAGTGCCTTGAGAATTAACAAGGGAATGCCCTCGATGCGAGCTTGGTAATGCTTTGTGAACGAACAAGGGAATGCCACCAGTGTAAGGTTGATGCTTTGTGAATGAACAAAAGAATGCCATCAAAGTGATAATTATAATGCTTTGTAGATGAACAATGGAGATGGTGAGAGATGCGGTCCTTTGACGAATAATAATATCCCAAATATAAACTAAACCACAATGAAAATCATTGTAACCCTTCATTACTTTGAGTTGTTCTAGAAGTTTATTCCTTGTTGTTCTTTGGGGTTTCCGTTGTACGTAAATAGGCTCATTGTGGCGTGCATAAAGGTACGACGTTATGCTTTGATCGGCCCTCGGCACCCCTGTCGTTAAGTGTTCCCTCACAGGACCTAATATCGAGGCCAAAGCCGCGTCAATGAAACTGCGACAGCTATAATACAACGACGATTTGCGGCCCACCGACAATGATATTCAACCATCTATCACTATTCGCAGCATACTGGCACTTGCGCGATCATAGCCCACAGTAACAGAACGACACCAAATCTCCACAATGAGTTCAGTTGACAGCAAGGCGGCGCAGGCCGCGCTGCTGCACTGGGTATGCCCTCGCCCCTCCCCCTCCCCAAGACACATATATAATAAGGGTTGTGGCACACAGAGCTAACGCTGTCTTACAGGTGAACACATTCCCCCTCGATAAGGAAGCTAGGTCTCTGGTAGACCTGAGCGATGGCAAACTTCTATACCAGGTTATGGGTAAGTACCTCCCCCTCCCCCCCTTGACTCCCAGAAGGCTAACATGTATATACCACAGCGGACATTGATCCGACCTTTACGAGACGGCGCAGCAACGAAAAGAAAACCTTCCAAGCGGTCATCCGCGGCCTACGATACTACATCGTTACCGAATGCACGGAGCTGGAGGAGCTGGTGGAGTCGCCGAGCTTCATCGCCATCTCCGCTGATGGCAAGACGGAGGATATTCTAGAGGTAGCCGTGGCTCTCAATGGTGGATGGACAGCCTTTACTGACTTGTGTGAACAGCTTACTTCGTTCCTCCTCGTGGCCGCCATGAGCGGGCCCAGGCGCCAGGATTACATCAGTACGATTATGACTTTCGATCAGGGCGTGCAGGGAGAGATTAAGGATATTATTGAGCAAGTGCGTACTCCCCTTCCTCCTATATAAATTTAGATGCTAACTGAGAACAGAGAATTACGGAGGCCCACGAGGCGAGGGAGTCGGGAAACAAGATATACCAACCCCCTCCTGGCAAAGCTACTCCGGATGAGTTCCAGCTCGAGTATCGATATGGAGTTCTGCTCGGGCAGAAGCGCGGGGTTGAGCAAGAGAATGAGAGATTACTGAAACAGACTGCAGATTTGACGACTCGGTTAACACACCTCCAGGAGAATAATGATAGCCTCCAGGACCACCTCAGAGACGCCGAAGATAGACTTAACGCTCCCGTCAGGGACGACGAGACGGAGCATCGCATTCGGAGACTTGAGGATGATATCAGAGAGCGGGACGAGGTGATTGAGTCGCAGGAGGGCCAGCTTGAGCAAGACCGCGACAAGATGGCGAGGATGGGACGGGAGCTTTCCAACTTGAAAGATGCCGACTCGCGCCTCATCCAGCTGCAAGACGAGATCAAGGAGCTCGAGTTCAAGAACGACGAGCTTACCAAGAAAGCTAACACAGTTGACCGCTACAAGAACAAGCTCGAGGTTCAGAAGGACCTGCAAAAGAATTTCAAGGACCTCGAGCTGGAGAACGAGGAGTTGAAGACGCAGTTTCAGCACATCGATAAGATCATAGAACGTAACAGCAGTCTGGAGGCTTCCCAGAGACAGTTCCAAAACAGTATCTCCAAGGCCGAGATGGAAATCTTTGAGATTGGGAGCCAGAAGAAGATGCTCGAAGCTGAGAATTCCGAATTACGCTACTCGATGTCGACGCAGGAAGAGAAGATCGCACAATACGAACAGGCCATGTTCGAGCTACGGGAGCAATCCCCTCTCCCCGAGATCTCACCCCACGGACAAACATTGGCAGAGCAGATGCAGAATTCTGAAGGAGACCGACAGAACAACCTCGAGAATTTCAGGTTGAAGGCAGAGAATGCCCTCCTGAAGGGGAATACGATCGCGGCCCAGGAGAACAGCTCGCTTCGGGCACAGTTGGAGGAGTCTGACGCACATATCAAGGTCATTGAGGGGAAGTATCGTGAGGCGTTTGAGAAGGAGGTCATCACGCAGCAGCAGCTGCGCGCGATGATGAATCTGGTGGATGATAATAAAAAGTTCGTCAATGCCGCAATGTCCATTGGCACGTTAACCTTGCTTACACCTGAGTACTACAGAGATCTAGCATTTGTGGAGTTGAAGAAGGCGCATACGAGCGTGACTGAGCAGTTGGAGGCTCTTCAGAAGCAGCTTGCTGCTCTTGAGGCCGAGCATGAGGACTCCAAACGAGGGCTTTTGATGGCAACAGCAGATTGTAAGTTTACCCCTATCCTTTTGTGGATTTATGCTAACGTTTTCATAGTGAGTATGGTCGAGAAAGAGGAGATCGATGCCCTCGAGGAGTTGAAGGCCACTCAGGAATCCCTATCCAAGTCTTTTGAGAATGAATTAACCGCTCTCAAGGGCAAATATAAGGCTCTCCTAATTGACTACGAGGCCCAGAAATCACAGCTGATCGAGTCGCTACTCACTAACAACAAGCTTCGCGAGGCCTTGGAGAAGAACACGAACATCGAGGAAACCCCTATCGTGGACGACGAGCCCAAAGAAGTCCCCGCGACCCCAACCCAACCAGACGTAAGCACTCCGTTTTCTCCTCTCTATTCCAAGAACTGGAGGATCTTCAACACCCGATATTTCGTGGGCTCCTACCCCAAGCGGACCAAGAGCGCGAAGCTGTCGGCACAAGAAATTGCGCAGGCATCTCGCATCGGCAACCATTTCTCTTCCCACATCCCACACCCATCGAGGATCATTAACCCCGCGACCATCCCACTGCCTGAATCCCGGCCCACCACAGCCCGCAGCGAGCCATACCACACTGGCGGTGGACACGTCAGTGAGAAGATGTTCAAGTGCAAATCACTAACAGCTACCCTCACAGGCCGAAGAAGTATTGAAGAAAGACGCAACAATCGCAGAACTCCAGGTAAGGGCTCCTATCTACAACCCCTGTGGATCCCCGTCCCTCGCGCCGCAACGGGCACTACCTTGCACCGCGTCCCTACGCCGGCGTCGTTTACAGATGCTGAGCTGGACGCTGCGCGCTTTGCTGCTGAGACTGTAGCGGCCTCACGGGCGCAGGAGACGCTGGTGAGAGAGGCCGAAATACGACAGCGCCAGAAGGGAAGCACAATTGGCAAGGTGCTGGCGAAGATGCGTCGGTAGACGAACGGGCGAGATGAAGGAGAGTTGCTGATTTGTTTGTTTTTAGGCCCAGGTCAAGGAGTTGGAGGAGAATGGGAACGATGCGCAGAAGGTAATGTTTATGTTTCTAGTTTTCCCGTCATTTCGTTCGCGCTGTAGAAAGTGTGTTGAGTGCAGGGCTGGCTCTGTATCTTACATGACTTGTTATGATTTCTTCCAAGCTTGTTGTCCCTTTTATCTCTTGCGATCTAAATTATATATTGGATACAACCCGCTTTCTAATGCAATCAAACGTGCAGGTTGCCCTCGAGCGCGAGAACGACAATCTCAAGCGCGAGTATTCCATGATGACCATGGCATGGTACGACCTCTCCAGCCGCGTGCAGAGCAACACCGTGATGCTGCAACGACGCAGCGAGGTGTCGAAGAGCTGGATCAACAAGCAGCGGCGCGCCGTGAATCCGACGGGAAGGAGGTGATGAATGTGCCGTGCCGTCTGTGGGGTAGCGCGGCGGAGGAGCTCGTGACCTATATTGGACATATATTAAGATCTACTACTACTGTTGCATTTTGGAGGGGCGGTGTGGTGGTAGGCCCGGGGAAGATATATTTTGCCATTTACTCAGTTTGTAATTATAGCCTGGTGCGGCGGCGGATACCCAGTATACCCCTTAGAGTAGAGTGCAATATAAATTTTGGCTTGGAAGTGCTTAGTAGTGCGTCTTTGCATGTGAAAATTTTGCTTTTTATTGTTCATCGAGCCTCATCTGATGAGGCTAAGGTGTGATTTCGGCCATATCTGACAAAGAGAAAACCGTACCATGACCCAATTCTCCCAAACTCTGTTCTACCAACCCAGCAAAGGTAGCATCCCGAACCCGCTCCAATAAACTCCAGCACATGTCAATTCCATATCCTCCGTCTCCCAAGAAACTCTCATCCATACCAATCCCCCGTCCCACGCCCCTACCCTTCACAACCCAACCCCGCCATCTCCTCCCTCCCCACCTCCCTCTCCTTCACCCCCCCAACCCACCCCTCCATCCTCTCCGCCAACACACACGCCAGGATATGCTTACAGCACGGCACTCCCCCGCCAAACCCATCCCTACTCACCCCGCCAAACCGCCACTCCCCTCCTCCCGCCTCCACGTCTTCCATTTCCACGTCCCCCTCCTCCTCCTCCTCCTCCGCGCCAAAAACAAGTGAACTCGCCGCCCCAGGAAACGCAGAAAACGCAAACGCAGCACAACTGCAATTCCACGCCCCCAGCCGAACGATGTACACCTTCTCCCCCACCGCACCGCGCGCGCGCGTCGCCTGCGAAGAGCGCACGAGGTAGACCGTATTCCTCTGGGACCCGCTTGGCGCGGCTGCAGGCTTCAACCCCGGTGCTTCGGTGCTAGACCCTGTTGCGGAGGTGGTGGACGGTTCTGGAAGGTGCGGGGGGGTGGTGATGCGGGTTAGGAGGGCGCGGTCGAGGAGGTCGAGCGCGGGGAGGAGGAGGGTGGGGAGGAGGATGTGGAGGGTTGTGAGGAGGGTGCGGATGGGGGCGGGAGCGTGGAGGAGGGGGTTGGGTGTGGGGTTGGGGGATGGGGGACGCGTGGTGGATGGGGGGAGGGAGAGGAGGGCGGTAAGGAGAGCGCGGGGTGTGGGGAGAGGGACGGGGTGCTGCGTGGTGGTGGACATGGTGGCGGTGGTGGTGGGCGGGTTGTAGATTAACTCGCAGGCTGGGCGAGTGCAGCGTTGTCCCGCGCCGTTGTCATGATGCAGGTACTCTGGTGGAGTGTGAAGTGCCGCTCTCCCTCCCCGATCGTCGTCACACCGGCGGAAGGGATGGGAATAATAAGGCCGGCGGCACGGAAAGTGCGTGGTACTTGGCGGTATTGGTGGTATTGGCGGTATATCAGGGGACCGTGTATTTACCACGTAGTGTCTAGTTGGCGCCCCACGATTAGAGTATGTGATATGCGGGACTCGGCGGGACTTACAGAGTAGATCTGTTAGGGCGCTGTAAGGTTGATCTCGGCGTGATGGCTTGACGGGGGTTGTGGCCTATGGCGGCGTGTGGTTGCATCGTGTTGCATCACGGGGTATCGTGACTACACCACACGACGTCTAGTGTTCACAACTATACACAACTTCCAGCAGACATGTGCAATTGACACCACCACACCCACCATTTACACCATTTTCACCATTTATAATGCACCGAGCTGTGGCTTTCTCACATAGCGCTACACCACGCTATCTCACGCTATGCCACGCTAGATTTTGGGTTCTTGTGCTGCCACTGGCTTCAATGCCGATTCAGGCAAGAGACACTATAGGACAAGTGTAACCGCTGATCACCCGAATGCTTCTCAGCTCCGCTGAATTGAGGAGCTGAGAAGCATTCGGCGGTTTCTGGATAATGTCTTAGGCCAAGCGGCTGGAGAGCTGGCTGGGGAGTATAAGATAGGTCTCTTTCTCTGTCAAAATGCGCTTTCTTTGATCGATTTGTTGCAGCGAGAAGATATTCTGCTTCGTTCACGGATTCCTTCAGTTGTCTCAAATACCCGCTGTCCTGCGTCTTTACTTTGGCCCTCTGGTGTCCCTTGACGTCGTCTCAGTTCTTACGTTTCAATTCCATACACTACATACCAAAGGTATATCCATCCTGTCCCACCGTGGAAGCATAATAGCCCCTAACCCATCATGATAGGTAGCACAGCATCAACACAACATGAAGTTCACGTCTAGCCTCGCCGCTGCCAGCGTGCTGGCCAGTGTTCTTGCTTCGCCTATAGCTCTCACTGAGACATCTCCGCTGGCCAAACGAGGTAAGAGCTAAACTTTTCGATTATAATACAGTGGATTCTCAAATACGTGCATGAAAAATACTACCTGTCATATTTCAAAGGATTGTATAATTCTGGGCTATGTTTTCATATTCTTTACTACTAGCGACGAGCATTATGATAATTCATATGAGAGAAGCCTACTAACAACCCACCAGCTGTCGACGCCGCTCTCTTCGCAAAATTGAAATTCTACGTTCAATATGCCGCCGCAGCCTACTGCACCAACAACGCTGACAGCTCTGGCACGCCCATCAGCTGCGCAACAGGCAATTGCCCCGATGTCCAAGCCGCCAACGCCGTCTCCGTCCTCGAATTCGACAGGTAACACCAATCCCACCCTCAGCCTCCCTACTCACCCACTAACACACCCCAGCTCCATCCTCACAGACATGAGAGGCTTCCTTTCCGTCTCCACCGTGCGCCAGGAAATCGTCCTCGCCTTCCGCGGCTCCTCCTCCATCCGCAACTTCCTCACCGACCTCAATTTCGGCTACGTCAACTTCGGATGCTCCGGCTGCTCCGCCCACGCCGGCTTCGCAACCGCCTGGTACGAGCCCCGCTCCGCCATCCTGGCCGCCCTCAAAACCACTCGCGCCCAGTACCCCTCCTACAAGATCGTCATCACTGGCCACAGCCTCGGTGGCGCCGTCGCTACCCTCGCAGCCGGAGACTTGCGCTCCCAGGGATATGCTGCCGACCTCTACACCTACGGCTCGCCGCGCGTTGGTAACGGCGCCTTCGCCTCCTGGGTCTCTGCGCAGCCCGGCGTCACCGCGCGCGTAACTCACGTCAACGACCCCGTGCCGCGCCTGCCACCTATGCTGATCGCTGGTTACCGCCACACCACCCCCGAGTACTGGTTGAGCAACGGATCGGCGACCAAAGTGGATTACACGCTCGCGGATGTCAAGGTGTGTGAGGGGATCTCGACGACAGGGTGTAATGCTGGGACGATCCCGACGCTGGATCTGGATGCGCATCGCTATTACTTCCTCGCTGCTACCTCATGTGCGCCGGATTTGGCGTTTAAGAGGGAGGAGCAGATGTCGCCGGCGAGGAGGGCGGATGGGTCGGCAAGTGATGTGGAGATTCTTTCGTGGATGGCGGCGGATGCTGCGGCTAGCCCCAGCGAGTTGGCCGCTACGACATGATGGGGGGTAGATAGCTGAGCTGGACTGGGCTGTTGGATATGCTTGACCTGAAAATGGATGTAAGTAACGCTGCAAAATCACGTAAATGGGCAATGTTATGGACTTGATGATGGGGGGAAATATATAGTTTCTTGTAAGTAGTTGGCGTTAAATATATGCGGTTCGACCTTCAAGATATATAGGAATTACATATTGATATATGCTCTCATTCTTACCACACCTTACTGGCGCAAACGCAAGGGACCTGCAGTAATATCCGACATGCACAACATAAGATCTTACACCCCCTATTCCAATACCATGGCACGACATATCCCAGTCGTCACAGTCAGAGTTACACCAACAGGCACAAAGTATATATACGTGAATTGTACTACCAACAAAGCGGCATTAGTGACCCTAATTTCATTTCCAAATCCCTTCATCATCACATCTCCAAACCTTCATAATCGATCGGCCGGCGCCACAACCAGCGCCTACCGCGCGAAGGGCCCTCCTCTTCGCTATTAACGCCACCCAGCCCCAACTCCTGACTAATGCATGCATGTATGTGCGACTTATATCTCTAAGTAATCTCCGGGTTCTGTGACCCCTCTTCAGGGCTGCCCCGATGCTGCTCCGACGTTGCCAGAGTTCTCTCCAGATGGTCCTCCTTTTGTGTCCGTTGTATGCGCCACGTCTCTCATCCACATTTCCCATTTCGTATCTCGTCCTCCCCCTTCTTCGCCAGGCATTTCTGCAGATCCTGCTACTACCGGCTCTCCCATGGCATCCACATCCGCATCCTCGTCTTCTATCACGTAATCACCAGTCCGAGCGACAAGCCCCCGATAGTAATCCACCAGCACCTCCGGATTGGGAACGATGCGCCAATCAACGCGGTGCAGGAACTCGAGTTCGAGCAGGCCTAGCTCGGCGAGCTTGATGCCGCCGACGCGGGCGTACGTTGTGTTGTTCCAGAAGGAGTCCGAGAGGCCTTTTGCGGCGACGGTGGCGGCGGTGATGAGGAAGCGGTGCACGGTTAGGGTTGTTATTGTGAAGGCGGGGTAGAGTGAGCAGAGCCGGTCCATGTAGTAGACCATGGATAGGAGGAGGGGTGGGGTGAGTGCGGCGTGCTTGGCGAGGCGTTGGAGGTAGTCGAGGACTGAGATGCCTGGCGGTGTGCTGTGTGTTGTTAGCGATTGCTATATTCAATAAGGAGAGGGAGACAAACCGAGAGTGGAAGCGTGTGAGTACCACATCCCGCAGTGGCAGATTATCGTTCGTTTGGATCAGCTCCGAGACCATACCGGCAACGAGAATAACCATATCCTCCACATCGACCAGTTCGTAGCGTATAGGTAACACCTTTGGGGCTCTCTGTGCTGCCCGCGGCCGCTTCGGAGGCAAAAATTGCTGGCTCGCCCGTGATGAACCGTCCTTGGCTGGTTTAGGGTCCTGGCGGCGCTTCGCGCTGGGAGATTGTAAGAGCGCTTGAATATCTATCGCTGTTCTTACTCCGTCGCCTTCGCCTGCCGAGCCGCCCTGTGTGCGCCCTTCACCATTGACATCCCCCCCATTACCAGACTCATCCGGTCTACCCGCCTCATCCTGCGATTCGCGCCTCATATTCAGATTCTTCAAGTCGACCAGATCCTGAGACGAATTCGACGATCCGAGCGCCGTCGTAGCCGGCGACCCCGACACCCCATTCGACGCCGTATCGGCGGTCATATCGCGCTGCTGGCGGAGTGAGGGAAGCGCGGGGCTCGCGCTCTTGCCATTTCTGGTCGACGGGCTAGCGGTGGTGCTGCTGTTGCTGTAGCGGAAGGCGCTGGTGGTTGTGCTCGCGGGCGACGCGATGCGGGGGCTCGAGTTGCTAGGCGCGGCGAGCATCGCGCTCTTCTTCCCTCCACTGCTGAATCGTGTGCGCGCGCGCTCGTCCTGTCCTAGCTTCCTGATTTCGAGCTGCGGTTGCACATCGCCTCCTGCGAGTACGTGGGCGGGGTCGAGGGCTGGGCGAGGCTCAGGGAGGCGGTGGGGGAAAAGGCCTGTCGAGGGCTTGAGTGGGGTGGGATTCGGTAGGGGTTTGATAGTTCGTGGTTTAGTCGTGTTGCGTAGAGTCGTTGGAGGGTATATGGGGGTTGTGGTTGTTGTAAATGTCCCTGAGGTGGTTCGCTGGTGCGATTTTCGGCGCGGCGTGAATTTGGCGGGCGGGACCCATGAGGCTTTGGACGACTGACCCTGCTTTTTGGGAGGGTTCGCGCTAAGACAACCAAGCAAACCTCAATTTTTAGGCATCATTGGACGGAAGACGGAAGTCGGAACAGATGCTGATTGAGTAATTGGGTGATTTAGTGACAATACATAATACATACATGGGGGCGTGTTCATAATTTATGACATGTTACTTCTTTCTTTGCCGCAATTCAGTCTTCAGCTTCTTGGAATCATGGATAGTTGCATTTGCTGCGTCTATGGCATTACCACCCCATTGCCCACTAACTATATAGTACAAATGCATATCTATTTTGCCCTTGTTCGATATGCCGCTCAGAACACCATGCCAACGATTTGCAGACCAGACGCCTCGCCGACCCACATTACTTCTTCTCCTTGTCCTCCTTCGCCTTCTCAGAGTCGTCTACGGAGGTGATTTCCCCGTTCGTGACGCCCTCGGCCTTCTTAGCATCCTTGCCCTCCTTCTCCTTATCCTCGTCCTTCTTCGCCTCCTTCTCCTCTTGCTGCTGGCGGTTCTGGATCTTGTTCTCGATTAAGTCGTGGAAGGCTGTGATGGCGCGGATCAGACTGCTAATGTAGATGGCCATCAGCTGGTCGTTGGTCTTGATGCTCATGGCGTGTGCCAGTTCGCTGGTGGCCTCGCCCGACCCTGGAGTTTCTGATGTGGAGGCCTTTGGTGTGGAGAGGTTCGGGAGGAGGTTGAAGACATCTTGGAGGTTGCCCAAGATGACATGGTTGACTGGTAACTTCCCATCGCTGACCTTCTGGAGGTATTGTTGTATATCACGCAGCCTCAAGTGCAGCCCTTGAAGTGATTGCAGTTGCGACGTAATCCTTGTCGAGAGTGTGCCGACTGCTACATCACGGATATCTCGTAATAAGTGCTCAACTCCAATCTCCTCTGCCTCCTCTGCCTCGATGATAGATGGGGTGTGTACGAAGGTCTTGGATGTGGTCGTTCCGTCCTGAAGACTGTTAGCTGTGATTCCTGCTTGATAGAACATAGAGCGCCTACGTCTTTAATCTCATCCACTGCGAAGTATGCATCCGTCGGTACGCCAGCCTCCTTCGGTTGGACATCGATGATTACCAACAGCGGGTTGGGCGTATATCTCTTGAACAGCTCATTGATTTCCAGATCCGATGCCCGTAACTTGGGGCCCGAATGATACCATCCAATCAACTTCTCCTTCGCGTTCACCTTCTTGAACATATCGTTCATCGACTCTACGTAGTTGTGGTCCAGAAACCATACTGATGGGTCCTTCTCGTCTTCCTCGAATGGCACTGTAGCGCACGATGTCAGATTGGTCTCATCGGGGAATGTAGGCGCGATCCCTACCTGCGAAACTGTTTGATACTCTCACGTTCTTCCCCTCGTTCTGTCCAAGCAACACACCAACCACCCGCTTGCGAGTGCCCTTTGCGGAGCGGCCATAGTGATCGGCAACGGAGAGGAGGACGAGAGGTGCGACAGAGACGGTGGTGGTGACGAGGGAGTGGGCTTCTGCTGTAGTGGCCGGCATTATGAAGTTGTGATGTGGGAGGATGTGATGTCGTGGTTCAGATGGGTTCGATATGGAGCTTTGATATTCTGACCGCACTGTACCTTAGCTACTAGGCTGACCTCAACGCGACATCTTTGTGACGCCGCTTTAACGAATAAGCGCCGCTGCTTTTAGCGCTCACACGTGATTGAGGCAACAAACGCAACGCAACAAACATGCAATTCGGCGGCGCATACCGGCTAAAGACGCCAGCTTTATTTGCCCGGGATTATAGCGATCCATTTCGCCGATTGCGAGCGAGGTCCGAACCAAGCTTTTAAACTTGCCAGCTTCTGCCATCACCTTCAACAACCCCAAATCTCTGTACAATATTTTTTCTTCAAGTCCCTACCCCTTTGCGTACGAGCCGTTCTTCTTTGAATTGACATACTACCGCAACAATGTCTCCAGTTTCTGAGGATATTCACGACCTGGTCGCGAAACTCGAGCAACGGGTGAAGGACTTGGAAAGCAGGCTGCACCTGGCTTCCGGCGGCGCGTCGAAGCAAGCCGGTATCGCAGATGGCGTCAGGATGATCCTGATGGGACCTCCAGGAGCTGGTATGACTTCCAATGCCACTCTGTTGTTGAGTGAAATACTGCCTCGGTACACACGCTGACCTGTGATAAAAAAAGGCAAGGGAACACAAGCACCAAAGATCAAGAGCATGTTCTCATGTTGCCATCTGGTGAGTAAAACTTCATCCACTGCATGCTCCCTCTTGATACAATGCTAATTGTCCGCGTTAGGCAACTGGTGATATGCTCCGGTCGCAGGTAGCGAAGAAGACCGAGCTCGGCCGTCAAGCCAAGAAGATCATGGACGAAGGTGGCCTCGTCAGCGACGAGATCGTCATCGGCATGATCAAGGACGAGCTCGAGAACAACAAGGAGTGCAAGGGAGGGTACGTCTACACCCCCTCTCCCCCATTATGAAAAGCACCCCATCTAATTCTCACATAGCTTCATCCTCGACGGCTTCCCCCGTACCGTCGTCCAAGCCGAGCGCCTCGACGAGATGCTCACCCAGCGCAAGGAGCCCCTCAAATACGCCGTCGAGCTCCAAATCGACGACGGGCTCCTCGTCTCCCGCATCACCGGCCGCCTAGTGCACCCAGCGTCGGGCCGCTCATACCACAAGATCTTCAACCCCCCCAAGGAGACCATGAAGGACGATGTGACCGGTGAGCCGCTGATCCAGCGCTCTGACGACAACGCCGAGGCTCTCAAGAAGCGCCTTGTTACCTACCACAAGCAGACCGCGCCGGTGGTCGACTACTACCAGAAGACGGGCATCTGGAGCGGGATCGACGCGAGCCAGGAGCCGGGACAGGTGTGGAAGTCGCTGCTGGGCGTGTTCCGCGCTGAGCAGAAGCCAAGTCTGCTGTCCAAGATTTCGACGGTTGTTTGAACGGGTGTTAGTGTCTGGTGATGGGTTAAGGTTAAGGGTGGGTGCGGGGGCTCGCATAAATCAAAAGTTCCATGTTTAGAATGTCCGAGCGGCGTTTTTTTGAAGCATGGAGACAGACGGATGTTCATGTACGATCAATTTTGCTAGGTGGATTTTGTATACTGCATTAGCACTGATCTGGTGTCATGGCCAAATGTATTAATGAAGAGATGCGAGATATTGTCCCAACACCAACTGATATATTTTACATGTGATAATCTAACACGATATATCTTTACACTTTTCCGTAACCCATAGTAGTACAGCTCATAATCTTACCGTCCTTCATGTTAATCATACCCATTCTCTAGGTGATTTCAGGACCTCTTCCAGCCTCGCCTCCCTGCTCCCCTTCTCGGGGCTGTGCATATATTTCCAGCTCGCAGTGAGCGGCAAGCTCATCAATATGCTCTCCACTCGCGCACCAGGCGTATTCAATCCAAACGCAGTCCCGCGATCATGCACGAGGTTAAACTCCACGTACCTCCCCCTACGGATCTGCTGCCAGCCTTTCTCCTGCTCGGTATATGGCATGTCCTTCCGCTTATTGATGATAGGCAAATAAGAAGGCAAGAAGGCCTTCAAGCACGTCTGGACAAACGCGAAGCAGTTCTCCTGGTCGTTCTCGGAGTCGTCGAGGTCGTCGAAGAAGATTCCGCCAACGCCGCGGGTCTCGTTGCGGTGCTTGACTGAGAAGTACTTATCGCACCACTCCTTGAAGCGTGGGTAGTAGTCCTTGGAATGCTTGTCGCAGGCATCCTTCACGGTCCTGTGGAAGTGGATTGCGTCCTCATCGAAGAGGTATGAGGGCGTCAAGTCAGTGCCGCCGCCGAACCACCAGGTTCCCACACTCCCATCTGGGTTCTCAGTCTCGAAGTACCGGTAGTTGAGATGCACAGTTGGAGCCATCGGGTTCTTCGGGTGAAGCACCATACTCAAGCCAGCCGCAAAGAACGGCAGCGAGTCAACCGAAGTGTCGATCTTCTTGTGATCCGCCCGCATCTTTATGATGGCCTGTTTCGGGAGGCTGCCGTAGACGACTGAGATGTTGACACCGGCCTTCTCAAACACGTTGCCCTCCTGCAGCACACAGGAGATTCCTCCGCCGCCATGCTCGCGCTCCCAAGTATCGATTTGGAACTTCTTGCCGTCGACTTCCTCGAGCACCCGCACGATTTCCTTCTGTTGCTCTTTAATGAACGCTTCCATGCGCAGACGCATGGGCGAGTCAGCTGTCACGCCAGACTCTCGCTTCGTAAGGTTATCGCGGTCCGCAATTGACGGTGCCTGTAGCTTGGTGGGCTCATCGGTGACCTGGAGAACCGGTTAGCATTGCGTTGAAGAGCTGTCGGCCGGGGAGGACTACCATAGAATGGATGAGGAGGCCGCAGAAAACCACGCCGACTGCTATGCGGGTCTTGGGGAATAGAACACCCGTCCGCTTCTTGTCTTCGGGCCGCGGGGGCTTTGGTGGTATGTCGGCATAGTTGCGTTTGAGGCGCGAGATCCGGGCAGGTTGTGTGAATGGCCGAGGGGCAACCCGGAGTATGTTCGAGGCCCGGGTAACAGAGTGCATTGGAGGCATGTTCGCGGCAAAGAAATAGCACTCTATAATATATACATTGGGTGTTGGATATGCACCCCTTGAAGTTTGACTCGGATTGCGGCAAAGAGCGTGGGAGTGAAGCAATACGTGGGGGAAATCCCGTGCCGTGGCTTCCCAGAAATTATACTAGGGACCTGTGGATGCGACTCTGGGGATGACGATAATAAAGTGGGTGCCTCAGGCATGAGGGTATTGTAGTACGATAGTAAGCAGGCTATCTATCCGAAGAGTAAAACCCGGAAGAGTAGTCCCTACAACTACAAAGACGTATATATAGTCAGGTCACATGTTCTGCAGCTTACAGTGAAGTTGAAGTGTAAAGCACAATATTAATATCCGGCACAATTGATCGCAGAGCGTGATTTTGATTTTGCTTTGTCTGGTGATGTTTCCCAAGCCAAAGAGTCCGCCCATGATGCGAGTCACTGGTTTGCGATTAGTCGGCGGCGGCTGAGCAAGCTTCGCCTTGTGATTCACCTGTGGTACAAGTACGTACACCGCCCACACCAGTCCCAAACCAGACTAGCGTTATATGACACCGCTTTGAGCAATCGTGCCCCAGGACCGCCCCCGCCATCTCGCCAGGCTGCATCGGTACGACTACTTCTACTCGATACTCCTACCAAACACTCACACCATCACCATCAACCACGACAACCTTCTTCAACGTTCTTCTGCTACCTTAAATAGTAAGCTCATCCCCCGTTCCTGTCGCCTCTTCCATATCAGCTTTGCTCGTAGTCAGGAAACGCAGAAGAGCACGCTTACTGACCGTCACTTCAAGGCGCCCAACCTCACATCGAACCACAACCTAAACTACAAACCAACCAACCCTCTCAGACATCAAGATGCGCTCCAAGTTCAAGGACGAGCACGAGTTTGCCAAACGCAAGGCTGAGGCCGAGCGTATCCGCGCAAAGTACAACGACCGCATTCCAGTAAGCTCCCGCCTTCACCTCACCGTCATTTCATGTTCACCCCCACCGCTAACCCATGATCAGGTCATCTGCGAGAAGGTCGAGAAGTCAGAGATCGCGACCATCGACAAGAAGAAGTATCTCGTCCCGGCAGATCTGACAGTCGGCCAGTTCGTGTACGTTATCCGCAAGCGTATCAAGCTGTCGCCAGAGAAGGCCATCTTCATCTTCGTCGACGAGGTGTTGCCACCGACCGCTGCCTTAATGTCGAGCATCTACGAGGAGCACAAAGGTATTCAGATCCCCATCCAACTCCCCTTTATCCGTCCACAATACTAACTCGATGCCCCCAGATGAGGACGGATTCCTTTACATCACCTACTCTGGAGAGAACACCTTCGGATTCGAGGAGCTAGCCTAACCACCCAGCATCTTCACACTCTCATTAACGACCCTCCTTTCGACAGGCATCGACGACACCGACACCACCCCCAACTCTCCCAACTACACCGGCGTTTCGGACTCCTATTTCCTCCCGCGGTTTCTACATTTGCGAGAGAGTGGACAGCTTTTATTGGGGGATTATGGCAGCAGCAGGGGGACTTGTGATAACGTTTTTTTGATTATTTCGTAAACCGGGACGACGGACGACGACGATGACGGCCAAGGCGGCTACAGCTCTTCGGCGGGGCCAGGCAGAGCAACGGGGTCGTGCGGATTGCTCTACAAGCCGCATGGCGCTGGTGCAGGCAAGGGATGGATAAGGGTTCAACTGGCTTTGCTCGATTATTCTGTGAGACTGCATGTGGAAGACTTGGGGGGCTATAGGGTCTTTTATACAAGAGTCGATTTCCTGCGTGTCTATTGCGTCTTCAGATTGTAGTGATTTTCTATCGTCGTTTCTGATAATGGGAATCCTAGAACCCAAGTTTGTGCCAAATGTTGATGATGTGATGTGCTTGCTTTTTTACTCGAGCAACCTTTGATATCGGAGAGTATGTGCTTTCTCCCCCTCGTACAGAACTCCTTTGTTCCCCGTCCGTAATTTCCTCCTATGACTCTGCTATACAGCCGCTTCTCATCCTCCAGGTACCGCAACCTCATGCGTCCTTGTGCATTTTCAGCACAGTCTGTTCATACAGTAGTATACAGCCATAGCCACACCCCACACCCCCCAAGCCCTCCAAGTCTATATCCGGCCCGGTCCTCGATCCCCAGCCCAGATCCCCTTGTGTCATCCATCCAACCCCAGCACTTGGGACCGGCGTCGACTCATCGGTCCCCATATCCCTGCCCGTCGCAGCTATCCCACGGCCCTCACTTCTTCGCAGCAGCAGCCACCGGGTCATCCGCCCTCGGAAATCCAATCCTCCTATAACCCCCCCACATTAGCACTGTCCTCTTTCTCATCTGACTCAAACGGCAAGGAAATAAGAAAAGCTCACCTCAACCCGGAGTTAATAGTCTCCTTCGTGCTGCGCCCGAGCTCCTTCTCTTCGCGGTTTATGCGCATGGATGCTGCGCCGAGGCCGATGAAGAGGGCGAAGATGGGGTCGAGCGTGCGGGAGATTATGTAGGCGGGTGGTGCCATTGTGGGCGAGGGTTTGTTGGGTTTGAGGGGATGTGGTTGGTGTTGTGGGTGCTTGGGAGGTGGGTTGCTTTTTTGGGGATGGGTGAAGCTATGGACGGGCGAGGGTCGGTAAATGCCGGTCCCCTACCAATCGCCCAAACCGCCTACGAGCATGAGCAAAATATTTTGAGAAGTAAAGTTATTAGAGGTGGGGTTTTTCATAAGGAAGGAGACGATAATCCCCTCCCGCATAACTAAGTATGTACAATGATTCTATCTACAATCATATTTCCCTCCGCATGTCTGCAGGCCAAGAAAAAGAAAACTGTGCGCCGGAATTCCCTTTTTTGCCCCTCCCCCCCTTCTTCCTCAATCGTACACGCGCCGAAGCTCCCAAAACCAGGTCTAGCCGTCTACCGTTTCTAACTCGCTCTGCTGGCCCAATGGCCGGCTGCAGCAATAACTCTAAGCTCTTCCGCTCGCACTTTCGAACACCCTCATGACGGGGTCATCTATTTGCTGAAAGCAATGTCGAAGGCGGGGATCAGGGTCTGAGCCAGCCAGAAGGAGAAGACGAGCTTGGGGCCAGTCATGAGCAGCTTGGGCACGAGACCCTTGAAGAACGCGGACGGCCCCTCCTTCTTGATCATGTCCCTGATAATCTTCATTCCGCTCTCCGGGTTGTCAAAGTTACGGTTCTGGATACGGGTCTTGATGACATCGAGCGGCGCCGAGACGATCAAGGACGCCGAGGCACCCGCAATCGACGCAACAAAGTTCTGGAACCAAGTCGCCTTATTATAATCTTCCAGCCCATACAGATATCCCTTTGTGAAGGCCGAACCTCCGAACAGCGCGAACGAGCCCGGCGCATTACGTGCAGCGGTCCAGCCCCAGCCCCTGTACAACCCGAAGCCCTCATCCTTGATGATGCGGACGATGCCGCGGCCGCGGAAGGCCTCGGGGTTTGTCTGGCGCTTGATCTTGAGGACGTCGAGGGGGAGGAGCACGATCTCGCCGATGCCGATCATGGAGCCTGCGAGGGAGGCGATCATGGCGCGGCCGGTCGTGGGGCCGAAGGTGCGCTCGAAGGAGTTGCCGTAGTTCTTGGTGATGAGATCGCGGGCGAAGGGCTGGCCGCCGTACTTGTATACACGCTGGGAGACTTTGTAGCCGGCGGCGTATCCGAGACCGGGGAAGAGGGAGAAGAATTTCTTGCCAGCGGAGACGGAGGCCTTGTCTTTGAAGATGACTTGGTTGAGCTGGGTGATGCTGGAGATCTGGGGAGGGTTAGTTATGGGATTCGGATTAGCTGGGGATAAGGGATTCTGCTCTCACCTTTCCATGGTTGCTCATGAGACGCTTCGCAATGGTGTCAACCTTCAGTTTGGTCAGCTATGTCCTCTCGAGTTCTGCCCAAGCAATTCATACCGGGTGGAAGACAGCAAGCTCAGCAATACCAGCAGAACCTAAAGGGGACATCAGCGCGGTTCCAAGTAGTACATGAGATCCTCATAAGGACATACCGGAACCCAGAATACGCGCCGCAGTCGACTCCTTCTTGACGCCCTTTCCACCAGCGGTGGCCATTGGGGGAGACATTTCTCTTTTCTGATTTTCAACGAAACCTCGGAGGGCTATAATAAATAAAGGATAAGACAATTAAGGATTCCCTATTTTTTATGAAAAGCAGAATTCGATATGCCTCTCTGAAGGTTTCGTGTGAAGAAATGTAATATAGTATTCGTGGGCAGGCGCAACGGGAGGGAACTCTCTTTCCAATTTCTCGAATAAATCCACCGACTATCGGGGAAAATTAGCCTATGAGACCCTGGTCGGCTCCCTTAGTCGGGACGAGGCTGCACCAGTCCAGGAACCACCGCTACAAGCCGTGCACTACTCGACCATAAGCGAGGTCCCTTTTTCGAGGTGCACCATACAATTGCGACTATCACATGGAGGTGGGATGCGAGTCAGCTACACCGCTTCTGGTCTCAGCAGCACCTGTTCCATTTAAATCGTACGACAAATACTGTAATTGTTGAGAAGATGCACAGTGAGATTTTTTGGTATCTACTGCTATAATTATAATACTCAGCGCCACGGGGAGATTTGACTCCCTCGATGCCTCATGGTATCACAAATTCCCAAAGCTCCCAAATATGTAGATCCAAATCCCATCGGCCAGGTTCAACGCCTTCCATATATGCTACAAATAGAACGCCAGCAGCCCCCGTGCCCTAATATATCACATCTGAAGTTTAGAATCAGGTAGCCCCCCTCCGTGCTCAAAAGGTTCAGAACTCCTTGAAGATCCCAACAAGCTGATCAAGTCTGTTGATCTGCGTTGTCAAACGGTCTTCTTTTTCATTGAAGGCACTCAACTTCACCAGATGGTCTTCGGGAAGCATTTCATGCTCGTTGCCTTTGACATCTGATCGATCTGCCAGCGCAAGCACAACACGTTCTTTGTATCTCTCCGTCTCGAGAACTTGCAAACACCGCGCAATGGTCTTGTAAATACGATCGAGTAACAGGTTTGTGATCCGCTCTGTGTCAAACCACCAGAGGAAGATGGTGCGGCCGGGTGTTCGAAGGGTATCCCTGGGGACTTCTTGAATATCGGCGAAGCCTGCCATCTGCATTTTGACTAGAGTCTTGCGCACCTCCCCTTGCTTCATCAAGGCAATCTTCTGGACCTGTTTTTCATCGAGCTTGCCATGCTTTCTCAGAATATGAGACATGCGCAGGCCCTCTTTACCAAAGGCAGAAGCAATATATGTGTCCAGTTCATTTTCTCGCATATATTCTGTAGCCTTCTTGAAGAGGACCGTAAACTCTCCCAGCCCATCATTGCTGAGCTTTTTTAGAAGATCGTGGTTGTGTCCAGTCAGAAGCAATAGGTGGTCCTTTAATTGTGTGATTCGAGCTTGGTGATTCTCTGGAGAATGTTTCGCTGGGGCTTGGACGTCAAATTTCACTTTACTTGCTCGTGATTTGGACGTCACCACGTCTTCTTCGTCGGAGCTCTCGCTGCGTCGTTTGCGCGATCCGTTGGCGCCATCGGTAGTGCCTGCAATTTTATTACCAGCAGCCTGGCCAATGCCAGTGCCAATATTGATATCGGCGCTGAGCGCCTGTACCAGAGTCGACGTTGTAATTGTAGAGCCTCCAGTGTCATTCTCATCGTCGTCATCCTCAACGATATTCCCGCGGCAACGAGGAATCTTATCTTCTAGCAAACGAAGAAGCTCTCCGTAGACTTGAGACGTTACATCCCCAATGTCGTTTTTAGCCACTTCCGTAAGAGCATGTGTCCGTAATGCGACTGTAAATCTTTCATAATTGATCCGAACAACAAGTTCGCGCTGGAAATTTGGTCAGCAAGACGCTCTGTAGGGGTTAAGGTCGCTCAAAACGTACATCAAGCTTTATCTCTTCATCATAACTCCCGGATCCTAATACTGCAGGTTTTCCACTTGCGAGCTTTCGCCGTTTATCTGCACCTTTCGGATGCCCGCCAGGCATATAACGCTTCATGTTTCCATGTCGCCAGGATCGTTCCTCATATTGTTTTTGTAGAGTGGCTGTGACGATTCTCTTCAACTCGAGGGTTGCCTTTGCGCTTTTAGAAGCGCCACTCTCAGAGGACGAGAGGGCTTCTTTCTCGGCTTGGTTATAAGCATCCTTGGGGCTTCTGAACATGCTCTCTACTACTGGTTCAACAAACCCATCGTCCAAAAGCCTGGCCAATATGCCGTCCAGATTGATTGTAGGCTTCTGGTCATCGTGGTGTCCATTTGTACCATTGCTGGTCCCGTTCACTGTGGCGCCATTCGTTCCATTCGCTCCATTCGTATGCCCATTTGTAGTCTTGTTCTTCGACTCATATGCCTCTGCGAGATCTGCAACCTTTGTATGTCCTAGTAGAAGCAGATTCTGGACAACATCCCGTGCGTCAACACCATATCTCTCTTCCACCGTCTCTAATATCCTTCCGGAGCGCAGGAGGAAGTACGCCGATTCTTCATTCGCCTCATAGAAGGTCGAGCCAGATTCTTGCTCGGTATTGTGGAACAATAGGTTTTGTTGTATCAGGACTACGAGTCCGTGTCGGACCTGTCGGCCCGTGAGGCCAGTATGTTGTTTAATAGTGTTGATCGTTTGTCTTCCTCGTCGCTGGAGTAAGGCAAATATGCGCTGTTACAGAGTTAGACTTTGAAGCTTAAAGCTTGGTGAAAATAACACGCGCATGATTTAAAATGTAGCAGGTACTGGATAGATAGCAACGAGGATACACATACACTGGTCAACTCTCCATAAGCTTCCCTGACGAGGAGGGCGCAAAGGTCTGCCAAATGCTGCGTCTGTGATCTCATCGTTAGATTCCTATTGACTCAGAACATCCCCCTCTGGGGTGATTTGATTCTACTTACATGAGACATAATTTGTTGCTACTAGAGAGTATCTCAAGTTCTCTAGAGCTGCCACCAATGCTACAGAAAAGTCATTGAAATATCAAATTGCACACAGTTAACAAAACTGTTCAGATGAAGTTCGAGATATTATATGTGGGTGGGGTACATTTTGGCTGAGGCACCGATAGCAGAAACTCGGACAAATTTTGGCGGTACTGGTCTGCCCGAGCAACTTTGGTTCCGTGGCCAATCAGAGTGCGGCTTAATCCGGGTGTCAATTGATGGTCATCCCGAATTTCTCCAACCACAACAGCTCGACAGCGACCTCGTCACAACCCTCCTCCTCGCCATAACTTTTTAGATCTCCCTCCTCACAATGATCTCGCGTTCGGCGATTGGACAGACTGCGCAGCGTGTCGCTCGTCGGCAATGCTGCGCTCAACCGGCAACCCGCCGCGGCTTCGCTGCTGCCACCGGCTCGACTTCTTTCAGCTACGAGAACGCCGATGTCAATGGCATCAAGGTGGCCAGCAGAGACGTTGCTGGACACACTACGAAGCTCGCCGTGGTCGCTAAGGCTGGAACCAGATACGAGCTGCTCCCAGGACTTACCACCGCTCTGGAACAATTTGCCTTCAAGGTCAGTGGGATGGGCATCGACTTATGGGCATGTGAAGCTAAATGAACTATTCCAGAACACCCAAAGACGATCCGCGCTACGTCTTACCAGAGAATCCGAGCTCTTGGGAGGCCAATTGGTTGCCTACCACACCCGCGAAGCCCTGGTCCTCGAAGCCAACTTCCTCCGCGCTGATCTCCCATTCTTCACTGAATTGCTCAGCGAGGTTATCTCCCAGACCAAGTTCACGCGTAAGTTATCCCGACGGGTCTATCTGGCGCAGCACTGATGGTTTGGATTTAGCACATGAATTCCTCGAGGAGGTCAACCCAGCGATCCACCTCCAGCAGAAGAGGGCATATGCCAACACAGCTCAAATCGCTTCCGATGCGGCCCATGGTGTTGCGTTCCACCGCGGACTTGGAGCACCCCTCCAGCCAGCTCTCAACACTCCTCTCGCTAGCTACCTGAACGAGGAGTCCGTCAGGGAGTTCGCATCATCTGCTTACACCAAGCAAAACATCTCGGTTGTCGCCAACGGTGCCAACCAGGCTGAGTTGGGCAAGTGGGTTGGTGAGTTCTTCGGCGATGTCTCCACCAAGGGAAGCCACGAGCTCCCATCCAAGGCATCCAAGTACTACGGTGGTGAGGAGCGTATTGCTCACTCCAGCGCCCAGAACGCATTCGTCATTGCGTTCCCAGGATCAAGCTCGTTCACTGCCGGATCCTCATACAAGCCAGAGATTGCCGTTCTTGCGGCTCTCCTCGGTGGAAAGTCGACCATCAAGTACTCCCCAGGCTTCTCTCTCCTCGCCAAGGCCGCAGCTGCCGCTCCTGGTGCTAACATCTCCACCACCCACGCTGCCTACTCTGATGCCGGCCTTCTGACCATCAACTTCTCTGGCCCAGCCCTGTCTGTCAACAGCGCTGCCACCGAGGCTGTTAAGTCGCTGAAGAGCATTGCCGACGGCTCCATCAACAAGGAGGAGTTCACCAAGGCCGTTGCGCTTGCCAAGTACAGATCTCTTGAGGAGGGCCAAAACATCGAGTCTGGCCTCGTTGCTACCGGTTCCGGTCTTATCCAGGGCGGACAGCCATTCCAGATTGACCAGGTTACCAAGTCGATTGAGGGTGTGAGCCAAGAAAGCCTGAAGACTGTAAGGATCCCCACATTCCTCGTACCTTGAATCTATGCTAACTACGTTCTACAGGCTGCCAAGGCACTTCTCGCGGGTAAGGCTAGTGTTGCTGCTGTTGGAGATCTTCGCGTTCTGCCGTTCGCTGAGGAGCTTGGTCTGTTGGTTTAAGGGGGCTGTTAGATGCATTGGAGTAGTTGATTTACGAACCCTGTACAAACAGATTTCAGAGGGTATTGTAGAACACAAAATACAATTTTGAACATAGAAATATCTCTAAACTTTTCTTTATCTAAGATCGTAGCAATTTCACAATTACGCATAGCCTTGATGTATTCCCATTATCCGCGCTGTTGTTGACTTGAATTTTAATTATATGACTGTCCGCCAAGCCAGTTTCACGTGACTTTATATCATCGGGCAATCTTGGCCCTTACCACCCGTCCAGCCGAGCTTGTCGACAGAACCTCAACATCACAACCAAAACACCTTTGTCACCTCATCCAACCCCCTCCAACAATCAAGATGACTTTCGCCTGGAAGCAAGCTGGCCTCAGGTATGTTTGACGTCAATCGCCAACTCAATTGGCCCCCCACGGCCCTACCGTCATCAACCCGACGTCGGAATATTTTACTAACGAAAGACTCTTTAGCTACAACAAGTACCTCTCGGTCGCCGCCCGCGTCGTCCGCAGAAGCTTGAAGGAGGAACAGAGAGTCGCCGCTGAGCGCAGAGGCGTCTCTGAGCTGCGTTCCGCCAGATGGGTGGTAAGAACCAAGTTGCGACCCCTTGTGCAGAATATTTCCTGACAGCGGCAATTCTAGAACGGCAAGCAAGGCGAGGTCAAGAACGTCGCCGAGGCGAACGCTGAGGCCCAGGCCGCTGCCGGTAACGCCTCCGCTTAGATCCGACATGTTTGAGTTATGAGATAGAAGGATAGAGCGGTGGGAGGATGTGGGAGAGCGTGGGCTTGTACAAATGTATTACACTCGATACGAATCTATCGCCCAACATTCAAATATCGACTGAACCGGTGTTTTTGGACAGCAGTGACAGCGGTTCTTCTCTGATACAACGTGCCTGTGATATCCGGGACTGAGTGACAATGTTCAAAGCTGTGACAGTTGGAAAGGCAACAAGACAGATAGACACGCCCTGGGCCACGGCTTCACAACGAATCCCCTCTGTGTGTTATATCCTCCTCCGCAATGCATAGTTATATTTCCCAGAGAATCTGTATCAGACCCAAACTATTCCTTTGAACCCGTCATTTGGTACAGTCCTTTGAATACACCATATGACACATCGCTCGTACTATTGAAACTGTGCAAATAAAACATAACTTAATATATCAATGTCCCCAGTAATATGCCGATATCAACTATTGCTAGAGTCCCTCACTGTTGTTCATTCTAAAAATTGGTGGCCAAATTCTTCTCCCAGGCTCAAAACCTCCGATAAATCTTGACATTGGGCCAAAATCCTAACCGAACCACATGACAAACAGCGACAACCCAGCATACATCACCATTCTGGCGGCCCTGTGTTAAGCTCAGCATTCAGAAAAGAAAAATCCGGCAGAGTCGGTCATGGACGCTGATGATATCAATTTCATCTCAGGGGGTAAGGTCGTGGTTTTATCGAACCTTTGCAGTTGCTAACCGCCATCAGGAACCTCAAACCTTGATATCAATAATGGACTCAAACAACCCCAACCTCTGGATGAGTACGGGGAAGTACTTCGGCCAGCACCCCGGATTCATAGTTCGGGCGTCGTCGCTGTAGACATCACTGACGTTTTCACTAAAGCTGCTGAGGGTATGTCACTGCCCCGCGTTGGAGTACCGAACAGAAACACTAACCCACTGGGAAGGGCTTGAGGTTGGAGAACTCGTCAAAGATGAGTATTTTACTCTTTTTGAGTCAGTTGGTGCCATAGAGGTAGGTCCATCATATATGTGTTTCTTGTCCTGAGCCTAAATCTTTTTATAGATCATGGATCCCAAAATGGACACAGGGTTCCTTGCAGAGGGCGAGACTATGGAAGACAGTTACGATATTTGGAGAGAGCTTTTGCCAGAGGAGTGTTTAGGAATAATAGATCAGCTATTATGTCTTGAGGTATGTGTTCTATTCCTTCTCATGGAGATTGCCACTAAGAATCAAACAGATGGCATGGCATATGGGTCATCCATTGTCACAGACGCTATTCACCAGCCTCTACATTGATAAGATACTCACTTTAAAACTAGAAAACGTAGAAGATCTTTCTTCTCCGGCCGATTGCCCGAGTTTGACAGAGCCACTGACACTGAGGGTTCTTGTAGCCTACTGTCTAGCTATTATAAAGACATGCTGGCACATCAATGAACGGGTCAAGTCAGAACATTTCTATGAAGTAGGTTCTTTAGATCCTTCGTCCGCTTCTCTGATTCTTATTATTTATTAGGAAGAAGATTTCGTCACACACACATACAATAGGAGCCTTCTCGCGGAACTGGATGATGCATCGATCACCAAATTTATAGATGTGACCATACATCTACTTGCAACTTCAGATTCCATGGATCCTAGGGTTAAGGATGCTCTGGTCCAAAGACTCAAATGCCGAAATTCTCTCCTGAATACAGTTGGCGTAACAGAAGATCGATCGTCCGCGGAACCATTGCTGTTAGCATGGTCTACAACGCTCGAGCTTCTACCTGGTATCAAGTCTGAGAGAGAGCTAGCTAAGCCAGTTCCAGACTCGTTCAGTGTGAAGTTGCAACGGAAGCTTGCGAGTACGGTGCCGCCACGCCCTGTGGTAACGATTGCATTCGACGATGCATATCAGCATCTAGAACGGCTGTGTAAAGACGGACTGGTGGTTTCCGAAGTCTTGGACTTTCATGACACAAACAGCTTGATGGTCAGTTCCCCAAATCCACCCGCGGAGCATCTTACTGATTATAAAAATAGAATTTTGTCATTCTCTTTCAAAAGAGCAAACCCCAACCATCGGTGTACATACGCACTCTCCTTCAGCACTATCTATTTTGCCAGATGGTTGTTCTCGGAAAGCTCTCCCTTCGGTCCGTCCTTGATGAGGATCTCGCGGCGCTCGTCCTTCCTGCCAACCCCCTCCTCGATGCTATCAATGATGAGATCGAAGTTCCACATGATCCTCGCCACCAAATGGCCCAACATATGGAAATCTTCCGCAGTCGAGCCGCCCAATCTTTCCTGGATATCCTGCGAGCTTTATGTCAGAACCGCTGCCGCATCAGGCGGACTCTTCACCATACTATTGTCGATTGGGACACCTTACAGCTCGATGCAGAAGAAATCGACGCCGAACTACGCGATTTCACCAAAGAGAAACCGATTGTCGATCCTGACTTTGGCCCAGAACCCATCTACTCTTTCCCTCTGTCGAGCTGGAGTTACTATTACAAGCTTAGACAGATGGAATGGCTCATACAGATGGGTTTTGAGCTCGAGGTATACGCCGCCGATGAGCTTGCCGGGATGTATTGGTATCTCCACAACATTTCACAAACAACCTTTCGGCACCTCCAGCGCATCCGAGGTTTCCTAACAAAGGACTACGCCGAACTGCGTCGGGATCCAAAGCAAGAGAATTTCGCCACCAAAGACGAGGCATTCGCTGCAACTATGAGCCACGTCAATATTTCCATGTTAAGCTCGTCCGCTAAGCAGGCATTGGCTAATTCGATCGGCTGCCTATACACAATCCTCACGAGATACAACTTAATTCCTCAGACACCGCATCCATACAGTACAGATGCGATCCGGTATGAGCAGCGGATGAAGTCCTTCCTCGCCGTTTCTCTGCCGGAGTTCTTACCATTCCCTGTTTTCCAAGAAGTCGTCTCACAGCCGCAGGAGTCATCAGCTAACCTACTTGCGTTCGCTTCTGATGCCGCGGCGAAGGCGAGGAAGGACTTCGAGTTATTGAGCAAACTCGATGCGAAGACCGCAAAGTGCAGGGGCAAGTGGTGTGATGAGGCGTGGCATAATAACGTGAAGGCTGAGGTGAAGAGCTGTATTAGTGTTAGTATAACGCTGATGATGGTGAAGAGGGCCATGGCCGCAGCAGAGAAGACGAAGTCAAAAACTCTGCAGTTGAAGGTAGAGATTGAGTCCAGTGAGAAGGGATACCATGACTGGTGGGTGGTCCCGAAGGTAACGCCAATGACATAGATATATTAGCCTCGTTTTTGTTTTATATAAAGCATTCACAGGGTACACTATACAGAAGGCATATTTGAATAGGATTTGAATTCATGAGAACTATACGTATACGTAAACATTGGTGCATATTCCGGAGTCGAAGCTCAAGCACCTAGCTAGTACAAGTGAAACCAATCGTTACAAAATAAATCAACCCTAACGCTTGCTCCTGAACCCAAACAAATTACTTTCCTATACTTTACCATACTCATGAAGCTCTCGCTTAGATCTGCTGGAGATAGTTGCTTGGAACCAGGCCCGGCCGTTGGTTTTTGCCTGCAACCTCAGCCTCCCACCAACCATCGTCTTGCAGTCTCAGGACAGCGAGGGTATCTCCCTTCCCGAAGCTGAGCTCCTCAGGGATTGCAGCTGTGTAGTTGTATTGAGCGCGAGCTATGAGCAAGTTAGCAACATTCCAAAAAAAAAACCTGACAACACAAACATACCGAAATGCAAAATAGGACGCCCATCTCTGTTAAACTGCCTGTTGTCTGCCACGCTCTTGCTTCGTTGGTGAGGGTTCACCTGGGCAATCTGCTGCTGTCCTCCTTGCCCGCCATAGTAGCTCATAGGTCTGCTAGTTCCACTGGTTCTTGGCCTTCCGCCTCCGTGTCGTCCCTGCTGCGATCCGTACCCATCATCTCCAGCAGGAGCAAGCTGCAACGACATGTCTCCCCCGCTCATTCTGCTTCCGGATCTCTCTCTGAAGGGGGCTGGAGACACAGAACGTGCGGTATCACCTGGCGAATTGTAGCGTTGGTATCCTTGACTCTGTGGTGCTCCGCGCTGTTGGCTGTTGCCGCCATATGGGTTTGGCGATACAGAACGGTATCCCTGTCTCCCATCATTGTTATTGTTCATGACTTGGCTAGATTGACTGGGTCTCGGGGAGACGCTTCGGGTAGGCATAGGAGAAGTTGCTCTGGGCATGTCGCTGCCCCTCGTTCCCGGACGAGATCTGGCGGAGCCATAGTCGGGTTGAGGCTCGGGCCGCGACTGGCTAGAGTTAAACATGTTCTGGGTTTGTGCTTGATATTTCTGGCTTGTTTGCTGCATGGCCTTTGAGGTGAAGGCGGGCTGTGGGAGACCCAGTCTGGACACTGGCTGGTCATACGAAGGTGGAGGTGTTCCACGAGTGGCAGCGACCAAAGCTCCATTGCCCATGGGAGTGTTCCTAGTCCGTGAGGCACTGGTAGATTCTGGGGCGGGTGTTGCCATTCCAGAGTAATGGTCTGCAGAAACGCGAGATGAGGATTGTTTTGTGACTCCCTTTAACTCTGCTAAAGCCTGGGCAATAGGGTCAAGTTCATCCCCTGCCCTCTCTTGAGGAGCTGTATTCCTTCGGTCTGGCGTTGCAACATCGAAGACATTGTTGCCAACGTTCAACTGGAAACTTGCTCGGGGGTCGACAGGTTCACCGCCAGTAGTCTCTCTATCGGTAAGGCTATTCTGGGAGTTGCCATAGCCCTGGGATCGGCCAAACGAGGAAGCCTGGTAGTTTGACGTAGGCTTTGCTGACCATGTGTTTCTATTCGATGGGCTGGGGGCTGCCGCTTGGATCTCCTTTCCGTGCTTGCTCTTCCTTCTGAAAGGGCTGTGGCTTTGAAAGAAGCCACTCTTCTTCTTTTGAACAGACTTATCGACGGCGGGTGCAAACGCGGCATCTTGCTTGATAGGTGATTGCTTGCCGCTTGGAGGTTCCATGCTCGAAAACGATGTCGGATTGGAATATTCGCTGTGCGAATCACGGCTAGATGGACGAAGTCCGCTGACGGCCGAGCTTCTGTCGGATGGCGGTCCAGTCCGGCACAGCATTGTCATACCATCCATTGGGTAAGGGTCGTGAGGCACGGATGCCAGTTGCACATTCTGGGGTTGCTCATATTGCAGCCTGCTTGGTTCTCTCCTGTAGTCTACCTGTGGTTGTGCTGTCCTGTCGGCCAATACTTTCTGTGGAGTGATGGTAGTTTCGCGGCTTGGGGGTGTCTCTGGCTCTCTGTGTCCCAGCTCTCGTGCGAGGTTGGACTTTGGATCGTGATGAGACTCGTATGTCGAAGGTTGGGGAGAAGATGACCTGAAAGCAGGGTTAATGGTCCTTTGGAATTGTGCCACGGAATAGGCATCGTCTTCGGAAACCTCTGACTGTGTGTCACTTATATCGCCACGGCAGAAATTGATATACTTTGGAGGATCCGGGATCTCTTGGCCGGTTCCGCACTCTTTGATGAATGAGAGGATGTCTTTCTCAACCTCGCAGTTCTCGAGTGACAGGCGGATCTTTTCACAGGAGGCGTCGTCGCTAACACAAACGGTGGATGCAATGTTCGCAAAGGTCCACAGACTGCTCTTTGTGAAGTCCAGTCTCTCCTCTTCGAGATCTTGGAATTTATCGGATGCGCCCTTCCAGTCTCTATTCCAGCGGCCCGTGGTTTCCTCTAATACCTTAACGGCAGCTTCGTATTCCGTATTCGACGTGGCGACATTAATTTGTGTCTTCTCAAGCTTGGCTTTGTTTTTACGCTCTTCCTGGCCCATGACCATGTGGCCTTGTGCTAGATACCCCTTGATCTTGAGGCACTCTTGTTCGTATCTGTCGCGAGTCTGCACCAGGTTAGTATGTGGAGAATATTACGAGTATCAGATCGAGACATACCTTATTAACTACTTGGGTTTGCTGGATTTTAGTCTTAAGGAGCTTCTCAATGCCTCCTTGGACGATTTTACGGCGCTCCTTCATGGCTCCAGCAAATGCCGCCAGCGGCTCTTCCAACTCCGTCTTCATCTGTTGTGCAACATTCTGGTGTGACTTCCCCATGGACTCCACCTCTCCTCTCATCACGTCCATCGAAGCTCGTAGGGTGCCGGCCTCTTGTGACCCCAACGGCTTACGGCTCAGGGCCAAAAGCTTCCGTGCATATTCTTCTTCGAGCGAGGCCCTAGCTGTTTGGGTGCGTCAGTGTTGAGTCCCGTCCGGTTTCCAAGTTCTCCGTACCATTATAAAAGGCCTTCAGTTCATCACAGGTCTGCTTCGCATTGTGCATGCGCTCGAGGAGTGGGTTGACCCCGGCATCTTCCTTTCCTATTTCCCGTGTTGTTAGACTTGATTCTCTATTCGTATGGCTTGATGGTTTGCTTGCATACCCCAGAAATTATTGGCAACTGTAATAAGTCAGTATCATTCGATGCTTCTGGTTTGGACGGGGGAATTACATGACAGAGCGACTGACGGACCCTCCGAGACCGTGCCAGGCATCGCGACGATGGCTGTGTTGCTGGTCTCGTGGAGTGTGTGTCTCTCAATCGCGATTCAAAGATATTTCGTATATTTAACAACAGTACTGATGTAGGTCTTGATGGTGAACTATCGGAAGAATAAGCCTTCCTAAATCGTGGGTATGATAGAGCAGTTGAGGTTGCGTAGTATTCGCAAATGGATGGGATGGTTAACAGGACTCCATTATGGATTTGTTGACTTGGGTTGTTGTTCCCCCAGCAACCGGCCTTTCGTGGCCACCAGACCACCCACCACATATTAACATATGGGTTCAACCCCACCAACTCCTGACCAAGTATCATGTTTCAATGTTAACTTTACCTCATCTGACAATATATTGGTATTTACTTTTTTTGTTCTTTTTCTATAATATTATTATTACGGTTCTTGCTTGTGCGGTAACGAACTATTCAGCTAAACTTGGTTTTATTTAAATTCTCAGGAAATATAATAATGGATTTATGGTAATTATTAATAAATTACAGACAGCCATATTATCGACGAGATATATATGTATATACTCTCATACAAAATCAATAAATCACTGTAGCATACACGGCCCCTATTAGTATGGTATAAAATGATAGTATTTCAAAATTGAAGGCTTGATAGTGAATACACGCATCCCTCGCTCCTCACCCGTTTGTTACATGCCAAACGCCGTAGTACGTGATACCAAGTGGTAGGAATGTACTAAAATGTAATACTGCAACTGAAAACCAAACGGCGTCTGATAGTTTGCTAAAACACAAAGAATAAATAATAAACCCTGATGCACTCTCGTCTTTGTCCCTGGAGTGGCAACCCCTTATAATACTACACGACGGGTTACGTGGCAGGGACCATGAGCACGTGACTATAATGGCCGTTGCCAATCTAAAACTTCAGCTGTTGACCATTAGACTGCTTAGTCATCCGACGTTAATGCACTAGCGTAGGTAGGTACAGCAGCGCAGACGCTCGGTTAGGGAGCAAGCCTCATCAAGCGCGACTGTACAACACCACTTCACTCTAACCTCACTCGCCCTTCCTCCAAAGCCTTATCCTCATCCTCTCAATCCACTATCCCCGACCGCTCCACCACCGGCATCCTTCACCGCCACCCTTTTGTATCTGACCCCAGATCCCATGTCCATACAACTTGGTCTCTATCCTCTGACAACTGCAAGGTTCGAGAGGGAAGCTTCCTTGGTGTAGTGGACCTCTGCCCTTTCAGCACCCTACTCGATGGTCCCAATTCATCATCGGAGCGGCACATATACACCTTCGCCCGCGCAGAGTATCATAACAGCCAGCAGCCATTCACCTCACGGTCCACATACTGGAGGCCTCAGCGCAGGCCCAAGCCCAAGCACACCGACTGGCTCGAACTCATTGACGAAGATTGTCGTCGCACAAGTATACCTACTCCTCAGCACCATCAAGGAAGATAAGGACCGAACAAAGTGGGAAGCACAAGCAGAACAGCTCAGGAAGGTATGCTTTTGTCACGACTTCTCGCATTAAACACGTCCGCCGCGCTAACTAAACTCCTGCAGCTGATCGATGACCACGGCATGGAAGTATTCCAGAAATACTTCAGCCGACTGGTTGTTGGCAATGCGCCGCAGATATTCCCTGGCGTGAATAGATCAGTTGCAAACCCCGGCAACTACCAAATCCTGGTCAATGAGGTCCGAAAGGTATCGCATGATGTCGACCAAGCCGGGAAGATCGCCGAGTCCATCGAAACAGCGAACGAGGATATATTTCGCGACTTCGATCTATCAACCTTTATGGAACACTTTAAGCTAGATGCGCTCGAGAAGACAATCCTAGCTTT